TTTTATAATTATGTGTATTGAAACTACCTGTTATAATTATGTGTATTGAAACTACCTGTTAGTGGGACCCCTTTACAATCAATAATGTATTTTGGAGAATAGTTATAAGTTTGGAAAATAAAGTGAATTAAGGTTTTATGTCTATGATCAAATTCAATCTCCTATCAACTCCCATATTAAGAACCAGAGGTACTATTAAAAAATGTATAGACGTAAGTCAATGGCTTTGACTTAGTGGTATGAAAACCTCCCTATAAGCAAAAGGATGGGGTTTTGATCCTGCAGCTTGTTCCTGTCCCTTTAAATGGGTTGTTTGGTAATTTGGGAAGGGTACATTATTGGTAGGGAGATAAAAGCAGTAGTGGGAAGGGTACATTATTTGAAGATATGTGTGGAGAGGGCAGCTTTAGAGAAAGAAAGTGATAAAGGAAATAAAGGGATTCTGGATTTAGATGTGCATGCCGTGTGTGTCTCTTTGAGAAATGGTAAAAAAGAAACAAATATAAAAAAAATGGATAAAAAAAAACTAAAGAGAATTTTGGGGATCCCTAGATGATTGTTTGTCTTGAAACAGCTAGTACTTAACTGAGAAACTTTTGTTTTCTCTTTGGAAAGACAAAAACCTGTGGAAGAGAAAAGAGATTCTGATGCTTTAATTACTTTCTTTCTTTTAATTTTTCTCTTCCCCTTACAGTCTGGTATGCAATTCAGGTTCAAGGATCTATGAAAGTTCATTGATTTCAAAACTTAAAGCTGCAGACAGTCAGACAGATAGCTGCTTGATGTATATATCTCATACGAGAGATTTAATTTTTGCCTTTTTCTTTTACATCGATCTCTCCCAAATTGGTCCCTATTATTAGCTTGGAGATTTAACCATATCATTCACGTACAACACTGGGGAAACCCAAAAGATTGCCATTGATTTCAACCACTCAGCTTCTTGACAAGTCAATTTATAAATGTGTTACACGCATGGTTTGAAAAATGGCTCACCCACTATAGCTCATAGACTTTTGAATATAATTTAGGGTTAAGGCTTATTTTTACCCTAAAAATATCTGTAAAAGAATTTTGTACCCAAAAAACTGTTTTTGGACCTGATATCATCCCAAAAGTATTAACATTTTCATCATAACATGGAGCCAAAAAATTCCAATTAATACTCACAACTTCTTGGGGAATGATTTCACGACAAAAATTATCCTTAGCCCTATAATTTCATCACTTGAATAATAATTCTACATTCTTACGAGTAACTACTTTTAATGTAAAATTAACTAGAGAATAATTGTATCTATATATATATATATATATGGTGTGGCTCAAATGATGAGACAATGAAGCAAGAAAACAGTTAGATATCTGTGATCTGTATCTACGATGTAATTGCCTGCAGGAAATTATTGAGGAGTTGAGTGTACGTACTTGATACATCAGAAAGTCTCTGTCGAACTTGATGAAAGCTTCAAACTTACAGAATCTGTATATATATAATGGTGGTTTCAGTGGTTCCAGTTGGATTATATTAGAGCTGGCAATAAGGCAATCGTTTTTGTCATATATATATATATGGACTGAGTTCACAGATATATATATATATATATATATATATATATAATATAACGTGTTCCATTTGGAAACCGTTCAAGTATAATTATTGCCTCCATTGGCTTTCCCATTGTTCTGTCACTTTTCCACGGACGGGGCAGCTCTCAAAGTTCAAGTTCATATTAATTAATGGGGACATATGATGAACTGTGCCTTTCAACGACTTCGTACATCCACGTATCCATATTACTTTTTCTATATATAATATATCAGAGATCTGATGGATGTAATTTAAATTAATATGGTGCATTAAAACTAACTAATTAAATGGGTTTCAAATATATATGGTGCTTAATTAGCACGCACCAATACTAAAAGTTCATTATGTACAACGGTTTTGATTATTCTGATGATATGTCTCTGTACATCTCGGCCTGCCTTTCCGTTTTAGATTTCTTAGAGGAAAAGAATAACCCACAATGAACAATCATTGAGACTTGGTACCTTGCCTTTGCTCTTACTTTATACTACCTTCAAGAGTTTATTTGATTTTTATTTTGGTCATAAATATAAAGTCATAATTCACTATGTCTCTTATATTTATTTATTTTTTTAAGGAATCTTTGTAATAATGATTGTTCTAGCTAATATACTTGATTAGTAAGAATATTTTAGGAAAGACAATACATATCTAATATAAATAATTAACTTAACTAATTTTCTTAATATATTCAAATTAGTCAACCAGCTCTTATATTAAGGACTGCATTTAGTATATATATATATTATAACAGCTGGTTAATTAATTTGAATAAATTAATGAAATTTGTTAAGTTATTTATTTATAAGAAATATGAGTTGAATTTCCTAGAATACCATTATTAATTATGTGTATTAGCTAAAATTACCATTTGATGAAATTTTTAACAAGTACAACTATTACAAGAACTGCTTTAAAAAAAGATAAATATGAGAGAGAAAGTGAATTAAAGTATTATATTTAGAATCAAATTGAAAGTTAAACCAATTTTTATATTAAAGACCCGATATAATATATGGTTACAAAAAGTTTGTGGGTTAATTATGTTGTCAAGGCTAATTAAAGTGTATCTGTTTTGTTACATCAGTAGCAAGATTCACTTTTGTAGAATGAGTTAATTGCGTCGATATTTACCAATTGGGATCAATAATATTCTTTTATCTGACGGGGTTGTCTCCTTGTCTTTTATTTGAAGTCTGAACGTTTGAAATAATAATGATAAAAAAGTGAGCTTTGGACTTGGTGGCCAGAGTCGACTTTGGCTGTGAAAGTAATGGGTTACAGTATATATATGAACCAAATGGAGAAATTTATGCCACTTGAGAGAGACATAGCTTTATGAGGTTGACCTAACATGAGCCCCGCTGGCTAAGCTAGCTATGGCAAATTAAGGCATATATGATAAGTGATGATTAATAGCAGACATGAAATAGCGATATATAACTAAAAAATTAACTAACTATATGACCTGACCTTTATATTTCAGAAATGTCACAAATAATAGGCAATTCACTAGCTAGCTAGGGCATCACCAACACAACAATAAATATATACACAAACATAATACCGAAATACTCTTCCGGTCCTCAATATAAGACCCATTTAACTAATTTGATTAGATTAAGGAAGTTAGGTAAGTTAATTAATTATAAGAAAAGTGACACATTTTTCCTAAAATACCATGATCATCTTTCTTAATACCCCCTCTCCCTCTTCTATTTGATTATGGTTGAGGGAGTATCCATAGGAGTAATTTAGAGAAAATTGATAAATATGAGAAATGTGTCTTACATTTATGACCAAAACCAACTCAAGAATTGAGTCCTATATTAAGGACCGGAGGAGTATAACATTTAAAAAATGAGTTCCATGAAGTTGACTAGAAACGAATTAGTTATACTAATTCGTTAGAAAAGTTTAATTTTTTTTAAGCATAAGGGATAAGCTAATGTTTAAATGAGTTAAGCGAAAAGATCCCACAATATGTATGTTACAATTAATGATAAACTGCATGCTGCTAAGTTATAATGTCATTAGTAAAATTTGAACAAATTAAAATTTTTAATTCAAATGAAAAAAGAGACACAAAGGCTAATAAATAGAAAAAGTTTTGTAATAAAAAAACGTTTAGAATATTGGAATAATGATTTGGGAGAGAAATCAATGACTGTGGTGAGAATAATCAAAATTATATTTATGCCCACAGTGGCAATCTAGTCTACAGAGCATTTGAAAATGAAGTAAAACCCTTGGCTGCTTTGTCATTAGCAATTATAATCATCTCTCTTCTCTCCTATTAAATGTCCTCTATTATAGCTGTGACACTGACTGACAGAAAAAAAGTTTTCTACTTTGGATTCTAAAAGCAATTTTCTATCCAGTAACAGTTTTTCAAGCATGCTTTAAATTCAACCACACAATAAAACTACATTAACACACACACACGTACATATATATGTGTGTGTGTGTTAAAGCAAAAATCATTGTCATTTGGTGTAACTTAGTAGGCTTAAGTACTTTTATATAGATAATAACATAATTCAAAATAACTGTTGCCAATCTACAAATTGTTTGATAGAGCTCACCACAAGAAAAAAGTATCTTGCTTTCTAAAAATATAATACAAAATATTATTTTATTTTACTTTATTTTTTAAATAGAGGTCTTGAAAAATGGAAGAAATTAGTTAAAATTTTTCAATCCTGCTTGTAATTGTTAGTGCCTGCTCATGTATTTCAAAAAAAAAAAGATGCATTTAAGGGTTGCTTCTATATGCTTCTATCCAGTTTTTATAAACACTTCTACATAAATTTAAACAAAACTCCCTTATAACTATTTAAAATTATTTAAAAAAAAAGCTCTAATCATCATTCCAAACGTGCAGTTGATTGAGACAAAACCTAACATTGGAATTGGACCTTCTCTCTCTGCGCCAATTAATGTCTGGTTGGAGCAGGGACCTATTTTAGCTGGTAACATTGGATGAATTAATGAAACTTACTTTAGTAGTTGGATCCATGTCACACACTGTGCTTTGATAGGGTGTATAGTTGATGATTGCAGGTGGTAGTAGTTTGACTCGAATACTTTAGTGCGTATAATGAATAAATTTTAGCCACCGTTTCAAGCTCAGCTTTTACGCCTTATATATCGTCGGTGTGAATGTCGGCAAAGGTTTTGGGCCTTTATCACATGAAATGGCCTGCCAGCCCAATTTTTAAATTCCATTCTGGGCTTTAGTTCGAGGCCCAATTCTCATACAGCCCTAAACTCATAGATTAAGAGGCCGAAGTTGGCCCAACAAAAAAAGGCGGCAAAATCGACGAAGGAGGCAACTCTGGACATACAGACATAATTCAATAAATGGAAAGAAAAAAAATGTGTTTTCAAAAAGTAAAAACTACCCGTAACAAGTATTCAACAGAACCGAGCAGGTCTTTGTGTACCGGTTAGTAGGGAGGCAGCGAAGAAGGCAAAGTGAGGTAAGAGAAGAAAGGAATTCATCAGATAAACTGAAAGCTTCTGTGTTTTCCAGAATAGTCGAGGAAGATGAGTTTTCTTTTCGGCAGTAGAAAGACTCCCGCTGGTATTTCTTCTTCTTTTCCTTTACTGTTTTGGTTATAGTTCGCCGAATTTTAGATCAGCACGTTCTATCAGTGGTCTTTTACCATTCTGCACAGAGGAAAGATATGTAGTGGATTTCATTTTGCATTCTCATTGTCGTTATGTTGCATGGTTTCTTTGACTGGTTTTCTCGTAGTTTTCTGAATTTTAGCCTTGTGATCGAATTAATCAATGTGGGGAACTCTAATTAATGGTGTCTCTCAACTTGGATAAAGCACGGGATTGTGGTTAGTTGTGGTGTGCTTCGCTGGTTTTATTATAGTGCCGAATTTAAGCTGTTTGATTGAAGCAATCAACATGGGGTACATTTGTTAATGGTGTTTAATTATTTGGATAGAGAAAGGAACTGAGCCTTATTTCAAATTGCATACTTGCCGAAGTAATGCTTGATTTAAAAGGAGTTGCACATGAATATGTAGCCATAAATAATGGTAGGGTGATTTTATTAAGGACAAACAAAACTTCTTTCCTTTTGCAGAGCTTTTGAGGGAAAATAAGAGGATGTTGGACAAGTCGATTAGAGAACTAGAAAGGGAAAGGCAAGGTTTGCAAGCTCAAGAAAAGAAGTTGATTGTTGAGATCAAGAAGAATGCCAAACAAGGACAGATGGTACTTGCTTTTATAAATATATTTTTCAATGACAAAATTTAGACGCATTTTTCCCCAAATGTTCGCCATAATATTCCTAGTGTCTCATGATTGTGTCTGTAAAAAAGTTTTCTTCATGTGTCATATTTATATGGAGTATGTCAAATGTGAACTTGTCCCAAGTCTAATCCATTTTTTAATAACTAAATTGTTAGTTTGTGATGCTTGTGATCAGTGTATTGGGATGTTGTTCTTGAAGTACTGAGTTCATTTCTTTAGGAACACAAATTTGATTCCCTCTGTTTTGATCTGGTTCAAACAATTTGTGGGTTTGAATTGGTATAAATTTGTGGATCAGGGGGCAGTGAGAGTAATGGCAAAGGACCTTATCAGAACTCGCCATCAGATTGATAAGTTCTACAAGCTTAAATCACAACTTCAGGGTGTTGCTTTAAGAATTCAGGTATGCTTTGCTCATTCTTTTTGAATTTCTTTGGCGGTAACAGAAACTGGCAGTCCCTTTTACATGCTTGTATATAGTTTCGCAGTTAGTTGTGACAACCAAGTTCAATGGACCTTATCACAACTTATTGTTTATGTCCGGTCCAGTTATTCAAATTTCCAGAGGCCAAGTTGTTATACCGTACCGGATATCGTTGCATAACTAATGTTAGGGGATCGGATTCTGCATTTGGACGCAAATAATACTCATACAATGCTATACCTGCATAAGATTATTAATGTTCTTGTAAAAGGTAGCAGAGCCAGAACTAGGATAGAGTGTGATTGTGTGCATATTTTGTTCGGGATGCTGGCAATACTTAAATTTACATACAAATCGGGTTGGAAAGATCAGGTGCAAATTGAATATTCAATTTTTTATTTTTTATTTTGGCGTTTTTCTCTGAAAGTTTTGGCACCTGAGGTTGAGGCTAGTCTTCACTATTGACACTTAGGTTATGAATACCCATAAAACAATCACATCAATCAAAGCTTTTGAAATGACTCTTTAAGATCAATCTCAGACACTGAAATCAACTCAAGCAATGGGGGACGCCATGAAAGGAGTAACCAAAGCAATGGGCCGAATGAATAGGCAGATGAACCTGCCTTCCTTGCAGAGGATAATGCAGGAGTTTGAGAGGCAGAATGAGAAGATGGAGCTGACGACTGAAGTGATGGGAGACGCAATTGATGATGCCTTGGAAGGGGATGAAGAGGAGGAACAGACAGAAGAGCTTGTGAATCAGGTGCTTGATGAGATCGGAATTGATATCAACTCTGAGGTGGGTAATTACTCTCTTTTATAATTTACCATTCTTGTTGCCAACTAGAAGATGGCTTATTACCAATGAACAGAATTCATATTGAACTTGTTTTAATTGTAAAAACAAAAACGCTTATAATAATATCAATTTTGTTTAACATGCAGCTTGTTAATGCACCCTCATCAGCTTCTGTAATTGCTCCTGCTGCAAGGAATAGAGTTGCTCAAGCTGAATCAACAGGAAATGAAGACAGTGGAATTGATGATGATTTGCAGGCTAGGTTAGATAATCTTAGAAAGATGTAAAAGAAGGATGAGAAGATGATGCTCCAGAGAAGGATGGAAATCATATTCATATACAATTACGCTGTGTTCAAATCCAATATAAAATGTTTGAAGTAGAAGCCATGTATCTTCCTATATGCTTGATGCTGTTATTTCTAATTATCATGTAAATCATCTACAATTCACTGTTGATTGAACGAAGTTTAACATAAAGCCTTTGTCTCTTACAAAATTCATTCACATGTTAATTTCTTTATTCAAAAATCCTACAGTAAACATTAAACACTGAACAAAACTTCACTCAAGTTTGTCTGATTCTACACAGAGCTCTGATACTGTTAGCAGGTGATGACCGGATTCAGGAGCTGACAAGGAACAAGATCATCTGATTGTGGTCATTGTCCTCTGAAGCTACAGACCTTCTTGGAAGGGACACTTCCTCAATTGCATTTGGAGGTGGCACATGGTCTATCTGGGTTCTGCACAAAGGGCAGCCAGAATGAGAGGCAAGCCAAGTGTCGATGCAAATCGTATGAAAGATGTGTTTGCAGCTATGAAGCTGCCTCACACTGTCTTCTTCTTCAAAGGGTGCCAAACAGATGATGCATTCAGTCTGATCAGTGCCTTGTACAGTTTCTGCAGTTCTGTACTGGAATGTCTTAGAACGAGACTCTAAGCTTATGGTGAAGGATTGGAGCTTGTCATCAAGGGCTAAGTTTGTTGTTGTGGATGGAATGGATTGTATCAGATCAATACTTCTGCTGGTACACCAACCAAGCATGGCGAGGCTGAAAAATAAAAGTGCAGCTATTAGTGCTGCTACGATCAGGATTGAAGCATAATCAGGCAATCCCATATGTGGCAGAAGCACCAAAAGCAGGTATTGTTGAGGCAAACTTAAATACCCTTTCCAACATTGGTTGACAATTCCTATGAATACAACCCACCAACAATTTGGCGTAAACAATGTTGGGAGCAGATAAAAGGCGTTAGATTAGAATATTCATAAACCGCCTAAATATATAGAATATCATATTTATTTTTTATTTGATCAATTTTTTTAATTTTAAAATATTATTGCATCTTGCTAAATATGAAGCAAGGTAGAAAAAGCTATCAGGGATATAATAAGATGTGAATGGGATGATCACAAAGAAGCGACATGGGCATTTAGCCACGTATGAAGGATGAAGGATATTACAAGCGGCATCAGGACAAGAATGAATATAAAAGAGGAAAGCACATCGTCGAAGAGGAAGCAGAGTTTCGCCATCATTTTGTAAGTTGTGCAGAATTCAAGAGTTGTTTATCCAACAAACTCTAAACAAATAACAGCAGACAAATATGGGAGGGAGGTGCCTTATCGCTGCTGGCAGGTTAGGCGGATGTTTGGATGAAAGGTACCTTATCCTAGACCCTCTAAATGGTGATTTTGCAGTTACTCTTTCAACTGCTTCAGTTTCAAATGTTGACACTTAACCCACTTTCTTCGTGCTCAAGAAGGCAATATCCACGTTATTATCTTTGAATATCCTCTTGCATCGGTATTTTCATAGCATCCACTTTACCATTTGCTTATATTTGAATGTGAATCGTCGTCCGCCCTCAATGAAGCTCCAGTGAGATTTGAAGCAAATGAATTGACAATTGTCAGTATACTTTAATCGTTGACTGAGTTTTTTTTTTGGCCAACGTTGACTGAGTTTAATGTCTGGATTATTTAATTTAGATAATGAACATGATGGGAGATCATGGGAAATCATGGGTGGGTATATGGTTAACACCCACGTTAAATCCACTCCTCCAGCAACTGCCCATTCTGTAGAATAAAGTAAGATATATTCCGAAAGGGAGTGAACAACCTTTTTTTTTTTTTTGGCTAGACAGATACATTAGAGGTAATTATGTTTGAGACGTTTTCAGACGCTGGACACCTCTCCTGAAAGTTTTAATTTAATGGATTAATTTTATTATAAATTCTTGATTGGAATAAAATGAAATAGGACAGATGGCTCGCGACGTATAATGCAAGAACGCTGGGGTACACTTAAAGGTGGCAAACCAAATTGTGATGCTTCTCTTCGAACTTCTATTCTGCTTCTATTCTCCCTTTTGCTCCCATACTGATTCATAATTTTATTCATTTAATTATTGTGCTCAAGAACCTACGTTTAAACCAAATATTCGCCGAATACCTGTGAGAAGAAAGAGCTAAACTTAGTTTACAACCTTGCATAACTATTTTGTATATTTCCGTTCCGTTCATAGAAGAATCCACAATGTCACTTTCCTTCCAAGTCGTCCTCTAACCGCCTAAAATGACGCGACGACCGGCTTACATATCGTTATACGTTTGGAAACTCCAACTCGGGAAAACTGGCAAGCGGAAGAAACTGAAATTGAAAACTGGCATGTACATGTGAGTTTTGTGCGATAAGTCGTACCATTTAGGTTTTCTCGAGTGTTTACTTTGATTTGCACTACTGGTGTTTGTAATTGATTTTTTCATGACTAATAAAATTAACGTTGTTTGACCCAAAAAAAACGAAAACTGGTAGGAACTCGTGCTTGCTTTCTCTCTCGAAAGATGATCAACATTTAATCCAGCTACATTCTACTGGGGACACATCACTGGACCAATGCACGTATTTTCAAGATCAGAGATTTACAGAAAAGGATCGAAACAGTTACAGTGAAGAACCAACACAATGAAACAGATTTACAGAAAAAGATCGAAACAGTTACAGTGAAGAACTACCACAATGAAACTAACGAACGCGTCAGTACATTACACTTCTGGACAATTTCTTAACGCCTACAAGACTTGATGGATCCGAGCAACCGTCCAAGATACGATGGGTTTAGGGCAGTGCAAAAGTTAGCTTATTATTCTTATAGCCTGACAAGTAAACTGGTATTATTTACAAAGCTACAAGAACCCTGATCTATCATCATGAGCAACCCCAGCACAGGCTGTTAGTTGATTGCTTGAGCTGAAGCTTGTAGGTACTTGAGAATTCATCCCAGCAAGCTCTCTTACTCGTACCAAAATTGGTTCAGGAATAGGGACTGTACCATGCTTCCGTGAGTTCAGCTATCACGCAGGAGGAAAAGAAAACAAATTTTAATGTCAAAATAATCAAATTAGCTGAATTTACAAGCATCACATGCAGCTAACTGGGGCTTCCCTTGACCAGGTCAAATGCTGGAAAGTCAGTTATGAGGAAGTGAAAAAATTTATTTCCACAGAAAAATAACATTCTAGTCCTCAAAGGAGCTGTGATTCATGCGTGAGAATCACCCAGAAGGTAAAATTTCTTTTTTTTTTTTTTTTGGGGGGGGGGGGGTTAACATAGAAAGGGACTAAGAGTGGCAAAAAGTTACCATTATGGTAACAACCAGCTCTCAGTATGTTAAACCTATGAACAACAATGTAGAACGGCAAAAACTACTGTTGAACGGCAAAAACTACTGTCAAGGATATTTGACGACAGTTCCCAGCATGTACTGGCAGAGGACATGGGATAGCAAAAGCCAACTTGGCCGAACTCAATAAGATCAAAGTAAAATAAGTCAGAACTTACACCCTCATCTGAAGCTGCCTGCGCAAAGCTAGCTTTAAGCAAATTCCTCCACTTATCCTGCATTAGAAAATCAGCATTCAGCTGCCTGCTGCCCAACTATAAACATGACCAAACAATCATATGAGATAGGTTAAAAACCAAAACTAAAAATACCTTAAGATCAACAGACGTACGATATGAGTAGGAAGCAAAAGAAAGCCGTTTGATCTCAGACCATCTCCCTGCTCCACACCGTGATACACCTTCAACCAATTTCATCACCTCAACAAGGGTCCATGCTCTATGATGTTTCCTTCTCATTCCGCCTTTTGAAGTGGGGACAGTCACTATGTTGTCATCTAAACTATAGCTAGATAGCTCTGCCTTTCTCAGTCTCAATTCCTGTCGATCTTTCTGCTCAACAGTAAACTATGTCCAGCATACCCACACCCAAAAGATTGAAAATATCAGAAACAAGTTGTAATGTCAAGGAATTACATTGGAGAACAAAAAGAAACCAGTGCCTTTATAGAAATCAATTAACCCAAATGACAAGCTAGTATCTTAAAGAGAATTGGTAAAGAATTATATAACCTAGCGTGAATTACCTAGTTTCTTAAGTTAGTACTCTCATCTTTTGCAATGACCCTCGGATTTTCCCACATCTCAGAGATGCCCCAAGAAATACTAACCAGATGTTACCAGGGGACTCAGGAAGACTCAGGAAGACCATCCATAGATTAAGACTGACAAGACGTTTGTACATAATGATGATACTAACTAGATTTGTTCACAATAGATTATATCACTTCGAACCTCCACCTTGTTGTGAGGAGATGGGGGGTCAATGACAGGTAATGGCCCTTGGGGTTCATTTTTGATGCTGTAACCTCTATTAGTTGAGTTGAGTACTAGCCATTACTTTCTAACAAGAGTACGAAGGCTTATCCCACTAGCTGTTGTTTTCTATTTTGAAAAAAATACTATAGATGAAACATAAGGTTGAATTTCGTTTTTAATAACATGAAAAAGGTGAAATCCATTAATGGAATGAAGTTTTCAAGAACTTTCCAGAAGTGAAATTATTTTTCTCAAAACATGTAGCAGCCGCTTGAGCTTAGAGTGTGTCAATGAATTATTGATTAGTGATTGGTTGTTCTATGTACAAAATGCAAGTAGCTCAAATGAGGAATAGTACAAGAAATTCACATTAAGCCATTTCCATTTATTCTCCAATCTAGTTCTCTCCTGCCTGAAACACAAAGTAGTTTTTTTTTCCCACCATCGAGAATAACTATTTAGAGGGTAATTTTCACACAGGTAGACATTCTAAACTAAATTACTCATTCTGGAATCCAGTGTCTATAATATACCAAATCCATGATCATAATCAAGAAAGGGGGGTGGGGGACAACACACACTTACTTGCCGCTGAAACTTTGAAGGTGAGGATCTTGATTTTAAGACTTTGTCCCATCCCTCGTCTTCCTGAGAACCATGCTCTCCAAGGGCCTTATTGCTTAGGTTGGCAACCTCCACCATGCCATTACTTTGATGGAATTTCTGGGTGGAAATCATATCATTCTGCTTGTAAGAAAATTATAATTTATAGCACATAATTATTAAGGAGGCAGACAACGTTCACACTATAATAATGTTTTGTTGATAATAGGACAATGCATTCAAACTTGGTATGAGAGAAAAGTGATACACTTCTAAGGTCTTCCAATAAAAGGGGCAGATGAAAGCAATAGTAAATTACAATAATAAATTACAAAAGCAATAGTAAGAGAGAGAAAGATGATAGATGCTGTGATGTTCAAAAAACAAAACGTTTAAAAAAAAAATTACAGATTCACTCAAACGCAATACATACAAAATGCGCTAACTTGTTCCTTGCATTATGGTATGCATTTTATAACAGAACAAGATCATTTGCCATCATGCAGAAATAAGGACAACAATTAGCATGATATCGGAACATGAATAAATGCTTGAGAGGCAATTATCTAAAACCTCAAAAATGAAACATAATTCGAAATGAAACAGCAACACTCACCATAAGAGGCATGATATTTTTCCTTGGCCGACATCTTCGGATCCGGGAAACACAAGGAATGTAAATTCCAGAACCTCCCAGAGAGTCAAACCTAGTTACAACACTTCTCCCGTCTGAAAAGGCATTCCTAACAGGTCCATTGTATGAGTTTGGCGAGACATGTCCAAGTTCCATACTTCTGTGTGAACTCAACAACCTAGGATTCTGGTCCCTGGACTCATTTTCAGAAAGCTCTTCAATATATCTCCTAGTGGGCTTACGGATTCTTTTAGCAGCTCTTTGTTCTGTCTGGAGACTCTCACTACACAAATCATGTTCCACTTTATGACTTCTCAGTCTCTTTCCAGAAAAAACTTGATTATCTTCATTTCCAGTATCCTCAGCACATGATGAATCCTTATAGTTGATATCCTCTTCTCCACCTGTAGTATCCTTGAAGAGTACAGCGTCCACATTTCCATCACTACCTTCCTCACATTTTTTAACTAATTTGTTATCTTTAACTATGAAAGTTGTTGCTGAAACATCAAATGAGTTAGTTAAACTCATAGCAATCCTCCTCTTCAGCCACTGCTTGTCTTTCACAGTAGTTTCCCGACCAAAAGTCACTTTGAACAGTTCATGAAGTTCTCTGATTGATAACTTGTCCAAGCATATTTCTCCTTTTATCATTGAAAAATCAGGCTTCAAAGAAGAATAGACAGCAGAAGTAGGTGATCCACTCTCTGTCTGTCCTTCGGAAGGTCTAGAACACCCACCAACGTTTTGTGATTGATTACTATGGCTGTCATTTAAAGAAGGTGCTGCAGAAGGAATAATTTCCTGGAATGAAGCATCACACTGAAACATTCCATCCATGATAGGCAAATCAGCAGCAGAACACTGGCTGTCTACATTTACATAAGAAAGACCAGGTGATCCACAGGCCAAACGAAGCTTCTCTTCCTCCTTGACCTTTTGCAACATCTGCTCAATATACTACAAAAGATTATAGAAGTCAAGAAGGATCCTAGCATTACAGATGCTACAAAACCAGGACAGGCAGACATATGAGCAGAAAGACAACGGCCAAACATCAATGAAAGAAATTGACAGTAAGCTACTAGGAGTAAATGAGATCACCAGCCACTCTATGTAAGTTCACACAGTTTGTACATAAGTAAGAATTCCAAAGTTAAAAGAAAACTAATACAAAAAGCCCTGCGGGATAATCATAACAGATCACTCACGTATCAAGTCCAGGGAAGTGTCTAAATCAAACTCTGACAGGCAAGAACCCAAGCCTTGCATACCTATTTTTATTTTCATCTCAGCGTCAAGAAATGGGTAAATTGCACGTCAAGAAATGGAAAAATTGCAATTTACTGATGTAAACCAAGCATACCTATTTGACATGCTTCAGCTGAAATTAAGTGCATCCATTTTTTTTTTTAATGATTTCAATTAAATTAACCTGTGTCATTGTTCGCTAAAATAGCATATTTAAGCTATCCCTTGGAGCTCTACTTTATAAGTGCACTACTTATACAATGTAGGACACCATTGATTGTCCCTTTATCCAAGTGAAATGTCCCATTAGCATATAGTTAAAACATATTTATAGTTACAGCTTAATTTAAGCATTACAATCCTCAGCTCAAGTATACAATCTTATACCATGTTCTGCCACAGATTCCCTGTTCATTGGGTAAGTCAAGCAAAATATGTATCGAATATGAAATATAATTGGAGCATAATAATAGTCCAAAATGAAAGTAACTAACAACATAGAGATATCCCGAAAATAGACCCAATTCCAACCTCACCCCTCCTCCCCAAAATCTCTATCCTGCGTTAAAAATATTTAAAATGAAAATTTAAAAAAAAAAATCCTTTCATAGCAAGTACAGACATGGTCTGATGATCTTTCCTGATAGCATTGTGTGATTTCAGATTGTCACAATTTACAAAGAGGAAAAATCAATCTAGAAAGTAGGAACTCATCTTTTCCAAATCAGATTTCAGACATCCAAACTGCAAAAATAGAAGTTTTTTCGGTACACAAAAATCATATCAATAATGAATAGAGCTTAAAGGTTTTCCAAAAGAAATTAAAAATTCAAGCAAAAAATGAAAAAAAAAAAAAGGGGGTGAAATATGTTCCACATTTCATTTAATATGCACCAGCAACATTACAAGGATAGATAGAAGCATTAGGTACCAACAGTCCTACACTAAGTCATAACAATTTTTCAGCTTGGAAAAGGAACTACAATTGGATTAAAACAATTGACACATCAATAAAAAATAATTCAGAACTCAGGAAAAACACACAAAGAATCAGATAAGTGAAAGTGGTCCGATAGTGCGTGTCTATGTATGTAGGAGCAAGAGAATAAAAAATAAATTAACCCAATACCTGAAGTCGTGCATTTAATTTCCCTGGATCTGCCTCTGCAGTATCTGATCGTGACACACATGGAGTACAGACATAATAAGATATGAAAATTTACGTGATGGAAAGCAAAATATACAAGTAATTTACCCATTGAAATCATAAACAAGATGATGATTTCCCCGGAAAAAAGAAAGAAAGAATCATTGAGAGAACTGAAACATAAATAATGTGCAGCACAGCTCTTCCAGCTTTAACGAAACAAAAATGATCAATCAAACTCTTTTTTTTTTTTTTTTGGCTTAACAAAATCAATTTAAGTATCTCATTTATTCAAAATCATGTCTTAAAACTCTGATCCAAACAGGCAATTAATTAAAACAACAAATAATAATTTGGAAATTACAGTTTTGAAAAGATAATCCCACAATTGATAGACATAAGCAATGCTTCGATCACTGGCCTTTGAAAAACAATCTTCAGTTTGTATGTATAAATATTGTCATTGCTTCGACATTGCACTAAAACTTTTCAGATATAGTAGCTTATACAGCTAAAGAAAAGACACATACCTTCCAAGCACTCTAATTGAAGCTTCTCAGAGGAAGACCTTTCAATTGGTGAACATCCTTCATGAAGTCCAGTGTCCGCATCAACACCCATTTCAATCTGATCGTATTCAAGGAAATCCTCCACCTCAATTAATTCATCATCTGTTGCAGGAACCAACCTCCCATCACCTTCAACCTAATGATTACGCCAGACATTAACATTCAAGTAATTATTATCTTAGCAAAGTGACCAGACATGAAAATCAAATCAAAATGATCATTATTCAAGCAGGGTGAAAGCAACATGAAAGCTGGTGAAGGAACATGAACCAGCATAAAGCGAACTAGCCACTTGCAAATATCCTAGACTACCTAATCAACACACAGAAACTTCTAACAAACTGTCATCATCCATTTTCAACATTTTAATTCTGGAGATCAAAGATCTCTTTTGAACGCTCCTAATATGATTTATGGGTTGATTTATGGTTCTTCAACGTTGCCGGGTCTGATTTCTGGATTCTTCAATGGAATTTAATTTATTTGTTGATAGCCTTCAATAGTTTGTTTGTTTTCGGGTCTAACATATTCTGGGTCTGATTTATTTGTTCCTGTTCTTCCACAATTTTCTCTGGTATTCCCCAGGGGCTACAGTTCTCCGCTGGTTTCTTATCTGATTTCAATTCTAGTTCAGGTTTCAGCTGTTTCATGAAGGTGGGGGCTCGTTTGATTTCAATTTTAGTTTACAATGGAGAACAATGGTCGTTTCTGATTTCTGGTGGCCAAAAAGCCGCAACAGTGGCTCTGGTTTCGGGTCTGATTCCCCCCCCCCCATTTTGAAGGGTATTTTATTCTGTCAATTTTATAAATATGAATATCAAATCCAAAAATTTTATCTACTTTTTATTTTACATGCCAAACATATTTTTAAAACCCACTTCCCATGCCTTTTCCTCTTCCACTCAAAAGTTCATATTCTGACATCTCTTTAGCCCTCACTGACTCATTAAACCAGCAATTTTGTTCATTCTCTTTCTTCTGTAACTGTTAAATGAATGGCTTAATTTTCCTTGACTTGGATTTCAGGTTCAGAATGAGTATCTGCAAAAAGGTGTCTTGACGAGATTGGATTCACTGGACTGACCACAATTTAAAATCTCCGAGGATCTTTAACGAACCATGTTAGGTTACATTTATATTCATCAAAGTACAGTGAACCACTCAGCTCACAAGCATGATCGTACACATCTACATGCAGATACAGTTCTAATACCTTCAAGCTTTCCAACAACATAGGCAACAAAGACTCACAAATACCAACAGGTCAAAGGCGGTAGATGCCATTGTGTCACCATTTTTTTGGATTAAAAAAATTACCATAATGTTCATACGGGCTCCACAAAACTCGACGAAAATGTTTACAAAAGATTCTATGGGTTATAAGACAAAAGGTTACAATTCATTAACATGAATGCCTAAGCTCACTCAGCGTACAAGCATGTAGGCATACTGGAAACATGGTTCTAACGCAATAGTATCCATCACAGACAACCTCCCATGTGGTTCTCTTCAAGCATGTCAGATTTAACATTACATAACCTTTAAACCGACCTCTAAACCGCAATAGCACTAATTGAGACATTCTGTGCAGGAAGCACCAATTAACTTGCCTCCAGTTGCATTCAGTTCAATATTTAGCATATGATATCAATGACAGTCAACAAAACAATAAAGGCCGTTCCTAGCAGAAAATTTTTAATTTCAAATATTTTGTATATCTTGGTCAGAACAAACTCAAAAAGATGGTAGTTCAATTCTCATTAACAAATTTAGGATGAAATAGTTTAGTATACCCGCACGAGCTTGTACATAACTGGGTTGGAAATCTGCTTTGGTGAAGACAGAGCAGAGCTACTTCTATCAATACCACTGTCTTCAAGCTTCCCCTCGTCATTATCTTCAATTCCAACCAGTGTCTCCATGGAAAACTCACATGCACCTCCAGCATACGAACTGGAAAGTCCAGAAAGAACCCAAAAAAAGTTAAAGTTAACATTTTTCATTGAATAAACGGAACACGCATTTCTATACCACATGCAGCATAATTAAAATGACAATTGGAACAAGAACATGCGTAGAATCCAACAATTTTGCCACAATATGGAAACCCCACAATTCTAACGTACCACTAACACCACGAAACTTGAAACTTGCTCCACGTCCATACTACAAAACTCTTAATGTCAAATTACAAATGCTGACAAATTACCCGAGAAGAAATGCATTCGAAGCCTGACAATAACAAACAAAAACTGTGGCCAACGCGTGAATTGGAATTGGGACTCACCATAAAGGCAGATAGAGTGACTGATAAACGAGTCCGCCAAGTAGCTGCAACTGTAAAAGTGACCGATTAAGAGCAGTGTCTGTGAGTGATTGAAGAAGCAAGCTTTTTCGAGGGATGAATTTGGAAGAGAAACTTCTCACATAAGCAAAAGACTTCGAACACAAAAGATATACATATATATATATATATATATATTTTTCCTATCTGAAACCTTCTTTTGTATTTTTCTCAATTCTGTGGGGAATTGCGACGAAGTGCTTAGTTTGCTTTTTCTGTACGCTGTGTTTACTTCCCAACAGTTCCGGATTCGACGTTCGCTCTAAAATCTGGTTAATAGTGAGCGTGGATTCCAGTCGTACGCTCCTGTGAACTTTTTATTTTTTTTTTCTCGAGAAAAGCTGGAAGGGCCCTCAAGCCGAACGATATTTCCGTGAAAATAGAGACAAAAAATAGACGAAGGAAGATCAAATAGGGTGGTGGCTGAAGTGGCGAATTAAAAGTTCACGCCCCACAAATGTGGTGAATTAAATGGCCAAATAAGCCATAAACTATTTTACATATTATGAGTGAGATATGAGTAAGCTTTGAAGTTCAAATTTTTTTATCTCCGTAAAAATTTCATTATTCTTTTTATTAGGTCTCGCAATCGCACCAGCCATCACCGCAAGCCTCCTTTATATGCGAGATTTTATTTTAAAAGAGTTTAATCTTTTCATGGTAACACTAAAAAATGAACTAAACTGTTACTATTAGACAGCTAATATATATCAAGAAAATGATTATGGCAAAATTAAAAGAAATAACGCCTCATTTCTTTAAGACCTTGAAAATAATGTCTTTTTTACATGCCTACCATCTTTATAATTCTATTATCTTAGCTTATAGCCGAGTGCACAATTACAAATTATGGTCCTCTTATGAAACCTTTAACTTAAAATAAGTAAATAACTATAAATTTTGTTATAACTAAGATAAGACCGCCTAATATTCTTAAAAAACTAACATCAACAGTATAGAAGTCGAAGTCTGGGCCGTAAAAATTGAAATTACTGAATCATCTTCGAATGTGTTCAATCCTAACTTACAAAAGAATACTGCAAAGTTATAAATTATTATATGCCTATAAAAGTCATTACAAGCCATACTGATACAGAAAGTTATGCAACAAGTCAGCCAAGAAGTTTAAGGCAATCGATGGGTTGGAAGGCCTGCCGTCAATGAACATGCTCATCATGAAACACTGAGTCACAGTTGTACATATGAGAAGACCACAAAAAAGAGTTTTTTTAAGAGAAAAGAAAAGGAAAAGATAAAAAGAAAGAGAAGCGCATAGCATAGCGATCAACTTCAATGATTAAATCCCTGCCCATAAAAGTACAGCAACAAAACAAAAATGATAAAACAATGGTGGTGATTGTCTAAACCACAGCATTTCTATGTTGGCAGGCTGTAACAGAGGCCCGACAGCGTGATCTTCTTCCTCCTCTGGCAGACGGATTTGTAATTAAATCAGGAAGTGATTTAGTTGGCCCTTGCTTACCCTTAGGACCCCAACAAAGCATTATTTCCACCATTGCAGCTTAATGAGGTCACCCTGCAACCATTGCAGCTTAACGAGATCAAACAGAACATTCTGACGTAATGGTGTTTTAGTTAATGGGGCGGAAATCAGTTCTATGCTCCAATTAAAATCAGAATCAGAGCCAAAAGAAAATACAAGCCCACCTGTCTCAAAAGCAAATGCCTCTGTGTGTATCATGATGTACCTGGTTTGATATCAGGTTGGAAACCAGCTAAACCATGATTTTGGTGGAAGCAACTAATCACCCACTTCCACCAAGACTATGATTTTGGTGGTTTTCAACGTGTATCATGTACTTGTCCTTGAATTTCATAGATCTAGCACTCTGCTCTGACTCTGAGCATGTCGCTTGCAAAAATCTACAGAAGTTGTCATAAAGGCAAGTTATTCCAGAAATTAACATTGTCTTATTACACGTGGCAAAAAAGGTTTATAGTGACAAAATGAAATGAGAAGGAATATGCAGATTGTACAAACCCATCTTGGATCATATCAATATATTGACCTCACAACCTTTGGCACCACTTTCCATAACAAACCCCAAGTCACCATAGCAAGCCCTGAAACCAAAACAGATGATGTAATAACAAGTCGATTCATCCCACAAAGAATTTAACAGCAGCAGATATCCTACAGGAGTCATAAAAAAAATTCGAAAGATAAGTCAATTTCTAACAGTTTTTAACAAGCATAACAACGATTGCCGTCTGACATAGTTAAGAAACAATTAAAAAACAGAAAATAGAGAGCAATTATGCATGGTAAATGCAAAAATCATTGTTCAGGTTTTGTGCTGGGCTACTTTGGGGATGTTTGGGAAGCTTAAAAAGCACTTCCCCGTAAAATGAGACTATCTCCTCTATATATTTATTTCGTATAAGATAAAAATATTTCCAAAAGCACGGTTTGGTTTCCATTCAAACACCACCTTAGATCAGTGGAATATGATCAAATTTCAGTTCCAGCACATCCAGACGGTTTCATCAAATCATCAACAGCATCCACAAAGGAAGGGAAAGAGTGAGATGTAGGAGTTCCCGAACCCCAAGAACTAACACCAGTTCCCGAGAACTAACAAAACTCCCATTTAGTCCATATAAGCATTGATGGAAAATCCTCTTAACCCATAACATCTTGAGCAAGGGATAATAGACAATGCTAAAATTAGATTTAAACAGAAATTAGCACAAAATCCAAGTTGAAGCAAGATCTAACCCCAAAAAGATTATTTAAAAAAACACATAGAAAGCAAATAATTAAAAAAATTGACAGTTTTTCAGGGAAAAAAAATCGAGAGATTTTGGCTTCACAAAAATGTAACTCAATAAAATAATCGTTCTTTTTCAGCAAAAAGAATGAAATAAGCTATAAGACACCGATTACTGCATACCCAACATAGCTGCGTGTCGCCTTAATCATGATCTCCTTCCTCATCGGCGTAACCCTAACTTCGACCCCAGAATACCCATCATCTACGATCTCCCTGATCAGTAATAACCCAGTGAACTCCGGAAAGAAAACTCCATTCGCCGCAGCCTGAGTTGATAGGATTCGCATAAAAAACGGCTCCTCAAAAAAATTCGAAGAAATTTACAAAAGATTGAAATTCCAACTCAACAATGAGAAATCAGCACTCACCTTTCGCTTTCTGCCCATTTGGGTGGCCATGTTACGTTGCGATTGTGCGAAGACTGCAGATAGTTTTGCTTCCTCCCGGCTTTTAGCGTCTGGGAAATTCTAGAGAGAAAATTCCGGCTGCTTCACACAGTGAAATGAAGTGGAAACTGGAAGGGAGCAGGAATGAAAATGGAAGATGAAATGGAACATAGGATTCCTCGGCTAATATAACCAAAGAGGGTGTTTGGAAGTGTTTTTATGGTTTACAGATAAATATAAAAAAAAATTTTTCTCATTTTATGAAAAAATATTTTTAAAAAGTACGTTTAAGGATTATTAAACACCTCCTAATTAACCAGTATCCAAAATATTTTCTGCGTAAAAGAGTATTTATAGTGCATCATTTTTTTTAAGTATCTTAAAACTTTTTTTAATACATTCAACACTTCAAAATATTTTTGAAGTATGGCTAGTATTTATTAAAAATATTTTTAATACACCCAATATCAAGATAAAAAAATATTTTAAAGTAATAAATGTACCTAAAAAAATAAAATACATCATAGTGTATACCAAGAAAAATTTCCATCTTCTTAAATTAATATTTTTTAATTTTATTTCTATTTAATATATATAAATTTTAAATTATTTATTCATGCCAACAATTTAATTATGTGACTTCTAATAGACAAAAATAATTCTCTTCAACTTATAAACAGGAGCATAGGACAGTTTGGACCCATCTTTATCTCATTAATGTAATTTGATTATTTGTCATCAACTTAATTAGCAACGATAAAATTATTGGTAAAATTTAATCAGAATAAAATTACAAATAAATGACCTTCAAAGGAAATCAAAAATAAAGTTAACTTCTTTTTTTTTTACTAGCAAGGCAAGCAACTCTTGAATGAAAAAAAAAACATTACATCTGCTCAAAGGGATATTGGCATCGTTGAGATCCAGAGCAACTTGTGCCATACAGAAGTCTGGAGGCTGTTGAAGATAACCTAATTTCCTGCTAGACCCATTTGCTGACTTAGCAAGATAGCCTGCACATTTGAATGCTTCCCCATGGGTATGATAGATTTCAATGTGCCATGTAGAAAATAGGAGCAGCCTGGTCTCATTTATCGCATTACACAAAAGGTGCGTGTCTCCACTATCCCACATTAATCGTTGAACAGCTTCCAAAGAGTCTGTGGAAAAGCTTGATCTGTGAAAATTTCATGTCTCTGCACGCAACCAATCCTGCCTCAAATAGCCAATAACTCTGCAGCAGTGTACTGGTGATATTCCATCTCAACCATTCTTGCAAATTAAGATTAAACAAGACACAGTAGTAAGGGGGGTTAATAATGGACATCCACACACTATTTGCACTTACACAATCACAAAGAATATGTAGTGTTGACTCCTCTCTATTACACTCAAAAAGAACACTCAGCAGTATTTGAAACACCACATTATGCTTCAAGTGAATTCGTTGAGAGTCTCTCGGAAAAGCCTTGCCACATGGAGAATTTTGCTCTTTCAGGAATCACGAATATCCCACCGCCATATTTTCTTACTGTGGTGCTCTGTCCGATGATAAACCATGTGATCGGCAGATTTAATGTTAAAGTGTCCATCAGTAGATTTTCTCCAACAAAAGCAATCCCCACACCTATGTTTCTGACGTAGAATTTGCACCCATGGGAGGTTGGGCTTTGTTAGGAGACCCCAACATAATTTCATGACCTCCTCCTTCTGCAATGTCCAAGGCTTGATCTTGTGTTTCTATTCAAATTGCAAAATCCCCCCTCATTTGGTATCATTGTCTTCTTCTTCTTATGCGTTGTGTTTGAGCCCCGTTTCTGTCTACTCAACGTCAGGACCATTTTTGTTCGGAGAGCCATTGTCTTCTTTGCTGCAAAGCCAGCTACAGAGTTTCTTGATTCACCCAGAAGAACAGCCGGTAAGGACAGCAGGTAAAATCTAGTTCTTTAATATGGGAAAGAAAGGAGGCAAGTTAACAATAGGCTTAGTTCAGTGTTAAAGGTATTCACAGCATGCTTTTGATTTTGCATGTTTTATATTTGGGGTGCTTTGTTTGCTGTTGTCATAAAATTATGATAACGTTGGTTGTTGTCTTTGTATTTCTTCTCAATCTAATACAGATTTTACTTGATGAAGTCTCTCTCTGTTTTTTTTCCCCCAAATAATCCTCATGAAATATTGAATTTTGTGTAGATAATTTCTCCCAATTTTAAGTCATACGTAAATAAGTTATATATAATATTATATTATTACGGTAAAATAATAGATAATTTTTTTTTTTTACCAGAAACTGAAGGGAAAACCACTTAACGCAGGTGGTACCCAAATAGCCTAAACTTCCTACTTAATAGATAAATTAATATGAAGATGGTTATTTGCACGAATAAAAAAAGTTTATAAGACTTCTATTGTAAGATTTTAAGAGTCCGCATACAACCTGTACTGTATTTCTGAGGAAAACGCATCTAATCTCTTGGGAGAATATAAAAGCAAGCAGGCATAAAGATAGCCTGGGAATCAAAGATCTACCCTTGTCAAAATGTGGATGCGGCCTTCAAGAATCTGTTTGGATACACTATTGGATCCTGAATAAATAGCTTTCATCACCCTAAATATGCTTGGGCTCTTAGTTTTGTGTTTGGAGAAGTTTTTGGCTCACCTAACATATGAGTCAAAAGTTGGTTTCAATCCCGCTTTGAGAAGCTCCTCCCCCTCATGGCTTTTTGTGTAGTCGTGCTTGTGGTATTGTGGTATTCACAGCATGTTTGGATACACGATAAATGCCTTGAAAAGTGGTTTATTGAACCCATAAGCAGTTTTGAAATTAAATGCATGTTTGGATTAATTTTTGACCTATTTGACTTATGAATTAGAAGATAATATTTTAAGCACAATTGCAAAAACACTTGAACCTTCCTTATGGCTTATCCTGTTGTGCTTGTGAGTTGGGGCTTGTTTGGAACAGCTTATAAGTAGTTTTTTAATTGTGATTTACGGAATACGAGATAAGTATGTGAAGTGAGTTTTGTCTCAGTTTACATAAAACATGCTTGTAAGAGATTTTCACCGTTATCCCAAACAGGCCCTTAGTGAGGACAGTTGAAGACAAAAATATTACATACTACCTATTGTCTTTAATAATTAATTCAATAGCCAAACAGCTAATTTGTAGATAAGAAAATTAATTAGATTAGTTACTTGTAATAAATAAATGCTGTCTTTCTTAAAATATTTTTGTTAATCATGTGTATTAAACTACTCATTGATAAGAATCACTTAACATGTGCAATTATTATATAAGGATACTTGGAGATAAAATAAATAAATGTAAAAGACAGAGTGGTTTGAAATCTTATATTTATGACCAAATTGAATCTATAATTAGCTTTTATAGTAAGGATCGGAGTAGCATTATTTAATAAAATTTATGCCATTTTCAGTTATTTTACAATTAAACTTGTTCTTTTAATAATAATCCAAGCAACTCCTACCTTCATAATATTTATAATCCAAACACAAATCAAATTATTCATTCTTAAGTTTCCAAAAACCCAATTAAAAACAAGTCATTTTTTCAAAACAGCCTTCAGCATCCTAATCAATGACCTTGGCAATAGAGCCTTTCTTAAAAAATTTAGTATTCCTTGAGTCTCTTTTTATAAGCAATTTTGGATTTCATAACATAGATCAAAAAGTTAACCAAAAATGGTTAAAAACAATAAATATATAAAAATTAGAATTTTTTCCCCAAATACCCTTATTTATGGGAGAGAGAGTATAAGAGATAGGGTAAAAAATTATTATAATAAAGAGAATTATAAAAACGAGAGAATGTATGATGAAGAGAGATGATGATTTGGAAGATGAGATAACAAATATAGAATATTAAAATAAGTAATTAATGGGAATAAAATAAAAAATTTAGTTTTCTACAAAAATTTGAAATAACTTACAAATATTACTTATATTCAGAGACAAAAAGAAAATGATAGTTTTTGCTTGAGAAATGGAGGGAGTATTAGGTTTGTGCAGTTCACGACTTTACAGAGTATTAAAATAAGTAACTAATAAGGAGCAAAATAAAAAATTTGCTATAAAAATTTAAGATAATTTATAAATATGATTTATATTTAGAGATAAGAAAAACATAGATAGTTGTTACTTAAGTAATAGAGGAGGTTCGTGTAGTTAACAACTCTATTTCTTTTATTGACTTTGTTGCCTTGTCTCTTCCACATTAACCTCCGCGCTCCTATCATCTGCTCGGAAGATTGTCATAAAAATGGAATTCAATGGTTGAGATTCAATGTCTTATAAAATCGTTATTTTTCTATTTTTACATGGTTTACAAATTACAGGCGTCAACTGTCTAAATTGTATTTTAATAATTCAAATTTATTTATCTATCACAATAAAAAAATTTATAAATTATTAAATTTCTAGTCTGATAAGATGAAAGAGGTATTTGGATGACCAAACGCCCTTCTCCAAGAGGATGCAAACAATCCACGATGGTCTAGCAGGGACAGAGGGAGACCGCCCACAACGTTGAAAAGTGAAATAGTGAACACAAACTGCCCTAGTGGTTTTCTCGCGCGAATAAACGCAATCGTCGTCTCCTTCCCTCCGGCGCATCACTCTCTCGCTGAAACCAAACAGGCTCCGGTGGATGTAAAGTCACAAAAATTCCTGCGAAAGTGCTGCCGGCATTGCGTCGGAGCTGGCATTCCGTCTGCTGTTTCTTGTGCGGCAATAACATATTTTCTCATGAAATAAATATCTTTCCCGCGCTGATGTCTCCATGGACTCGGTTATTAATGCCTCACTTGAAGAAATTTGCTCGCAGCTTCAAAATGGACTCCAACTTGCTGCGCTTTGGCCGAGACTTCAACCGGTTCTTTCATCTTCGAACCTCGACCTCTCTTCTGGTGTCAAAAAAGCCATATGGACCAGCCTCTTGCGCATTCCGACGCTCCGGTTTGAGGTTCAGAATGAGGCTTGCAGTCCCGGCGACCCTTCAATTCAGTCCTTTGAAGATGCCGAGAAGCTTAATTTAAAGATTGTCTCTCAACGGAATCTCAGAGACAACTTTCTTGGTCTTTACGAATCAAATTCTCTGGTTCCAAATCAAATGCGCATCCTTGAGCTGCTTGCTAATGCCAGGTTCGTTACCCTTGAACGTCTTGACTTTCATATTAAGTAATTTTTGGTATTTTTTTCGTTGTTGGGCTTTGTGTGTGTCTGGGCTTGTACATTTGTTCAAGATGTCTGATTGCGCCTCAAGTTGGTTTTTCTTTGTGGTTAAAAAATGGTCATTAACGGGGGAAATATCAATACTTGCATGATCTGATCTTTCCTCGGTATCATGACGTATGAATAATTTTTACTCCTAAAATGGTGCTAACCCACAAAAACTGCTGGTCTGATATTCCTTTATTATATTTGAGAAGATCAAGTTGACATTTGATAGCTATTGCGCAATTCACCATTGATCAGAAGGTGGAATTTTGCATTCATGTGGAGTTCACTCACGGCAAGGGCTAGAGAGCAGTAAATGTGTTCTCAATAGTATTACGTAGGCCTTGTATTCATCATGGGTTAAAATTGTGTTTTTGGCTTTCCCTTGGTAGGTGTAGAGATTGGCAGTTCCTCCCTTGTCTTTCTTGATGAAGCTTCGCACCATTGCAGGAGAAAGGGGTAGGTAAAGTGATGGCCTTATAAGTTATGGGCCAAGCATGTGACTGATTTATGAGTTGTTGAGTTTGAGATGTGAAACTGAGAGAGGGATTGAGGTATACATTGTGGGTTTTGAGGTTAGTAGAATCAGGTAAGGGGCGTCTGAGTTTATTGGGTGAGTTAGCCCCTCAAATAGCTAGGAGTTTTCTCCATTTTCTTACCATTTTGTTTTCCTGAATTGTAGTCCTTTGGTTAGACTTACACTTTACTGGATTATTGTTAATTTGAATTTGAATGCCATTTGGAGTTGAGTTCCATCTGAAAAGAGGATTAAATTCCTAGAGGTGTATTTAAGAGTTTTGTCAATTGTGATTTGTCAGTTGTAATTTATTTCCAACGTCCCATTCTCTTTTTGGTACTCAATAGTGCTTTGTCACTATTGATCTTTTGCTTCTTTTTTCCTCATGTTTTATTTATGTATTATTTTCTGTAGAAATGAATATTTAGACACTGAAAACTTGCAGATCACATGGAATCACTCAAAGTCAACTTAGTAAGCAGCTGCGTATTGAAGGAAATAACTTACATTATGTATTAAGGAGTCTTGAGTGCCAAGGGTTGATTGTGAAGCAGTCTGCTCTTGAAAGAAAGAAAGAAACATGTGCTGATGGGGAGTTAAAAAATTTGCCGTGTGTATCTACCAATTTAGTATACTTACATCGCTACGCAAAACAACTTGGCTCTCATCAAAGATTTGAAATCACTACAGCAGGGCAGAAATTGAAGAACCTAGAGGGTGCTAATGGAAATTCTAGTGGAGAGATGGACATCCACATAAAGGACTATGCACCTCAAATGAAAGCTATCTGTGGCAAACTAGGAAAGGCCAATGGCAAGGTTGTTCTCAACTTTTTTTTTGGTTATAATGATTATCATCCAAAGAATCATATATAGATTTTGATGTTTTGGTTTGTTGATAATCTTTCTGTTGCAGGTGCTTGTTGTGTCTGATATTAAGAGGGATCTTGGTTATTGTGGATCTCCTTCGAAGCACAAGGCTTGGCGAGAAGTATATTCTAGTTATATCTACTCCAACTTTAGATTTTGTTTTGCTTTTAGACAGCAGTAAATTTTAATATGGATGCCTTATTGATGCCTTTTATTTTGTTTTTTTAGATAAATTTCACCACTAATTGCGTCATATTGCTTTTCTCGTAAGCAGATTTTGCACAGGTTGAAAGCAGATAATATTGTGGAGCAGTTTGATGCCAAAGTAAATGGCAAGGTTAGTTGTTGCAATATTATGATCAAATATTCCATTAGTAATACGTTCACAAATTTCTGTTAACTGGAGAAAGAATGAAACGGGGTAACGATGACTGATAGAAGAATGTTTATGAGAATTGTAGATTGGGTGAGCAGTGAGCTGCCTGGGAAATTAATCAGAAGATATTTAGTTATTGTAGGGTGCTGTTTATGGGATTATTGGGGAATCTGTTGGATCATTTCTTCTCTTAGATTAATTATAAACATGAGATTTAGGGACTGAGTTTTAATATTTTGAGCCTGACAGTTTTTGCTTCATTATTTTGTCTCTCCACGCTCTACCTGTATGTTAGCTCCCAGCCACAATTCTGTTCTCTCGATTAGTATAAATGAAAATGATCTATCTTGTGTACACAGTCAGGAAAGGAAACAGGGAGATTGTGACACTATCATTATTTACTATTTGTCTACATCTTTTTGTTTCTTTTGAATTTCCAAGTACCAATCGCAAGATGTATTCCCAACTGTCAGTTACCAAAAATAATCTAGTGGTTATGTGTTCTAGCAACATCATTCCAAATAACATGGAAGTAATTACAACTATACTAATACTCACTTAGATGGAATATTCATCGTATGGGTAGCCAAAGGCCTATTCAGTTCTGAAGGCTCCTATTTTAGTATTCTTATGTTAAGTAGTGATCTGTCTAGTACTTGATACTTTTCATGCTTTTGCCAGTATCTCTTTTTATAACTTGAATGGCTCTGTTGTGGTGGTGGTCTAACTGTAGGTGTTACTTGCTTCTAGGTTGAGGCATGCCTGCGGCTGCTTGATCCAAGAGCCACTGGATCTGAGAACGGAGACAAAAACTTGAACTCTGGGAAGAAATGCCAAGTCATGGAACAGTTTGTGGAGCTGCCTTTAGAGCATCAAATCTTTGACATTATTGATACTTCAGGATCAGATGGCATCAGTTTAAAAGAGGTATGCATTTGATTTTTGTTTTCTCTTTATTGGTAGGATATATCAAAAGATGCAGGGGCTGATGGCACGTACAAAAATTGTGCAAAAGCTTACTGAGACTATTTTTTTTTAAAGCTAAGAAAACTAAAGCCTACACCGTTTGAAGCATGGACATTATTGAATTAAAATGAAGATCAAATACAAACAAAAAAATTGAAGATCGCTGAGAACCTAATATATACATTTCCCCCTCTTCAATTGCATGTGTGTTAAATAGCAACATGGTAGGAGTAATAAAAGGGATTTAAAAGAAAAGTATCTATTTAAACTTACTGTTTCTTTTCTTTCTGTGACGGAACTGCCAGTTGTCATGTGTGAGTTTGTGAACTTCACAGTTGAGCAGCTGCTGTGTGATTCACCATTTTTTCCCTTTTATATATTCTCTCTTTGGATGAAGCCATATGCATCCCTACATGTGCAAAGTGCTGCCTTCCACTTTTAAGTTCTTTTGATATTTTTGTAAACAGATCAGTGAGAGGCTTGGAATTGACCTAAAGAAAAACCACAATCGACTTCTAAACATGTGCTATAGATTTGGAATGAAAGTGCAGGAGGAACAATGTCAAAAATCAAAGACAATTCGAGTTTGGACATCTAGGAATTTCAATCCTGAACCAGAAGCTATGCTTATTCACAAGCCTGATGAAAATGTAGCTTTGGTCCCAAATGTGGCCGACAGTTCTGCAATCGTAATTTCTGGAAATGCTGATCCAATACCCAATGGAGATCCAGGTGGCCCTGGACAATTGGAAGATTCAGGAACTAATGCCAAGCTTTCATGTAGATCTACTGGAAATATTGAACCTGATAATTTTGCCAGTCAGCAAGGGTTTGATCCAAAAGGTTCAGCTTCTAACGGCACACGTGATTTAGTCTGTGCTACAGCTGAAGGGAATGTAGCACCAGCAAGAGCTCCGCCTCCTGATGTTTCTAACAGCCTCTGTGATTTAGTCTGTGCTACAGCTGAGGGGGTTGTAGCATCAACAAGAACTTCACCTCCTGATGTTTCAAAATTATTTTTCTCTGGACCAAATCAAAGTTTTTCTTTCACTGTGAACAGCACTAAAAGGGCAAAAAGGATACTTGAAAGATTAGAGGTCCTTGTGATTTTCTACCTTACTAAATTCATTTGGGAGTTTGTTGCATCGGATTATTTACAAACATTGTTTTTTTTTTCCCCCCTTTGCAGCATGAAAAGTTCATTTTGAGACCTGAAATGCACAGGTGGCTCAATAGCCTTGAGAAGGACAAGTGTGCCAAAATGGATAGGAAGACTATTGATCGAATATTGAAGAAACTTCAGGAACATGGGCTTTGCAAATTGATCACAGTATGTGTCCCTGTTGTTACTAAATATTCTGGGCAAAAACAATGGGTAGTGGTTGTGCATCCATCCATAACTCTCTGTCCTGAATTATTTGATAAAATTCGAGATAGAGCGAGGTCATTTGATGGGTATATTCGCAGTCAAGGCACTTCTCAGAGAAAGGATGATGAATCTATACCTGTAATGGAGGATCTTCAGAAAAGTCAAAGTTCGATATTCCCAGATGGACGACCTGGTAAAGCAGAAGCCATGCGTGCTAATGGATTTGTGTTGGCAAAAATGGTTCGGGCAAAGTTGCTTCACTGTTTTCTATGGGATTATATAAGTAGGTCAGCAAGCCATAATGATGCTTCATCATCTGAAGAATGGGTCAATGAGCTAAATAATCCTCATGGAAGCTGCAAATTATTTTCTCTGGAAGCTGCAATTAATGAGATTCCACTTGAGCTATTCTTACAAGTGGCTGGGTCCACACGAAAATATGAAGAAATGATTGAGAAGTGTAAGATGAGTCTACGTCTTTGTGATCTTTCTGCTGAGGAGTACAAGAGTCTGATGGATACTCATGCAACTGGAAGGCTATCATTAGTTATTGACATTTTACGCCGGTTAAAGGTATTGGTTAGAAGTCATTTGAGGTTCAGTTATTGCTAAATGTGTTTTTCAAATATATTCCTTTAAGCTGCTGCCCCCATAATATGGTCATAGAGTATCAGCAGTGGAGCAATCAATAACATACTATGCTGACTCATTCCATATTCCTGTTCTTGGCATCTTGAAACTCATATTTAGTTAAGGTGTTCATAAATTTAGTGATTTGATTTCTTTTCTAATTCTTTTTTGGTTGCACTTTCATTAAGATGTTTGAATTTAATGTATGTTTACTGCAGTGGCGCAGGAGCTGTTATCTTGTTCTTTTATATTGATAATTATTATTTTTATACAAAAAGCTGCACTATTCATAGGATTTGAATGGGGCTGTGCACTCTTCTGACTTTGTACCATGCCCGGAAAAGCATGTCTAATTTTGTAAAATAAGGGAGTCCTCCCTTTCCCTTCTTATGAATTGAGAAGTCTGAAAAGGATGTTGCAAAAGAGAAACATAAAAAGAGGGAACTGTAAGAAAAATACAATAAGATAGAAGTTCAAATATGGAGCAGTAAGACTATAAAATTGTTAATTTGCTGAACTATGCCTGATAGAGGATCTATTTTTGTAGTTGATTCGGATTGCAACTGATTTACAATCTAGAGATGGGGTCATGACACCATGTGCCTTTACTCACATGATGGAGCTTAGGCCTTACATCGAGGAGCCCCTTTCAAATGATGCATCATCTCTCAGTTTCCTTTCTGTTGATCTTCGACCAAGAATCAGGCATGATTTTGTTTTGTCTAATAGAGATGCAGTTGATGAATATTGGCAAACATTGGAGTATTGCTATGCTGCTGCTGATCAGAAAGCTGCTTCATTTGCATTCCCTGGATCTGTGGTTCCTGAGGTAATCTCCAAGTCTCCAATGAACAATTGAGACTTATTAATAGTGAATTTATTCTTATGACGAAAAAATGGAACTTGAAGCTTGTTTACCTATTAATGATGGTATGATAGTTATTGTCACTCTTGCTGTCAAAATTTTTTTATTTATACTATCCCTGGTCCTTGATATAAGAGCTAGATAACTAATTTGGAGAGATTAAGGAAAATAGTTATGGTGGTTAATTATAACAAATGTGTGTTGATTTTCTTAAACTACTCTTTAATCATGTTCATTGGAACTACCTCTTGGTGGAAACCCCTTACAATCAATGGAAGATATTTTAGAGAAAAATTACAAATTTGGGAGACAAAGTCTATTGAGGTTTTATATTTAGGATCAAAGCCACCCCCAACTAGCTTTTATATTAAGGATTGGAGGTAGTATTATTTATTTATGAGTATATTTATATTCGTGGTCTAGTGTATATTTTTCCAGTCCTAAAATGGACAAAGCAAGTCTTTCATTTTCTTGTGAAATTTCTCTTGTTTTTTTAACAACTTAGCATTACATGATTGGCTTCTTTTATTGAACATATTTTCTGCTTTTTATTGACAAAATTGGTAGCCCACACATAAAGAACTTAGTCTGTTGCCTTGATGCAACTGATGGGCTGTTCAGATGATAGATGGTGAATTTTCTGTTTCCATTTGTTAGGTTTACCGCTTCCGTTCATGGGCCTCTACTCGCCTTATGACATCTGAACAACGTGGGGAGCTTTTGAAGTGTGTAATGAAGAATGATTCAAGTGGAAAAATTTCATACAAGGAATGTGAGAAGATTGCTAAGGATCTAAATCTTACCTTGGAACAGGTTAGTTTGTTTTAGGCAGATAACTTTGTAACATTTAAAACTTTATCCCTATTGTTTTCCCTCTTGACTTATAAAATGAATTTCTGGTCCTCCCTATATCTCCAAAGTCCAAAGGGTTTGCTTCATAAGACAAGGCCTTCGCTGCCCATGATGATGGCAACAAATTACACCCTTGATATACTCAAAAATTGCCTTCCTAATTTCTTAATTATGCTCTTGATCCTGATAAGCAAAATGTACTAATCACCGCAATGGTGTTCTGTAATCACATCAAAACTCAGGGATGACTTCAATTTCATTTATTAATTCTGAAATTTTTTTAATTTGAAATTCTGCTATCCTACAATAAATTGTGTTGCATAAACTTATCCTTCAAAAATTCCAACCTTACTCATATAGAAGCTGTTAACAACTGGCAATGGCTATTGCTCGCAATCAAAACAATATTGCAATATATTTTATCCTTCATACAAGTTGACGGAATCGATGAAAAAGTTCAGTTTCCAAATTGACTCTTCTGCATCCAATTATTGTGATAACATCAATGCTATAAGACCCCTTTTTGAAGGAAATGCACCAGATGTCAAATGGACCAACTGAAAATTAACTTTAACTGGTGGCCAAATATTGATCAAATTAATGCCTTAGTGTCTCATTTCTCATTTCTCATTTTTAAAAAAATGGCCCTTTATGAATCACTATTTCTGGGTGCTGTCAATGATTTGTCACCCTTTTCAAGATTCAGGAACTTTTTAGCCATGTTTCTGGGTAGTGTCAATGGTATCTATCTTTGTATTTGCTGTAAAAGCAATGGGCATTCAGTTTGTCCCCAATAACTAGTGACGAGGGACTTCCTACTTTATTCTACTATGTTGCTATTAGTTATGCCCGCATCATATCCTGATTTCAGGGAACACCCGAGAACCATGAAACATTCTAGAAGGGCAATCTGAGGAGCATATCTTATGCCCCATCTATGTACTTCTGTTATCTGACATAATATCATATTTATTAGAAAGTGAATTAAAATCTTTATATTACACTTTCATTGGTGCTCCCCCCCCCCTCAACCCCTTCCCTTTCCACCCCTCATTCAGTATGCTTGATACAATGTTTACTATTGTTTTTATATTCTTATTGATGTCTCTCTGCCTCTCTCTGTCTCTGAATGCCCCTTGCAGGTACTCAGTATGTACTCCAGCAAGCGTCGCTATGGTCTGAATCAGTCTAAAGACCAAGCAAATGAGGATATAGGGAGTGAGAATCTTTCACTAGGTCAAAAAGGTAGGTCATCTCGCCATCGGAAAAAAGGTTCTTCAGAGTCAAGGCTGGCAAAGCATGCACGTATAGATTCAGCAACTGATATTGGGGGGATTCACAGAGAAGAAGATGCAATGAGTATTGATTCAGGGGAGCATGCAACTCATATGCATGAGTTTAGGGAGGATGATCATCATGAAACTGACACTGAAGACTGTCATTCCCTTATTAACCAGTGTGTCTTGTCAAAAATGAAGCCAAGACGGCAAAGAAGATTCTTATGGTCTGATGAAACCGATAGGTAAGAATGATTTGGAAAGGCTGATGAATGGTAAGCCAAAAAAAAAAAAAAAATTATACTTCTGATACTGGTGTTACATTATGGGCTATTTGAAGATGGACAATTTGTATGTACATACCAACTTTGACCAACGAGTCATACAGCTGACTGTTTTAATTTGCCAGGCAATAATGAAAGTTCATGAGCATAATATTTGTTATTATGCTGGTAGATTTTTTTGTATCTATTAGATTGTTTTATTAAATGTTTTCTTTATTTTCAATATTTTCTGAATAAACATAGATTTTTTAGAAATTGAAGAATTTAAAGCTGATTGGAGTATGAGAAAGCTGCAAATCTGAAAATAAAAAGAAAGCTCAAAGTGGTGATAATAAAATCCCTATAAAGCCTAATGGTGTATAAGAGCCTCCTGCTCTATCAGCAACAGAATTCATTGTATTATATTTCTTTACTCCCTTGTGGCCGCTAATGTGGCCTTGTCTGACTATCTCATGCTTGATGTCTTATTTTAGGCGCTTGGTGATTCAATATGTTAAAAACCGTGCTGTTCTTGGTCCACACTATCATCGCACCTGTTGGGCTACACTTCCTGATCTTCCAGCACCTCCTAGAACCTGTCAGAAAAGAATGATTTTTTTGAATCGTAACTTAAGATTCAGGAAAGCCGTGATGAGACTTTGTAACTTGCTTGCTAAACGCTATGCAAAACACCTGGAAGAGACTCAGAACATGTCACTGAAGAATGATGATTGCAGACAGCTTGTGCGATGTCCATCTAAGGAGGTTGTTAATAATTTTAGCCATAGCATTGAAACTCAAGCAACTAGTTTAAATGGAGAAGCTTGGGATGACTTTGAGAACGGAAGCATCAAGATAGCCTTTGATGAGGTCCTTAGGTGCAAGAAGATTGCTGAGTTGGAAGCCTCCGCTGAGAAAGATAGATCTAAAAATGAAGGGTGGTCAGTTGCAAATGCGCATGCTGAAGGATATGTACATCTCTAACACTTCAGACAATAATAGAAAATGCTTCATTAAATTGACTTGGCATATTTCTTCTTTTCTGTTTTGTTTAATTAAATAAAGACTTCATTGAATGCTTTTTTACTTTCTAAATCTTATGCTATGTCTGACTATAGAAATCAATTTTGTGGCAGGATTTTCAGGAAAATGAAGCAACTCCGTCAGTCATTCCTGGTGAGCTTATCCAGAGCCATGATGGGAAGAACCGTGCATTTCCCCCCCAAAGATCACGTCGCCGTCGTCTTGATAAAAAATTAATTAAGTTTTTAAATCTTAGGGCCAATGTTAACCAACAAGTGCATGAATCATTGGCTGTTTCAAATGCAGTGGAGCTATTTAAGCTTGTTTTCTTAAGCACCTCAACAAACCCCCAGGCATCAAGCCTGCTGGCTGACATTCTCCGGCGTTATTCTGAGCATGATCTATTTGCTGCTTTCAACTACCTTAGGGAGAAGAAAATTATGGTAAAGGCTCAGATAGTCTTATTTGTCTTGTGATATGCTTATATGCTTGTGTTGAATTGATGATACATTAACAACAACAAAAGCCTTATCCCACTAGATTACAGTCAGTTATAATGACTACTACTTGTCTGAAAGAAATGGCAAGTATGGTAAAGTTACGTGAAGATTTGGAATTGAAAAAGAGGACAGTAATGCATCCTGTTTATCGTGCTCTTATTCCGTTGATGCCATGAGATATAAATATGGTGTGACAACGGTAACAGAAGACAGATCCATCATATCCTGCTCAATCAGCTAATTTGCGAAGAAATCCTTACTAATTCTAATTAGGAGATAAATAAGGAAATAACGAAGGACGGAAATAATTATAAACAATTGATGGTAGTAATAATTATATAACTAACATTAGACTTGGGACTCAGTTTACTAGGTCCTGGTTCTCATCTTGCACTGCTTACACCTCCCACCTATTTGAATTTTGTTCAAAAAACTAGTGTGACAACATGATTGGAGAAAGACATCCTGGGGCATCACAGTTCTTCCATAACTAATTGGCTGAAATGGAGTGTATAGTAGTTCTTAGGGTTACCACTAGTGAATCAGACTAATAATCATCAGAGTATTGTTTGGCTATTATTTATGTAAGACGTTTTCTTGACTACCTAGTTGACCCATTTATATTGTCGTTTGTCTTTTTCTTTCTGAACTCTATCTATTTTTTCATTTGACAGATTGGAGGAAATGGAACTCAGCCTTTTGAGCTATCACAACACTTTTTACATGGTATTTCCAAGTCGCCATTTCCTTTTAACACTGGAAGGAGGGCTGTTAAATTTTCTACTTGGCTCCATGAAAGAGTTAAAGACCTCACCAGTGTAGGGGCAAACCTTGCAGAAGACCTACAGTGTGGAGACATTTTTCATTTGTTTGCTTTAGTTTCATCAGGGGAACTTTCTATTTCACCATGCCTACCAGATAATGGTGTTGGAGAGGCTGAAGACTTGAGAAATTCAAAACGTAAGGCAGATGTTTGTGAGTCTTCGTCTGGTGATAAAGCTAAGAAACTGAAGTCCATATTTGGGGTAGAAGGTGAAGTTATTTCACGTCGGGAAAAGGGCTTCCCTGGTATTGTAATATCTGCACACTGTGCAACAATTTCAGGAGCAGATACTATAGAGTTGTTCAAGGATAAAGATACTCTAATCGGTCGACAGCCTTTTGAGGGGATTTTTCAACTAAACCAGGAACAAAGCTGTAATTATCCTCCTCCTGAACATATGCTGGAAAGTTTCAACTCATGTGACACTGTATCCATAGAAGAAAATGATAGTGAATCATCTTGGGATGCTATGGCTGGCTATGCAAGGCAATTGATGGTTCCCTCCAATCAAGAACAGAACAGTGTAATCTCTGCTGAGGTCTTCAGGGATATTTATGCTGCCATCCAGAAGGCTGGTGACCAAGGTTTGAGCATGGAAGAAGTTTCTCGAATTATAAATTTGCCAGGTATAGTTACTCTGGGATTTAACCAAGCCTATGTTCAACTCAAATTCCACGCAAAGAGAAAACTAGTTGAATTGCATTGAAATTGTTCTTGTTTTTCTTTTCAGGAGTAGATGTAGATGAAATCATTGTTGATTCTCTAGAAGCATTTGGACAAGCTTTTAAGGTTACCTCTACCTTCCCTAATGAATATTTTAATGGCCGGGGTATTTATTAATTTTATGAACTGCAAAGTTGTCAGTTTTTGCTAAAGTATACATTTGGTCATTTAATTTCACATAAGATTTTGGTGTGGTCCCTTAACTTTAAAAAGTATACCTTTTCTTTTAATCCTAAAATTGTTAACAAGAAATGATGATATGGAAATCTTGAATGTTGATAGAACGTTTTCATATTTTAACATATTAATTTTAATTTTCAAAACAATCATAATTGTTGCAAAAAATCTTCATTCAAGACTAATGGTTTTAGAGTTGAAGAACCGAAAATATATTGTTTAAAGTTAAGGGATCAAAGAAAGTACTTTAGCCTTTTTGAGAATAGTGCTAACATGTGCATTTATGGATTATATACGCGTTCACCCGTTTAGCGGCATACCTTTTGCCATTAACTTGTTTCTTCCAACTGCCCGTTTAGGAATCTTTGATCATTACTTGAATCCTGGTGTTTGTTGGTCTCCTCTATTTTTAATCACTACAATATTGTCTTGGACTTCTCTATTTCTGTTTTTTCATGATTTTAATCATCAATCCTAGAACTATGGGTCTGGATATTCAATTTTGTAAGTTGTAAATTCACTAGCTTGAGTTAACAAGGATTTTTGTGACGTGATTTGATTCTTCAACACAGCAACACTTTCTATGATTTTATAAATTTGCAGTTGTTGAGAGGGAATGGTCTCTTCCTCTCTCTTGCGTCAAATAGGTTAAGTAGATGAAAGATCCGGAAAGAGCAACGACAAATCCAAGAGCTCACTTGAATCTGATTTTGTATTCTTTTGTAGTTCCATACATTTTGAAGGAGGTTCTCCTGTTAACCTTGAGTATATGTCAATATTTTCACAGATGTGCTTTTATTGATATTGTCTCTTCTGGGCAGGTCAATGCTTATGCTTCTGTTCGAGTTGTTGATGTTTTATACCGCTGCAAGTACTCTCTGACCACTGTGTCTGGTTTTCATCCATCTGTTCAACTACCTTCTTCAATAAAGACCATTGAGAAAAGTGATGCTACACGCAAGCTTTACGAACCTGAGAAACAAGATGGTAGTCATGCTAATTTGCTGAGGAAGAGAAACAACAGCTCTGGTCAAGTGCACAAAGTGACGATTCTTAATCTTCCATGTGGGGATGCGGATTCTGAAAATCAGACTTGCCATAAGGATAAAGGCCTTATGCAAGACCAAGCTGTTTTGTCCAGAGCTGAGTATGAGAAAGGAACAGCTGAAATTTCTTCTGGTGGATCACGTGTGCCAATATTGCCATGGATAAATGGAGATGGGACAGTGAACCAAGTTGTCTTAAAGGGACTAAGACGTCGTGTGCTTGGAATTGTGATGCAAAATCCTGGGATATTGGAGGTAACAGTTAATTCTCTTTCCCGATGTCTTGAGTGAATTAAATGAGTGTTCATAATGAGGCTGCGAATGATAGTGGTTGCATCCTGAATTCAGTGAATGCATAACGGACTTATGTAGCTTAAGTTTGGGTGCACCCTGAAATTGCCATTAATGTGGATCAACCAAAAAAGGAAGAAATCTTGCAGATCTACTGACGTCTCTCTTTTTCTAATCTTTCAGGATGCAATTATACATCAAATGCAAGTGCTGAATCCACAGGTCCCCCCCCCCCCAACTTAAGTTTTTTCTTGAAATTTATTCTGATATTCTTAGCCAACAGTTTTTCATTCTTTATTTAGAAAGAGCAATTTTGATCTTTGAATTTGATATGTTTTTCGCTTGTGATATCTCAGAGCTGTAGATTTCTTCTGGACATTATGGTTCTGGATAGACACCTTATTGTAAGGAAGATCCAGGAAAGTAGACCCGATGGGCCCCCTTCCTTGCTTCAGAATCTGTTCGGAAGCAAATCCAGTCAAGAAAAGTTGATTTGCCGCGACCACTTCTTTGCCAATCCCATGAGTAGTTCCTTATTGTAGGCGAGCTCCGCCTTGGAACAATCAAAGCCAATGGGTTAAGCCAAATAGTATATACTGTACAGTATATTCTGTATATTTGTTTTTCCCTTTTTAAATATATACGAAACTTCTTTTAACTATGCTTTTCATATTTTTTGACAAGGCTATAGGTCAAAAGTCATTAATTAGCGTTTTTGGTGTTATTTATCAATGGCATATTAAAATTTATATACTTTTATCTGGTGGTAGCCCTTTTAACTTAAAGCCCGAGTTTTAAACTCCATAAAAATTAATTTGTCTTTTATGATCTCATTTAAATATCCTCAAATTATTCATACGCCTTCTTTCAATTAGATTTATTTTAATAATCTACATCCTCTAGCCATTATCTCACATTATATTAATTCATAAAATTCTTTTATCCTTCAACCATTTAAGGAAATTTTACTACCTTTTGTTTTAATTATAAGTTTTTGTTTATAGTCTACAAAAGAGGTTTTATAAATAGGATCAGAGATAGTATTTCTCAAGATCCTTCATTATCTTTTAAGGATCCCTTATTTTTCATTATCTATTGAAAAATTTTCATGCTAATTAGTTTATTCAAATAGTCTTCTTAAAATGTCTTACATTATTTGTAATAAATAAGTGTTGTTTTTCTTAAAATATTTTTGTTAATAATGTGTGTTAATTAGAACTATTACTTGATAAAAATCTTTAACATGCAACTACTAGGATTATCTTAAAAAAAAAAAATACGAGAGACAAGATAGATTGTGGTCTTGTATTTATAATAAATTAAAATTAAACTAACTTTATATTAAAATAGAGGTAGTATTATCCGTCCACTACAAGCTTATGAATTTTAATGTTGAATTAGGTTTGTTTAAGGAAAAGTTGAATTAATTTTGAGAAAACTTGTCCAATGTACTTAGTAGCAAATGACCAACACATTTCATTTACATCCAATTTTAATTTTCTTATATTATGCAATAACTGCACAGCAAGGCATGAATAGGAATAGGACAGGACCAGATTTCTGTCCCATGTTTCGTCCTGATTTCGTTCCTTTTTTATAAAAAAAATTGCAATTTTGGTATGAATTTTTTTTAATGTTTTAATATTTTTGTCATGTTTTTAAAAATAAAAACATTATTAAAGAAAATATTATGTAGAAAGTTCAATTATATAATATAAAAAAGATGTAAAAACAATACGGTAAAAAAATCATAAAAAAATATTATATCATGCTTTATGAATTTTTGATTAAAAAAAGAGATTTTGTTGAGATAACATTATAACTTAAAAAGCAGAAAGTCACTATAAAAATAATTATTATTAATAAGTGAATTAAATCATCTAATAATAATAATTAATAAATATTTTTTAAAAAAAAAACTTTGGGACAAAGGACGATTCAATCCTGTTTTAATTACTATTTTATCCCGTCTTATAGTTATTTCATCTCGAAACCTTTTTTGTCCTATCCCATCCTATCCCTAATTGATTGGAATGAGATCGTGGAACAAGACAATTGAACACCCCTAACATATGATATATGTAAATTTGAACAAAAGTAGGCTGTTTATCTTATTTATTAAGCAGGTTTAAAATGAAGTTTGGACTTGAAATACTTCTTTAAGTTGCATATATTTTGTATATTTGAGTTTTGATAAACTAGGACAATATAACTTGGTTAATGAACTTTACAAATTAAATCAATAAGTAGGAGAGAGAACTAAAATTTATACTTTTTCTTTAATAAATATTTGATTGCTGAGTTGATATATAAATTTTAAAATATGATGATGTGCCTCTTAAATTTCAAAATATAACACAATGTTGCATTGTCACTAGAGCGAAATCAAATAACTATAAATATTATATAGTTTTTTTCCAGAAAATATTATACTCCTATTTTTATAATTTATAGCCATTCTTAGTATTGATATTCGTTTATTTTTATTCTTTGATCCTCCAAATCCAACTCCTTCAGTCCTCCTCCTCAGTCTGCATATGGTCGAAAAATAAATAGGAGGGCAAAAGAGAATCCTTCTGTGAAACTGTGTTTCTCAATCCGGCGACGAAAGGCCGATAAACCGAAACTCCCTGCTGACGTGTACGATCCAGATTCAACCTCCTCTCAGGTTCTGAGCTCTCTCTCTTTCCCTCTTCGTCCTCTCCGTTTCGTTCCTCTCAAGCTCTTCCCTTTTCTCTGTCTCGCTGCTCAATTTCTATTCTTTATCCCCAATTTCGCCATGCCTGGAGAGGAATTGGGTTGACCTGCTTAGGAGACCACCCCGCTTGTCTCCTTCTTCTCAACCACAATTGGAGGGAAGAGACCGCCTCGAAAGCAATATTAATGGCAGAAAGTGCATCGTCATCATCCCCCAAACCCCTTCAATCCTCCTCAAACCCGATGGACCCAACTACTGTTGCTCAAAATCCTTCTTCAAACCCACAAATTCAATCACCTTCTAATCTTTCCCAATCTCCTTCAATCGACCACCTTCCTCAGATTTCTTCCCCTCCTCTTCCTCCCCTTTCCCAAATCTCTAACCCTCAGTCCCAACAACAACAGCAACAACCACAGCTGCTTCAGCAACAACAGCAGCTTAGTCCTGCTGCTTCTGGGTTAGATTATCAACAGAAATCCTTGCAGCAACAGCAACAACTTCAGCAGCAGCAGCAGCAGCAATCCCAACCACTGATGCAGCAATCTCAAAATGTGAATGCTAATCCAGTGTCAAATTATCAAATCCATCAAAGTCTTCAGAGATCACCTTCAATGTCTAGGTTGAATCAAATTCAACAGCAACAGCAGCAGCACAGTTTGGTGTCATGAGGCAGCCAGCGGGTTTGTATGGGCAGGTGAATTTTGGTGGTTCGGGTCCAACACAGCTCCAGAATCAGCAGCAGCAGCAGCAGCCGCAGCAACAAATAGGAGGTTCAAATTTGTCACGGTCAGCGTTAATAGGACAGAGCGGGCATCTGCCCATGTTGCCGGGTGCTGCTGCTGCGCAATTTAATTTACTGGGCTCGGTATGATGAATTCTTCATGTTAATTGATGCGTCTCTTTATATGAGTGGTTCTTGAAAAAATGGTGCAAACTGCTGCTATCTAATTTGCATCTTTCACTATTTTGGGAGGCAAAGTTTCATACTTAACTTTCGATGATTTATCTTGGAATACATGTTTAAGGTGGAAATCTTAAGCAAGATTTCAGTGAGTGACTGGTTATTCTTTTAGCGGTGTGAAAGCGAAATGACCGAGTAGTTAAATAACATCAGAGGCTTTTCTTGGCTGTAGTTCATGATTGGTCCCATCACTGGTTATGGAGTTATAGGCAGAAGACAACATGTGAAGTAGATGAAAGAAATATGAAAATGATGTAATTTGAAAAAATAAGGCACCCTACCTGGCTTAACATTTTCTTCAATTATGCTTTGTATTTTGTTTGCACGTGATAATTTAATTATTTTATATCTTTACATTTCTTGCCTTCTAATATAAATAGTTTTATTTCATTATAAAGTAAGTTTGAACTTGGTTGTAGCCGAGGCAGAAGAGTGGGGTGGTCCAAGGGTCACAATTTCATCCAGGTAATTCTGCTGGCCAACCTCTGCAAGGAATGCAAGCAATGGGGATGATGGGTTCACTTAGTCTCAGCTCACAATTAAGAGCCAACGGGGCCCTTGCTTATGCTCAGCAGCAGCGGATGAACCAGGGTCAAATTAGGCAGCAACTATCACAGCAAAATTCACTCAACACATCACAGGTATAATATAATATATTCTTACTTTGTGTACTTTATTGTAATTTTGCTATAGGAATATTTGTGTTTCCGCATTTTTGTTTCTATTTTTATTGAATCATAATGCCATATTCTTCTTAGTTGATTCGGCTTATAAATGTCCATGCAGTCAAAATTCCTATGCATATTTGACCTTTTAGGATTTAATATACTTTTTGCTTTTAATGTTCATGCTTTCAGAATGCAGCTACCTAACTGTGATCAACATCATCGGACAATTTAATTAATTTTTGTATCATCCTTACTCATGATGCTTTTGTATTTGTCAACCATAATTTTTAAGAAATAGTATATACGTTCAATTGAAAATGTTGTCTCTTTTCTTTTCCTATCCTTTTCCCTGTTAATTGGCGAGGGGGAAAACTGGGGTGTTTGTTGCAATTATTAGGCGCAATATATAAGAATATTGATATAGAAAGGGCATGTGTGTATTTCAAGAAAAAAGGGAAATAATTTCTTAATTCTATTTTGTATATTGAAAACATGATTTACGATAAGTTTAATATAGTTCAACTTTCAAAAAAGGTTTATATTATAATCTTTAATAATTTCTTAGTAATGCATATATAGATAACATTGGCAATGCTTATGAGTTGTTAACTACAGGTTCAAGGTTTATCCAGGACATCGTCCCTTGCATTTATGAATTCTCAATTACCTGGGTTGTCTCAGAATGGACAGCCAGGAATGATGCACAATTCTTTAACACAGCAACAGTGGTTGAAGCAAATGTCAGCGATGCCTGGCGCTGGTTCTCCTTCGTTGCGTCTTCAACATCAGAGACTATTGCAGCAGCAGCTGGCTTCATCAACTCAACTGCCACAAAACACTACGGGTTTGAATCCACAGCAATTATCCCACTTAGTGCAGCAGCAGCAACAACAACCAATGGGGCAGCATCAGCTGCACCAACAGCCCCAGCAGCCCCAGCAGCAGCACCAGCACCAGCAACTAATACAACAGCAGTCACAACAACAGTCTCCACTACAAACACCTATTCATCATCAGCAGCAGCATTCTCCGAGGATGCCAGGACCTGCAGGCCAAAAGACACTTAGTCTAACAGGATCACAGCCTGATGCTACAGCATCTGGCACAACTACACCAGGGGGCAGTTCAAGCCAAGGAACAGAAGCAACAAACCAACTGCTTGGGAAGAGAAAGATACAGGATTTAGTTGCGCAGGTCATCCTTGCTCCTTATCATTTTTCTGACAAGTTCTGTTTATTATTTATATATTCAATTGTAATTTAATATTAGTAGTCTATTCATCTGCAGGTGGATCCGCAGGGCAAGCTGGATCCTGAAGTTATAGATATTCTTTTAGAACTTGCTGATGAGTTCATTGATTCTGTAAGCATTCTAACATGTCTTTTTTCCTCCTTTCCCCTTGATTATTGATATAAAATTTCCACTATATTGAAATTGATAAGGAAGGACTTTATTAGTAGCTTGGTAACTGGAATGATTTGATAAAGGGATCAACTACTAAGTTCTATGCTTTTATACCTATTAATGTTTATCTGGTATCTGTTGTTACAAGATCATCACTATTCCCAGGAGCATAGCATAGTTTCAGAACCATAGTACTGGCTTCTATTTCTTTTTGGCATTGATATAGAGACTTTGGTGCCCATTTTTCAAATCGAGTCCTGGATAAATAGTTTTGATTATATTCTTTCTTTAAGTCGGTTTAAATCTAGCAGTAACATGCCAACTACAAGTTTTATTACTTTTATTCAATACTTTTGTCACTAGAGTTTTCATGATAGAAACACATTGACAATCTACTTGAAGGTAAAATTTGTTAAATTTGATTACTTTGGTGCTTGTGCTTCCCCGGGTGCTGGATGATCTTAGGTTCAGTATTCTTCTTTGTGAATGAACTGTGCTGAATATGTAGCAAAATTTGTAATTTCATTATTCATTGTTGTCCCCCGTTGGATTTCGTTATAGAATAAGTGGACAATTTTTTTTTGTTATTTAAAAACTTCTCATAGTAAGTTTCCATATTGCATTCTCTATTTGATACTGAAGTCTATGGCTGACGATTTGTCTGTCGTAATTAAGATTGTCCTGTTCTCCAAATTTTCAGGTGACAACACATGGCTGCATTTTAGCAAAGCATAGAAAATCATCAACTTTGGAGTCCAAGGACTTATTGCTACATCTAGGTCAGTTTTGACTGACTAGTTGTCATTTATTTTTGTGCCCTCACCTGCAAAGAAAAGCAGCCATTGCATGTTTTATATCTTGTTAATTCGATTTACTTGCACAAATTTTACCATCAGCGTGACTGATTAGTTTGAAAATATAAGTTTTAACATGATCTCAATCTTATAATTATATATTTTATGCATTGTTAAGTCTGCATTCTTGATTATTGACCCCAGAAAGGGGGAAAATAGGCTGCATTCTCGATGAAAAAGTCAGGTGTGAGGAGTTTTTCTCTGCCGCTTTTTTCTCCATTATTTTTCTTCATAAGATAGTGGTCTTTGAGATTTGTAGTGGCTTGACTTAGGGATGCTTGTCTTGTTATTAATTCTGTCTTTCTTCTTTTTTAAGCAATTTTTTGAGACGTTGGTTTGCATAGTTGGGATCAAGTTTTTGGTGTATCTGAAAACATTTAAAGGAAGATTGCCATAATTGCTTCTTTCTAATTTTGCTTTCTAATCATGTGAGGCTATACATTGTCTAAGCCTGCACTGTGATGTCTATGCTTGGGTTTACCTATTACTAGGCTGAATCTCTAGGTTTGTCTTACGGTTGCGTATTTGGTCAACCTATGGCTATTATGACTGATGAAGCAACTCGCTACTGTCTGCGGAGCTGGTAAGCTTAAACTTAACAGGTCTAAGCTTATCATGTCCTGGTCAGTCTTTTCTCATTAAAGGTAGAGTTAGAGAGGCTAGATGAACCTTTTTTTTTTTTTTTTCCTTCTTAAAAGTACCCCTTTGTTTCATTCCCACCTTGATTTTTAGAGATGCCTCATGAACTTCACTTCTACTTAATGTGCTAAAAAAATTGTTTTGACATGGATCTATCCCATGTTTGCCTTATCGAACCCATGTTATCGTCTTTCATCCATAGCATTGACATCGAACTGATGAGTACCAGAACCAGCATTTTCTATCATCAACTCTGCAGTACGTCCACCGTCTTGTGTAAATCCCGCAAAGAAAGGAAGGAAACAATCCTAGCTTCTCTTAAGCTTAGACCTCCACCATGATTCTCAAAATTTGCATGCTTCGCAGCCTTCCTTCTTCTTCTTCTTTTTCTCCCCCCTCCCCCCCAAAAAAAATTCCTAACTTCTTGAAGTCCTTCTTATCTGCCACGAGATATAATTGATTGTATGCCGCAGATGATAGATTAATCTCCAACTCTTCTCCTAATAGTTTTAATCTTCGCCTGGGGCATCGGTTTATGCATAGTTTTAGAGCTTAAGTGGTAAAGAGTTCAATCTTTGCCCCTCATTATTCCAATTAAAATTGAAGTTCAACACATGGAATGATGAGTTTTTGTTTTGCGCTCTTTTTTAAGTCCAAATTTTTGCTTGATAGAACATGTTAATATTCAATAAAATCATTCCCAAGCCTTCTACCAATAATTTTATCATTTTCTTGGCCTAAACAATTGTATCATTCAGAATCAAATGTTTTTTTAGAGCATTTTTTGATGTCAGAATTTTGTTGATTCACTTAGTTTCCCAAATTACTGTGCAGAGAAAAATTGGGATTTAACAATTCCGGGATATTCAAGTGAAGAAAAGAAGCATCAGAGCAAACCTGTAAGCAACAAATGATTTTCTTAAACACCCCCCTTCCCAACACGCACACGCACACTTTAGGGGAGGAAATAAAGGTTAACGTCAATTCCTGCAACTTTGATGCATAATTACTTTAAATGGATACTTGATTATTCTTCATGAATTTATAAAATAATTTAATTCAATATACCTGTTTCAAAGTTGTTAATTATTCTTAAAATACTCCTCCCCTCTTTGTTTTTGACTTAAGATGGGGGTATATTAGCCATTAGAAGCACCTCCTTTTCAAAATATTTTAATAGTAGCCTGAATTTTAATTTGCTGTTCTTCAATTTTACAGCTATTAAATGACCTTCACAAGAGGCGTCTAGATATGGTAAGTATAAGAAACCATGCATACAATTGATTTAGATGATTCTGTCGCTGAACACAAATAATTTTTTTGTTTGTCCTTGCCCAATATCTCATCAGGTACGTACACTGATGGAATCCTCACACCCTGAGCCAAGTATGAACAGTACTAAAGATGTGAGTAGACAGGGCCTTGCTAATCCTGTTGGCGCCCACCAAATGATGAGGCCTTCATTGAGTTCAGAGCAGTTAGTTTCTCAATCAACTAATTCCCAAATGCTACAGCAGATGACAAGATTTTAATTAATCCCCCAGTTCTTGCTCTCTGTGGCAGTTTGTTTAACTGCCTGGACACGGGTAATCTTCTTTTGCTTTAAATACTCTCATTCTCCTCCCTTTTTTTAATCAATATTCCAATTAATCAATCTGCTGCGGCCATGTATTTAATTATTTTAATCGGTATTCATGTCTACCAGACTTTCAATGCCTGATATTACCCTTTCCATTCTTCTTGATATTATTTTACACAGAGAACTTGAAATCCTATTTTTGTTTGGTTGTTAGAGTCAAGGTTTAAAGAATGAGAATGATCTCTCCATTTTAGCATAATGTATTGGTTGCACAATTATCTTATTATCATCCTTCCCTTGGGAAAGGCCAATACCACAAATGTGGGGCTGACCTCATGAATCATAACTACCAACCCCAAGAATTTTCATTTGAACTGAATTATCCCTGCTACCTCTTGAACGCTGTTGACCTATCTCCCCTTCCCATTTTAGTCACTTTATTTATCTTTTTCTTTTACATTCCATTCTCATCCATTCCAATAGCCAAAGAGCCTCTTATTTGCCAAACCTCAATCCTAACAGCATGGTCTTTCCTAGAAAGAGATGTTACAAAAGTAGAATTGATGACTGTACCTTCCTGAAAGAAAGTTTGTTAAAACCCTTGATGATCATTCTTATATTCTTTATCATTAATGAAATGGAATAGACCCTCTTCTATTTTCACAGTCCTTGTTGGACTATTCATCTATGTGAGCAGCTGGCTTGCTCTCATAGATCTTATCTAATAATTGCTGTTTCTCAGGTCTGGAAGCATTTGCGGTAACTGATTGGTTTACAAGGGAAGTGTAATTACTAATTACTTGTTCTTTAGACACGAAAATTAGGATTATAGTAATTGACATTATGCCGCTTATGTATATTTTTTGTTAATCAAATGTGGATTCGAAATATTCATTTGTTTTTGCTTTACGCCAGCACAGTGACATGAGTTTTGCCTAAATTTTGATTTGAAGTATTTGCTGTCGGGTTTATTGATAATATTATGATACACGAGTATACCAAGTATATGTTCGGGATAACTCTCTCTGGCCTCAAAAGTCAGTTGAGACGAAAAGGTTGGATGAAAAGATGATGATTTGGTGTTGTTTTGGGACAATTGAATTTTGCTTAAAAATTACTTTAATGTTGAAATAATTTCTTTATGGCTTTTGACTTTTTTTAAAAAAAATCAGATTTGAAGCTTTTGAAATTGACCTTTTAATAATTTTATCAAACTTTTTTTTTTTGTTTTGTAAAAACGTATTCAAGTATAACTCATATTATATTAATTAATTTGAATCGTAATTTCAGTTTGCATGTCATATTAACAATCCTGAGAAGTCAATGGAACCTGCTTTTGAGAGAGGAAAATGTCAGATATATTATTATTAAAAGAATATGATCAGCAAAAATGGGCATATCATCACTTCTTCCAATTCTGAATTGCTATTTGCTAGCTGTCATGATTAATATGATTTGTGAGGAACACAGTCCAACTAAACCATGGTGTTCACTGGCTTTTTCCTGAATCAGATCAATTTCGGACATTCGTAAATTCTGTCTGGAATATTTTCTTGGACATGGACTGTGGTTTACTACCTCCCATTCCGAGTTAGTTTGTGATATAAGTTATATTATAAATTAGTTCTTATATTTATGATCAGAAGTAATATTAGATATTAATATATTATTGAAGTTAATTATTGTTCGCCTAAAAAAGTTAATTTATTAATTGCAGAAAACTAAGCTATCAATTTTGGTCCTTAAGAAGACGTATAATGAAATGTTAATAATCGCTACATTAATACCACACGCGTAGTTAGGTAAAGCGTTGAGTATTCACAACATTCTCTGTCCAAGAAAATGTCTTTATTTTTACACTATTTTTTAAAAGTGGTTCTTTTCGAATCTTTAACAGAGGCATCATTGTGGACAACCAGGCCATGCGGTAACTTGAATATTGTAAAATCAATTAATCGCCACTAATATCTAAGATTATGAAAAATCGAATGACATAAGGATTTAAATTTCGAAAATGTTAAGAATTTTTCGTCTAGTACAAATGAATTCGTATACGATGATAGTATGATTGAAATCTAAATGTATATGTGGTTAAAATTTAAGAAATCTATTATTAAAATTGCTTATATATCTATAAGATTTATAAAAATTTTGAGAAGTCAATCAGTCATCTTTCTGTAAATAGTAAGTAGCATGATTTTTATCTCAAATTACGTTTAAGGAAAGAGTTGATCTGGTTCAAATCTCCGCTAAGAGAGACGTCTATATTTAGTATCCAATGTTTTGAATATAAATGTTTTGAATAAGAAAATATTTGTGCTTACTGTTTAGAAGAAAAAATAAATAAATCTTTTTATGTGAATATTGAATTTTTTTGCCAACCTAATTGTGTTTTTTTTTTGGACCAACTATGTCAAGATTGAATTTACTCTTAAAAGATCATAATTTTTCAGATTTCTTTTTTTGCCGACTAATTTTCAAGAGTTTAATTTAATATTTTATATAAATATTTATATTTCTATTCTCAAAGGATCCAATGTGCCCAACCCAAGGCCTTCCCCATCTCACACCCACCCAAGACCATTATACCAAAATGGGCCCCCACACAATCAAACAGCATCTCAGCGAGAATTGGGCCCACAATGGCTGCCACGTCATCACGTCCCTCTCCTCTCTCTCTCTCTCTTCCCCCCGTTTTCGCCGTCTGTGTAAAGTCTCATGAGTGAGTCCTGACAGGTCCTAAGATTCTCTGTTGCTAGCTCATCACTCGCCTAAATTAAGCCCAAACCGGTTCAATTCCCCGCAGACTTTCTATCTAACCCTTTTCCATCCCCACCCCCCCTCCCCCGGGTCACTGCATCTTCAATCATCTTCCATTTCCTGAGAAAGCTGCTATTTCCCACGCAAAATTCAATCCCGTTTGTCCTACCTGTCCCGCATCAATGCCTCCGTTATTATCCTACTTCATCTGTGGCTTCCTTTGGATTTTCATCATTCCCACTTTGACCGCATCACGTTTCTCATGAAGGACCTTAATTTCTGGTGGTTGAGTTGGAATTGATTCAACCTTGGACTGTTTCGCAGCCTGCTTCTTTGACTCGTTGCTCTGTTCTTCAGGTCCCTCATTGTTCTGGGGCGTCAGAACAAAACCCTAGCCGCTTGATTTCGAATCTTGGGGGTGTGGGTATGTTGCTCCGCCCCTTTGGAAGAGCAACTAAGAGGAGGTTTGAGGGCAAACCCATACGATCCAGTTCTTCGAATTCTTTATGCTGAGTAGGAAGCTGTCGCTGGGAATGTCCTGATTCGAAGCGATCGTATGCTCGGATTCTGTTTCAATAGCAGTTCTGTTGGGAGGTGGGGATCTTTCATTCAGAGCTAAATACGAAGAAGGGAGAAAGGTTCGATATAACTAGATGCGGAAATTCCCTGAAAACCCTGATTTTGATATTGATCATCCTTGAGAAGGGACATCTCTTTCTTGTTCTTCCATGGATTCCCCATTGTCGACCTTAGGTTTTGTAATTTTCGGCATCACCTTCAGTATTTATTCTGTTATTGCCGAGTCCCAGTCACCCTCTACATCAGTTTCGCGACCTTCTTCTCCTCCTTCTCGGCCGCAGCCATCGCCGCCGTCATCTCCCCATTATTCGCTGCCTGCGCCTTCATACGCCCACCCGCCATCCCCACCGCCACCGCCACCGCCACCGCCAACTCATCATTCCCATTCTTCATCGCAGCCACTCCATGGTTCCGCGCCCCTTAACCCTGCTCATGCGGTTCCCAGAAGATCACCGCGACACCCCGATCGCTCCTACCATGGCTCGCCCCCGCCGGCATCATCGCCCCGGATGAACTGGAGGAAGAAGGTCGGCCTTCTGTTTGCCGGTATTGCGGGAATCATGCAGATTGGTGTGGTTGGTTTCTTGGTTTTCAAGAGAAGGCAACTTTTAAGGACGAAGGATACCTTTGAAGCTAGGGGTTGAAATTTTCGGTGCGAATGTTCTGGCAATTCTTTTTATTTGGATTGGAATCCTCCAGAGTCCCGCAACATCATCATAGAAAGCAAGGATTGACATTTGAAAGAAACGAATGAAGGAACGAATGCTCGGACCTCGAGTTTTTCTGTATATGGGTATTTATAGTTGGCGTTTTCCATGCGTTGCTTCCTACATTTATACTTACTGTCCTTAGTTTCATTACACGGCTCATGATTTAAAGAAGCCCCTTCTTCCTCTTTGGTTCTATATTTTTATATTTTTGCTCTAACATGTTCAATGTACAATGATGCTAGGAAGGTTTGAAGAATTAGTTGGCAATGACAGAATCTGATTTTTCCCCCTCCCCGTTTTGATGTATTTGCTTCTAATTTTATGACTTCATTATACATAGTGATTAAAATTTGGTGTGATTGATTATTTGGTTGTTGATACTGCAGAACCTTTTTGCTGATATTTGAACTCACTGACTCTTGCATTGGTAATGAGCATGATGTTCTGAAGTTTTATTTTTGCTGAAATTGTAACGATTTACTATCAAGATTGTCGGAGTTCAATGAAATCTCCCAGACGGAGTATGATATCTAGCGATGATGCGCCATTTGCATTTTAAGATTGACTTTTGTGTTTTCTTTTGGCCATTGCTCTGTGTAATTTTCTTTCTGAATAGGAGATTTAAGAGAAGCTTATCAAGATGAAGTTGGAGAGCAGCTTAGTTTGTTTACCCGTAATGTCATAACTCATAATAGTTCTTCGGAAAGCAAGTCTTGATCGAATTGTTGTTCAGTGCTGAGACGATAATGCATATATGATTAACTTGTAAGGATCCAAACCTTCTTGGAATACAGCATTTCGAAACTTTCCTGAGCTACTACTTTTGAAATAAGAAACGAATTTTTTTTTTTTTTTTAAGGTTTGGGGGGGGGGTGTTCTCGGATGGTCCATTTTGTATCTTTATGTGGCTTTGAACTTGGAATGGAGTGTGAATGCCAAGGAAATGCACATTTGCAATGCCAATCTGTGACATGACTATTTCATGAAATTCTTCAGGCTTTGAAGAAGCTTTACCTTTTGCAAAATTGTGCTATGGTGGATGAATGTGTGGCTTGTGTTTGGAGTCAAATTAAAACGTGACTGGTGGACAATTGCGTCTTCTACAAGATATGCTGCTTTGATGGCCAAGCACAAGCGTGTTGTTTCCAACTGGCTTTTGGGTGTTGGATTGGCTGATTATTATTTTGGTAATGACTCAGTTCTAATTAATCTTGTGGAAGCTATCATGAAACAGAGATGTGGCATGCATGTGTTTTCTTGTACAAATTCAGATTTATGATGTTCTTGGTGATTTTGAGTTGAGTATGCATTGTTAGCTTGGGAACATGTGAGTGAACAGGACAATAGGAACATGTGAGTTTACTTTGGTTTAAGTAAGCTTTTGGCTCCTCTAGTTTCATGTAATAAGTTTCAATTTAGCCCCCCATAATTCAAAACCGGACGTTGTTGTATTTGAAACCAGCCTATTTTGTGCTTGCCACATAATATAGAAGAAAAATTAATCCCAAGCAAACGTAACGTTTGTTGAGTTAGATGTTAATTATTTGTTATCGGTTGTGAAAGGCAAAATATGACCAATTCTGGAGAATAGAAGGGCATCTTTCTGAACTGAAATCAAAGAAATGAAATTGAAACATCTTGAGACTTGAACCGAATATGCATCTAGTTTAGAAGCTTTTTACTTTATCCAGTTTGCTAGGAACATCAGAAGCCTATGGTATTCTTCGCCAAACACTGGTCCTTCAGTATCATTTTCCCATGCCTTCCATCTTTGATCATCATTGTGGTGGAGATACTGAAGCATAATGTTGGAAACTGTTACCTCTGAGCCCGAAGAATAGGTTGGAAAATAAGTCTTTGAGAAAGTAACTTGTTACCCCAAGATTGAAGAGTTGGGTTGTGTAAGCCTAATTCAAAAAGACTATAAGATGCCTGAGAGAAAATTAGGAGAAACGCAAGTGTTGTTGAATATTGGTGGGTTTGTGTTTTGTTGGTTGGGACCAGCGGTGGCCTTCGATTCTAGATTCAAAAACTCTGCCTTCTGAGAACTGAAAATATGCTGTGGAAGTCCCTTAAAGTTACTGTGACAGGGGCCTCGCACCGATAGGGCCTTTTTTTTTTTTTTTGACTAGCACACCGAATAGGGCCTTTCACGAGATATATGTGGAGTATGTATTTACATATATATATATATATATATTTATATTTTCTAATTTTTGAGTAGTAATTCTTTCATTTTCATCAATATAATAATGTTCAAATCTGTAAAAGCACAAGAGTATGTTTCCTGTGCGAAATTCGAGATAAACAGAATATTGTTTCATTTATATATACGCACTATCTGCAGTTTTAATTATAAGATTTTGTTTATACTATAAATAAAATCTTATAATTAAGATAAGAGGTAATATGTATATGTGTGAAGATAACAAGTTAATGTAATAAAATATTAAGATCCGTTTAGAATGGTTTATAAGTAACTTTTTAATTGTAATTTATGAAATACAAAGTAAATATGTAGAAATAATTTTATCTTTATTCCCGTGAAATGTGTTTATGGGTGTCTTTGAACACTATTCCAAGCAGATCTTTAATTGTTTCCTTTGGTACCTAATATGGCTAAGGCCCTAAAGAAGCAAAAAACTAAAGAAGGGGTGCGTTTAAACCCATATCTTTCTCTATCCGGCGAATCAGAATTTGAAATTCCCCTCTTTGCAAGAGCATTAGCAACTCTATAGCATTCCCTTGGGATACACTGTGTTTTAACTTCCCAACAATATTCTGTTTTTTTCTGGGTTACAAAAAAAATTAAGTTGGATCCAGGAATTTACCAGGGCCAACACAGAGCTCTTACTGTTAATTTTTTTTTTTAACCACACAGGACTTTGTTACTTTTTGAATAAGAGGTGGTGAGTTCGAACAGACCAACTCACTTAATCCAGTGGGTGAATTCCAATCCATTAGGCCATTTACACTAGAGCTGGTAATATGGGTTGAGCCCGCGGGCTCAACCCACCAACCCGCCAACAAGTGGCGGGTTGGGTTGATAAAAATTAAGACCGTTTTAAAATGGAAGTTTTGAGCCCATAACCGCCAAGCCCAAACTCGCGGCGGGCTAACCCGCAGGGTTGGCGGGCCAACCCGTTTAACCATTTTTTTTTTTTTTGTTGCAAATTTTTCCCTTTGCCTCTCAATCTCTACACTCTTGGCCTAGTCCACAGTGTAATAATGAGCAGTCCATGTCTAATAGTCTAACACGACAACACCAACACGGTCTCATTTTCACGTTTTGCTTGCGTGTTGCACTCCTCCCAGACTCCCAAGTCCCAACTCTCCCAGTCGCCCTTGGCCAATCCTAACTCCCAAGTCCCAAGCCCCAAGCTCTCTGCTCTCTGTCTTTGCTTTGCGCCTTTGCCCTAGCTCATGAGTGATGATTGAGCACTTGATAGTTGATACTTGATAGTGATTTGTGTAGTGACATTGTGTTTGTGACTTTGTGGTAGTGTTAATTTGGATTTATGTTTTAATTTGAGATGTTTGTTAAATTATTAAGGACATATCATGTTCATTTAATCATATGTTTAATATTTTGATATATTTGAAACTTGGAACTTGGAACTTTGGATGGGTTCCATGTTTTATTTATGATAATTTATATTTGCATGTTTTATTTTAGGTATTTAGGAATTTGGGACTTCGAGTAGGTTTTATTAAAAAAAAAGTAAAAACAAAAAAACAAAATTTGGCGGGTTGGCGGGCCTAACCCACCAACCCCCCCTCGCGGGCCGGGTTGAAAAAATTCCAGCCCGTCAAAAAGCGGTCCTAAAAAGCCCAACCCGCCAAGCTTCAAGCCCGCCATGGGCCAACCCATAATCGGCGGGTTGGCCCATATTACCGGCTCTAATTTACACATTTTGATGGCTCCGCCAAACGGAGGATCCAACTTCATCTTAAGCAACAGAATAATTGCTTCCAATTACATTTTAATAAATAGAAAACATTATACAAATATTATGGGTCAAAAAAGGAAAAAGTATAATTTATTGTCTAAAAGGCATTTTATTTTATTTTTAAAAAACGTAGGTTTGTTCATGAGAACAGATAATAAGAAATCTCTCTCTCTATATATATAGCTCAAATAATATAGAAGTTAGATAATATTTGTGAATAAGGCAAGAATTAATTATAATTTAAGAAAAATATAATGTTAGTTAATTTAGTTTACTCATTCAAAGGAACGGCCACTGAAAAGCACAATGCAAACTAGCAATGTTTGAAAGTGCAGCATCAGAACCTGTGAGATCTCAAGTTGTCCATAAGGAAGTGATGCAGAGAATTTCATGACAGAGGTACGACACACACACATTTTCAGAGCACATGTTGCGTTTGGGTCCATAAACTTTTATAGAATAAGCAAAAGCTACAGAGGCAATTTGAATTGGAAAGCAAAGTGCAGAACTTGACAACTACAAACTGAAGATGCTTCCTTCCTTTAATTTCCCTCCAGTCCACTCACTCTCAGTCAAACAAACCTCACCACACACACACAGTTGGCAAATATGAGACATGTTTTCTTCAGAGGGAAGCAAGAAAGTATATTTAGATATCAACCTAAAGTAAAGACACAAATCCATGTGTGGCCCCCCACATTCCTCCATAATAAACATCTCTGCTTTATCAAAGGTAAGCTCCCCTAGCCACCAGACCTTTCATCTTTATCACCATCTCTCTCTCTCTCGCGCGCGCGCTCTTTATCTCTCTCCTGGCCGTATCCACTATCACACATGACCAAAACGTCATTCATCTGCAAAGCAAGAAAAGAAAGAGGCTAAATAATACAATTAGTCCAGAAAAATCTTATCTTGATTTAATGAGTTTTATTTTTCAATGTATCTTTCAGGGGAAGGGTGATATTGGCGATATTACATGTGAAAAATAGTTTTTTTTTTTTTTTTGGTTCTATGGAACAGTTTAGAGGTGGGGCATCTAAAGAACTAGCACAGTAATAATGATCATCACCTGTGGGAATTCTGGAGTTGGAAGCAAGATCAAGCCAAGAATCCGTGTTCTTTTGAGTCCACTGATCCCCAAAGAAGTGGTGAAGTGGTCTCTGGGTAGTTTCAGTACCAGTGTCTTTCTCGCTTTTGCCTGGTCTGGGTGATTTGAAGTCAGTGCCTAGAATAAAACAATGTTGCTCTTCTTCTTGTTGCCTTGGATTACTGTCATTATCATTGAGGCTTTGAAACTGGTGAGAGTTTGAATAGGATTTATTGTAGGAGCCCATAGATAATTGGTGGTACGAGTCAGGGAAGCCTCTAGCTGACCCTGAAGCTTCTGGGAAAAATGCCCTTTCGTCCACATGAATATTTCTGCTTGAAAAAATAAGGTCAAAATAAAATTAAAAATAGAAGGTCACCGTCTAACAAAGTTGCCAACTTTTTTGTTCTGCACAAACCTGTAGTCTTTCTCGTCCTGGGAATAAGATCCAGAGTCCAAAAATAGCTGATGGGTAGTGTTGCTATGAGATGAGAAATCAGAATCAGGAGGTCTCGTAGAGGTTGAGTTGGTGTAAAAGAAGGGATTAAGAGAAGAATTTTGGTAAGGATACTGGGATGATGATTCAGAGAAAGGGAAAGAAGAAGAGATTGAGGGGGTGTTGTTGTTTGGGTTGTTGCTCATCATGGAAAGGCCTCTGTTAAGGCTATATGATGAGATTGCTTGCGAGGTGTTTGTGGTAATGCTGCTTGTTGATGAAGGAACTTCCACAGGCTTTCTTGAACGGTTTCTTCCTCTGTGCATGTGTTTTTCACAGTATTTTGAATCTGGGTATGCTTCCTTTGAGCATCTCCATTTCTTGCCGTCTGTTCTTCTGCACCTTCCTGGCTCTGGGTCAATTTTTCTCCCAAAACCCATCTCAAAACATCCCCATCCCACTGCAAAATAGGTATACAGAGAGCGATATATCAATAGAACGAACCATAAGCTTTGAAACAATAGAAATATGAACATGCTTCTTCATGCGCTTACCACCGGGATGGTGAGTAAAAAGCCTTGAAGATATTGATGAGTCTAGGCTTCTTTTGATGGAGTAAATGAGATCAGGTGGGATCGGTGTCCCTGAGACCATGTATTTGAAAACAAGAGCTTGTTGTTCAAGTTCTTGCCACTGAGAAGCTGTGAAAGGAGGCCTATTTCTTGCAGTATTCATCATTCTTGTGATTCAGACAAAAGAGAAGAATATAAGTTTCTCTTCTACACTCTGATAAATAAAGAACAAGAGCTCAACAGACTTCAAACAAAGACAGAAAAAGGGAGAGGATTGGTTCTATATGTTGGGGCTGATTGATAGTTTTTTCTTTTTTCTCCCAAAGGGCAGAATCTTCTTCTGTGCATGGATGATAGATAAGAGAGATGGATAAATAGATACTAATGGCTCTGATGATATCCTTGTTCTGGCTCGCACTGCCACCTCCTCTCTATTTCTCTATGTGCTGTGAATGAGTGAGTGAGTCTGTTCTTATTATTATGACTGCACCGCCTGCAGCTACTGCTTCTGTTTTTTCTTCTTTCCTTGCAGCTGCCTTTGTTGTCTCTGACATCTTTTGCAGAAATCTATAAACAAATGTACAAAGAAAAATAATAATAAAAAAAATATTTAATTTCGAGTGCAGGTTAGTCCATGCACCTTAGGTTCTGCTGCTGTATTGACATCACAGTCATGGAAAATAGTGCCTCTGATATTATCATATTATTTTGGAAATTATTTTATGGTAAAATTTGTGACACGTCTGACAAACTATTGTCCCTTGAAATAATAAAATTTGACCTTTAACATTATAGACTAAAATTCCCATCTAAATAATAATACCATGAAATTGTTAATTATTATTATTGTAAGAAGTGTAATGTAAGCTGCTGAACAACGCCAGCGGTCATAGCGATCTCTTTTGTAATCCGAGGGTATGGGTGGTAACTTTTTGAGCAAGAGACAGTCTCGTACGTGTCATTTTAGATCTTTTTTGGCTTCGTATGTGTGGCATGATCTCGTTGATGGATATTGAAAGCCATGGAGCTATTGCTGAACCTGCTTTTTTTTTTTTGGGGGTACGGATTTGATGCTTTTCGCTTTTTACTTTACTTTTTCTCACTTTCATCATCTATGTAGATATTGGGTTACAGTCAATTTGGCTTCTTTAGGTACCATCATCATAACCCTTTTCAATGTTTGCCCGTTTAATGATTACCATAGGAAGAAACTTGACACGTCACACTTCCTTTAGCCCTTCATATTATAATTAGCAGTTGAAGGTACTCATTGAAGGATGATTAAGCAAGATTCTCTTGGAAGTTTAAACTCCCATGTTGTGGTAACTAATCATGAAAACCATTGAATGCTTGATAATCTTTTCCAAAAGGAAGGAAGACAAGAACAAATAAACAAGACTTTCTTTCAAAAAGAACTTAAAAATTAGAATTAAGCTCACTTCATCATAAACTAGCCTGAGTTTATTATTATTATTCTCTTATTTTGCGTGAATAGTGGATGTAGAGAGACAGTGCAGGGAAAAGACTATTGGGTCGAGGGAGGTTCGGACTTGTTTGTTTGCAATTGAAAGCACTTGTCTTTCTCTCTGGCAAGTTGTCAGGAAAGTGCACTCTGAGGTTAAAACTGTTCACGCACACTGTTGCTCTGCCCCATAACACATGCTCTCCCTCCTTTACTAATGTGCCACACCTAACTCACCCCTTTCATTCATTTCCATTTTCCTTTGAGCACATCTCTTTCCCATTACTATTACTGTATGCTAGTCCCACTCATCACTTATCTTCCCTCTGAAGAAGCATTTGCTGCCTCACTGACTCTCTGCAGCTTCACAGCAGGAGCTCTATGCCTCACCTGGGATCTTTTTCCCCTTTATTTTTCTTTTTGGGTTTTGACTGGTTTCTGACTAGTCTATGCACTTCCTGACTTGTATGATTTGATTAACATAACTCATTATGAACTGGGTTTCATCAAAACCAGACTAGTCTATACTGGGTTTTTCTGTTTTGATACCTGCAAATTCAAAGAACAATTGTCACTGAATATATCTCATCTACTGGGATTTTCTTTTTTTACTGGACTCAGACTTGGAAAATTCATGTGCCCATGCGCTGGTCTATTTCCATGCAACCATCAAAGTTTAATCTCTTTGATATATAGTTTGATTCATACATGTGGAGTCTGACATTCACACACACAGTATAAACATGTAGCGTATCATTAGTAGACAAGAATTGGTCTTCTATAGTCTACACTTGTATGACGTTTTTAAACAAAACTTATTATGAAATAGGATTGATCACGATCAGACTTGTCGGTACTGTGGTGTTCTGATTTAAAGGAATATTCAGAGAAATATGAAGAGAGTGGGCATGGAAGTACTGAGACTGCAAATCTGCAATATTTGCGGGTTGATATGTCTCATTTAGACAATGATTTGTTTAGGTAAGTAATTACTATCATATCTGTAGAAAAGACTTAATAAATGTGTGATTCAGTAATGAAATGGTAGGTACTGTCTCTGAATCTTGTAAGACAAACTCATTTGTGTGAGTATAGTTCAAAAATGACACGGTAGGCACTAATCCAAAACGCCTTTTTGAGTAAAATGTAAGAGAAATTATTTCTGAAGTCAATAATAGAGGCAAATTCCATGAACATACAATAATGGCACGCGAGGGACATTACTACTACTGCGTATGAGAACAGTCAAGATTACTTCGCTCGTGATAGGAAATACTTAATACTACCTCCGGTTCTTAATATAAGATCTCGTTTGATTTTTATTTTGATCCTAAATATAAGACTCCAATCCACTTTGTCTCTTATATTTATACATTTTTTCCTAAGGTAGTCCTCCTAATAATTGTAGTTTTAGTCAACACACTTGATTAACAATGATATTTTAGAAAAGACAACACATATTTATTACAAATAACTAACTTAATTGCTTTCCTTAATCTCTTCAAATTAGTCAACTAATTCTTATAATTAAGACTGGAGGTAGTATTTATGTAGTTATGTATTTAATATAAATGATACCAAAAAAAAAAGAGAATATGATTGCGTCCAGACTTCACATACAATTTTTACATGTATCCTTTGAAAAAAAAAAAATACTTGTATCATCCCTTTTTTGTGTATCTTCTTTTGATTATACATTTATTTTTTATGAATGCCAGATTCTTTTAATATTGTTATCTCTTGTAAGTATACTATATTGTGTGGAATTTTGCACGGTCATCACATATAATCATTCATAAACTTTTTCGGCAAAACCATATCTATGGCTTTGAGATCCTGAGTTTTTATGAAGATAGAGGATGATGCCAGAAGCAGTATTAAGGCAAAGATGAACATCTTAAGCTAAACCCTCTGCAAACAGCCAATTTACATTATTATGTTTCCTCCAGTGCCTTGCTGTTTAATATTCTACACTTGATTTTATTATTTGTATTAATTTATGCTTTATTTTGGCTTAAAACGCCAAGCCATGGGAGGAAGCTTTCTGTCCTGATGCACAATTATTTGCAGCCTTTGAAGGAGACCTTCTCTGCCTATCTCCACCTATTGAGGACTGATTCTTTTGTTTGCTTCTCTAGGCTTGAAGGTGGCTCTTTGCATTTTTGGGTAAGCCTATACTGACCAAAATGACTTGATCTACAGGGGACCATATGGGAGTGAACCCTAAACCTGAAAGCCTCGACTGACTCAAGGAAGCCAGTCCAATTGCTTTAGAGGAATAAAGTTTTGAATTATCAACTAGGGTTTGATTCTTTTATATAACATCTGGGACGAGCTTCATATATACTCAGCCAACGTAAAAGTAACCCAGATTTTGTGCATTTCTTGCTTGATGTCATTATGTAGACTTTCTTTGGACCGTCAACATTTGATTTGTACACTTCAAATTTTATCATTATTATTTTTTAATCTAAATCATAATTTTTAGAGTTGATGATCTTTGAAGAACTGTTTTTTATTTTGCATCTTTCTTCTGTTCAGATAGAAAAATAATGATCCAAAAGCATCCGAATCAGATCAGTCCAAAAAAGATGTACCATTTGTGCTCCAAATTTATTCTCAGATGTAAAGGTACTCGGTGAGAGGATTAAGAATTGGACAAAGGCAAGGACCATTATACTAACAAGAAAAATATGAAAAAGAGAGAATTTTGTTCATATAATAGGGGAATATTGATGATGTATGGGTATATTTTTATTACTGTCCTCCATTTTTTTTGCAAGAACATCTGTACTTTGTTGTCTATATTAGGGTTTCACTGAAATACAACCTCAACTTCTATTTTTCTCTTTCCTTTTCACTTTTGAAAAAGAACTCAAGAAACAACATGGTGGTACGCACATTTGAAACTGTTTAAAACAGTGTAACCGCAGAATATGGAGGACAACAGCTAAAATGGGAGTGCAGAACAATCATTCATTTTACATCAGGGTCATTTTGACCAGTTATTGTCCAATAAATATAAATTCCAAAACAAAGGCTTCACTTGCTCATATGTGAAACATGTACTATTTTTATGATAAATAGCCTTGTTATCGTCTAGTCACCAGGGAATTCTTCACAAAATATCAAAAGATATAAATATGCAAAGGAAGGGAAACGATCTATTAGCAGTTTTAAACTTAATAACAGCATCACAATCCTGTAACCTTAAGAGAACTCACTGTTCAAATTCAAGCCATTTACTACCGCTAAAAGGAAAAGTGGACGATATTGACCTGCAATGTATTATATATATGCCTCTTTTCAATTACATTTCTTTATGTGTCCTTTAGTGATGAAATCTCCTGTTAGTCGGAGCGGGATGTCACTGCAATATATCTTAGCAGGATAAGCTTTCCTCTTATCCACACATTTGCATGGTTCCCTTTTGAGAGCACTTGAAGGCATTTAGCTGTCAAAATGTCTGCTTATGTGCTTCCTCTTCCTCTTCCCATGTGACACTGGACCACTTCCGAATGACTCTCCTGTTTTTGCCATCTGGCTGATATTGGCACTTCAAAAAATATCTTATTCTGCAACTGGCTGATATTGGCACTTCGAAAAATATCTTATTCTGCAAAACTAACTGGGAAAAAGCTTGCCTTTTTGTGGAAAGACGTTGATCATTTCTTGATTGAAAGAACAGTTTCATTTCTTGGGCATGGCCTTCACAATATGGAGATATAATCACCAGCGTTAACTTCCCAGCTGTGTCAATATGTACGCATTCCTCACGCAATTAATTAAACATCTCTAATCAGCAATCTGCTCAGACCATAATTTTATCATCCGATTAAGGCTTTCCTGTCTGAGGACCATAGTGGTAATCATTATTCATCTCTCGATTTCCTACTCCTGAAGAGGTTTTGGCAAATATTTTCAGGTAAATCCAGTCTGTAACAATTCTATTAAGCAGAATCTACTTTTGACATGCTTACAGATCCGTTCATGTTAGTATGATCTACCAATGACGTTGATAAAAGGTAAATAGGCCAAGCCAGTCATAAAAAGACATGGAACTATACTAGAAGTAAGCTCACTGAAAAATGTATGGAGCATGTTTATATGTCTTTTGTATGATTAACTTATTCTACTTACCTTAATATTCTTTTTGATGTTGCTTGAGGGGGGGACCCTATCAGCATTTAATGCCATAATAATTTGGGGGCATGGAACCTTTTTCCTCCTTGGCATTTGGCATCATACACTGCATGTGCATGGCCATATCTTTTTGCTCCAACTTGCAAGATCTGGTTCTTATATATACTATGATACCTTTCACATTCCCTTCGTACCAACGAAGTTCACACACATACACACACAAACTCATACACTCTGGTCAAGATGCTTCACATTCTCTTCCTCTTCTCTCTTATCCTATCATCATCATCCATATCCAATGCAGCAGACTTCTGTGTAGCTGACCTTATGGCTGCAGAAGGCCCAGCCGGCTTCCCCTGCAAGGCGGCTGCTAAGGTAACTGCAGATGACTTTGTGTACACTGCCTTAGCCAAATCTGGAAACACCACAAACATCATAAGTGCAGCAGTGAGCCCAGCCTTTGTGGCCCAATTCCCAGGTGTGAATGGGCTTGGAATTTCTATAGCCAGGCTAGACTTAGCCCCTGGTGGTGTCATCCCATTCCACACACACCCTGGCGCTTCTGAGCTTCTACTTTGTCTTCATGGTCACATCCTTGCTGGGTTTGTGTCCTCAGCTAACAAAGTTTATATCAAGAAGGTAGGTAAGGGGGAGATCATGGTTTTCCCACAAGGATTGCTGCACTTTCAGGTTAACGCTGGTAAAAACTCGGCTACTGCATTTGTTTCTTTCAGTAGCCCTGACCCTGGCCTTCAAATCCTCGACTATGCTTTGTTTGGTAATGACTTGCCATCTAAGTTGGTGGAAACAGTCACTTTCCTCGATGATGCTCAAGTCAAGAAGCTCAAGGGTGTTCTTGGAGGCACTGGCTAGGCTAGGCTAGGATAGGCTTAATCATCCGTTAATTGTCAATTGTTGTCCAGTATTAATTACTTGTTCATTTTTTTTCATTCCATTTTTCCACTGTTCTTCTGTTTCTTCCATTCTTACTTGTACGTGGTTCAAGTCAATCTCCTTGTCACTGAATCTTTCAGATTAATGATAGTAATAAATTTGTGTGCCAATTTCATCCTATCTTTCAATATATGGTTTGAGGCCTTGACGAACCTTATCCAGTGTCCCCTATATTTATAAATGAACTGTTGATATAATCAATACTTGTTCAGACTTCTGTTTATTTCCATTATTCATAGAATTAATTGTTCAGATTAATGTTGGTGACATAAAGTTGAGTTCGTTTGTTTGTTCTGATCTTTCAATGTATGGTTTGGAGGACCTTATCTAATATCTCATATGGGTGATAGTTATAATTGTGCATGTCAACGTTAAGCTGAGCTGCAAATTTTGTTTCTATTGTTTTTTCTTTTTAAAAGTTGGAATTTGTCTCTTGTTGGTCTTGCGTCATTTTAAATAGTCTCATCACTCAAAAAGAAAATGGTAGTCCCCACAAATGATTTTATGGAAAAATTTCATCTAAAGGACCAAAATTAAAATAAAGTTAAAATCAGATCAGATTGAAAAATAGGTACTGCAACTCATTCTCAGAAATTACGACATAATGTTCATGGTATTACAAAGATATTTTCATTGAAGAGTAATAATAAACATTATTGGTATATATATCTATCAAAAAAAGATTGTAACTTTAGCTTTGAGAAGTATTTCCGTAACTTCAACTTTAACTTTGAGAAGTACTCCTCTGATCCTAAATGTAAGACCCTTATACACACTAGTATAAGGGTCTTATATTTAGGACTGAAGGAATATTAATTTAGATTTATTTTAAACAGTTTATATTATATTCTCTTTATTTCTAGTTACAAGGTCCAATTTCGAGATTGACAAGCATTGGGGGGGGGGAGTTGTTAGAGTTGTTTGGTGTATATTCTGTTTTGCTTCTTTTCAATTCTACCTTTTAAATATATGATTTTCACAAGTCTAAATGAACTTTTATTATGATTTAATTATTTATGAGGGACGTATTTAAAAATATTTTCAAACTATTCCTAAAATTATGAAAAAAATTCTTATAAAAGGATGAATTATATTATTTTAAATAAGTGATTGTTCAATTTGATTTTGTCTTTCATACAAGAAAAAAGGAGCTAGTTATCTTTACTTGACTCAATCAAATAAAATGCTGGAATTATTTTAATTTAAGTAAAAGTCATCACAATCTTCGTCCAATAAACAAAAAGTATTTTTCCAAAAAAATTTTCTAATTCTATGAGAAAATAACCAATAAATTCGTGACACTCCTAAAATTTTTAGTAAATTTTTAGTCGAAATTGATAATGATTTCTTTAAAAACATACCTTTTTGCGATACATTTCCTCAAGAGTTTGCCATCTTATAATCCTCCGATCAAAAAATTAATAAATATTGACCAGCTTGGTGCCCACTGGCCGGTCCCATAATTAATCAATTTTAAATTTCTGTGCGAAAAACGTCACACTAATGAGAAAATTTCTTAATTTATTTAGCCACCTCAAATTTTCTTTATATTTATCCCCTTGACTTCCCAGCTCCAATACAGATTCTAACGCCCTTCAGTATTAATAATTTTTTGTCACATTTTTATGAAAAAAAAAAGGAGGGAAGTATAAGGTCAACTGGTTATAAACAATTTGGTACTGCAACAATCTCTCTACAATCATGTCAAATTAAATCATCCCTAACCACCATACTTAGGCGGACCCCAAAAAAAAAATTGTATACACATTTTAAAATTTAATTTTTAAGTTAAAATAATTTTAAAATGGAAATTAAGTTTTTTTTGGAGTACCAATTACAATTTTATTTTAAAAATTTAAAATACCAGTAGATTTTATGAAGCTATTTTTAATATGAAATCTTTACAATCACAAAAAGTAACCACCGTCTCTGTTTTAAACAGTTAGATAGTTACCATTTTTTTTTTTCCAGCTTTTCCATTCTTTAGATGCATAGGAAATTGACCATATTAACGAAAGGGCGTAAGTAATTCTAATATACTCCCATAGGCTTTTTTTTTTTTTTTTTGGGGGGGGGGACTTCGATTGCCCTTAAAATTTCGCAAAATGATTATTAATGGTCATGCTCTTTTCTTTCATGATCACTTTAAAATACAGGGTTGCATGATTATAAAAGAGTAAATTTAACATTTTTAAGATCCAGGTACTCATTTTTATCTCAAGTTTGCACGTACCTCAAGCAGATCAATTTACTGATTTAATCAAATACACATTTTAATCCCGTTGAACAAGTGAATTCGTAAGAAAAATTTTGACATTATTTCATTTATTAATTTATTAATATTAGTGCTCTGGCAGATTGTTCATACGACGATCAAGAGAGAAAAGGAAGGTTGAACAAATAAAAATTAAAACTCCAATTAGTATACATCAGCTTGGCAAACAAGAAATATATATATATATATATATATATATATCAGATGCAACTTCTCACATATTAATATACTAGGGAAGGAAAAATGAGTAAGGAGAACAAAAAGAATCCATTGGTTTCAACAACAAAACAGAGCACAAAGAGTTGAAATAGAGAAGCCTGACCAGACAAAAATAAGAATTTTTCAATTAGTCAAATATTGTCTGCCGTCTCAATGAGATTCAAAAAATTTAAAATAAAAATAAAGATCCCGTCACATCCCTCAACCTACATAGAAATTCCTCTATCCAATCCTAAAAGAATTAAGGTAGCCACCCAACACAAAGAAGAGACAGAGTTTCTTACTAACCTATGTAACCTAATCAAACCTTAATAAAACATCACATCCTCCAAATGAACAGCACACGAACAATTAGAAAATGCCCTGCCTTGTCTCTTTCATGAAACATCTCTGCCCCTTGCTACATTTTATAACTATTTTCCTTAAACATAATGAATAAAGAAATCAGCCATTAGCTTCTCATCTCTATCTTCTTCCTCTCGGGTCAATGATCCCACACACTATACTATTCCCTTCAAACTCTTCATTCCTTCAATCTCTCCATTTCCTGGATTCTGTCAGAAAAAAATTTCCATGGATCCAAACCCAGCATCAGATCACATTTTGGATTGGTTTCAAGGTTCTGTTTCTTACTATCCATCTTTCTTGGATGATCCGTATAACGCGGGTAGTATTCAAGACTATAGCTTGTGGGGTCAGGGACAAGACATTGGCCATGAATACCAGGTTGATGTTGGTCCTGGATCTCTCAATGCCGGCACCGGCACCACCGTGTTTGCCACCATTAATGGCAGTGAAACACCCACTGAGCCTTATATTTCAAAGAACCCGCCATCTTCTGATCTGTCAAAGAAAAGAAACGCTCCTGATGATTTATGTATCAAACCATCTCAGAATCACAAGTCCAAGAAAATTAAGAGCCGCGCAGCCAATGAAGCTGACAATGGAGATGCAGTTGTAGAGGGGCCAACGGTTAAGAAATCTGCAGGGAACAAGAAGGGATCTGCTAAGGCCAACGGGAATAACTGTAATAACGGTAACAACAAGGAAGGGAGGTGGGCAGAACAGTTGCTGAACCCTTGTGCTCAAGCCTTGGCTACAGGGAATCTGACCCGTGTCCAGCACCTCTTGTATGTTCTCCATGAGCTCGCCTCACCGTCCGGTGACGCCAACCACCGGCTTGCTGCTCATGGCCTCCGAGCACTGACGCAACATTTATCTTCTACTTCCTTTTCTTCCACCATTGCTTCTTCAGGGCCTCTGACGTTTGCTTCCACAGACCCAAGATTTTTTCAAAGATGTCTGCTCAAGTTCTATGAGGTTAGCCCTTGGTTTGCCTTTCCTAATAACATAGCGAATTCTTCCATTATGCAAATTCTTGCTGAAGAATCCAATAGTTCACAAACACTCCACATCATTGACATTGGGGTCTCTCATGGTTTTCAATGGCCAACATTTTTGGAAGCCCTGACTCGCCGGCCTGGAGGACCCCCTCCGCTGGTTCGCCTCACTGTCGTGACTGCACCAGTAGAAAATGACCAGAAAATGGAGACCCCATTTGCTACTGGCCCACCTGGGGACAACTTCTCTTCTAGACTCCTTGGTTTTGCCAAGTCTATAAACATCAATTTGCAGATAAATAGGCTGGATAATCATCCACTACAGAATCTAAATGCCCAAATTCTCAATGTCTCACCAGATGAAATATTTATTGTATGTGCACAATTTAGGCTGCACCACCTAAATCATAACACTCCTGATGAACGGAGCGAGTTTCTGAAGGTTTTGTGGAGCATGAAGCCCAAGGGGGTCATACTAAGCGAGAACAACATGGAATGTTGCTGCAACAATTGTGCGAATTTCGCCACTGGATTTGAGCGAAGAGTTGAGTTCTTATGGAAGTTTTTGGATTCCATAAGCTCAGCATTCAAGGGCCGGGAGAGTGAGGAGAGGAGACTGATGGAAGGAGAGGCTGCAAAAGCATTAACAAATCAGCGTGAGATGAATGAAGGGAAAGAGAAATGGTGCGACAGAATGAGAGAAGCAGGGTTTGTGGGGGAGAAATTCGGCGAGGACACCATCGATGGAGCTCGAGCTCTGTTGAGGAAGTATGATAATAATTGGGAGATGAAAATAGAAGAAAACCATACCAGTGTGGGACTATGGTGGAAAGGGCAACCTGTTTCTTTCTGTACCTTGTGGAAGCTAAGCAAGAACGATAATGGCGGATCAGCTTCATCATCGACAAGTCAGCTTTAGCCTTTAGGTGAGAAGCTTGGCTTCAGCAGAGAACCCTTCTGTACATCCAGATGTATCGCCTTGCTGAACTGAACTGGAATAGTTAGGATACGCATGCGAATTTCAGAGGCCAATAGTGGCATAAGAATTTTATTCTCCACACACCTCAAACCACTATCACCACAAAAACACTATGCCTGGTTGTTCAAGTGTAAGTCTAGATCATAATATTTACATTACTTGTATAAGATAGAGAGACTGCACATTCTTACTTCTGTTACTATTGTTTACGCTAAGTGGTTTTTTTTTCAGGGCAGATTGCCCTGCTTTAGAGTTTAACATTAGCGATGAGATATCTACAAAGCAGGACCCCATTTGAAAAGATATCGCACAACAAAAATCAGGTCTACCATTTCCGTTTTGTGATCTGCGTAAACATCGTAAACCAATTATTTCCAGAATGATACAAATATTGAACAGAAAATTCTGGGCCTCCTTTGAATTGAACATTCAAGCCTTGACCCGGACTGGCTTCTCAAAATCAAATTACCCAAAATAACATCATCCTTCGTTATTAACGGCTCTTCGTGCATCTAACAGCTAATGGAAACATAAATCTCGTCAAATGAAGCACTGTGGCTGCATCAAAGGTTGATAAATTAAGTAAATTCTTTCCTTTTTCAAGTGGGCATTTTACAACTGTACCGTTTGATTCATGAGGACATGCTAGATATACCTAAAAGTGGGACCGTTGAAAATATATTTCGAACGCAAGGGAAGAAATCCTAATTCAAAAACCCTAACGCTATGTTTGGTACGGGATTTTCAGAGGGGGAGGAGAGGGAAGTTGTTCCCCTCCCCTTGTTTGGCTAGTGTAATTTTTTAGGAGGGGAGGGGAGCTCGTTTGGTTAAGATGTTTTTTAAAAAGGAGAGGGGTTTTTCTTTCCTCCCCTTCTCTTCTAGCCTCCCCTCTAAAAGTGGGGTTTTTTTGGAGAGGAGGTGAGAGATAATATTTTAATTCCTTATATACCCTTTCAATTTGTTAACCTCTAATCAATTGTAAACATTTTTATATAAGATAGTCCTTTTAAGTATCTAACAAGAGGTTATTAAGATAATTGTCTCCAAAATTAATGAGCATTTGTAAACTTTTTTTTTCTCTTCTTCTAATTCCAAGAGGCTGCTGGTATTTTCTTTCACCTTTAGGGTCTTTTTTCTGATTGAAATCTATTACTTGTGACTTTTTATCTTAATATTCTATAAGTGTGTGACTGTGTCTTGTAAATCAAAATTGGTGAATTATATTATATATTTATAGTTATATCTTAACAAAATAAAAAAAAGAGAAAATTCATTTAAATTTTATGAGGTTAAAATAGTCAATTTTTTATTAGAACAAAATAAGGTAATATTAAAATTGCTCCCTCCCCTCCCCTCCAATCAATCCAAACAGGAGATCATTAAAATCCCCCCTCCCCTCCCCTCCCCTTCCCTTGATTAAAATCCCTCCCCTCTCCTTCCTTCCGTCGAGCCAAACATAACGTAAAGGGGCGATAGAGTTCTCTATATACACCGTAAACGGTGCCAACACTATACCTAACGGTTTCAAAACATATTTAGTTATCAACACAGAACTTTCCCAGAAAGGAGGGCCGGCTAAAACCAATCTATCAAAGTGATATTAAGAATATACAAATCATTCACTGGAATTCACAGGACCAATGAGGCAAGGAAGGATTCGGCATAATCTAGATCATCTAAACAGAAAAGGAAAATGCGACCCTTCTGCTAACCAAGATAGATGTGTTTCAGCAGGCATGCCAGGCTCGATGCAGGTAACCAAGTAGTAGCTACTGTCTGCTCATGATTCAAATATCCGCACTGAATTGCGAATTTCCTGCCTACAAACAGGACACTTAGGTGCCACTTCGCGCTCAACTGATATGGCACACCCTTGGCAACACACAAGATGCCCACAGGGAATAAACACAGAACGCCTTCTCCTCATCAGGCATATAACGCATAACTGTCCATCCGGAACCTCTTCCATCTCATTGTCTAAAATCTCAAATTCAGCATTATCATAGTTGGTTTGCCCTTGCTGCTGAGCCTGCCTCTGGTGCCTCCATTGTTTCCATCTGTTCCAGTTTCTGAAAACAATAGTACATCTTAATTGACTGAGCACCAACCCAACAAAATTATCATAATTTTTGCTCAAATTACAATTCTAATTTACTTATCGCGGGGAAAAAGACACCAAATGTCAAGTAGAAAAAAGCCTATCTCTACAAGCTGGTCAGAGCAAGCAAGGTTTACTATACCAAGCACAATGACTTGCTTTAGTCATCAACAATGATCCGAATGCATTCCAAACCCATTCAAATTTTACCCACGATAATAAAATAGAGTAAAATAAAACGGTAAAGCAACCAAAAAAAGAGAGGCATACCTCACGAAAGCATAACCAAGAATGCCCACTGACAGTGAACCCAGAATGATACCACTCCAAAAAAGTACCTTTGTTTTAAATTTAAGCTCCACAATCATCTGATCTTTGCTCATTTCAGACCTATAAAACACGTCAATCACTTCATATTATTTTTCAACAAGCAGCGTTGCCACAAGGATGAATAGCTTGCAATAACTTCTGGAGTTATGCGCATAACAAATCCCACTATGAATAAAGACAGTAGGCATTATTTAGTATCAAACTTATTTATGTAGCAAGAGAGAAGACTTGTTAAACGATTGCAGATGCAAAACATACATCCGGCACTTCGACAAAATATTACATGCTAGGACAACTGGAATGATACATTGCCATATTCCCAGTTCATACATTGGCATAATCACGATGACCCCAACAAAACCATGAATTATTCAGAACAGGCCACCCTAACCCTACAATGAGGACTAACTAAATAAAATAAAATATCACAATGCCAAAGGTTAAAATGTTTTTATCCAAGGGTTTAAAAAAAAAATTCTTACAGAAAATATGGCAGCTCTTTGCATGACTTAATTTCAGCAATTCCATTTCTAAAATAGCACATGCCAACAGCGCTGATATCCTTTCCCAAAGGCAGAATTTTCTCTTCATCCAGCAGCCCAACCTACAGAAAGGGCATGATGATTTTGATATATTATGTGCTAATGATATGTACAATTGCATTCGCAGAATTGAGTGAAAGCTCTAAAAAGTGTAATTCAGAGAGAGAATGACAAAAATATTGAACTTGAACACAACTCAACTTAACACTATGCATTAAAGAAGCATTTAAAATATTGACTCACTGGATACTCATGTCCAAAAAGTGCCTGTAAGAATGTGTAAGGAGAAGCATTTATCGGTTGCAATTTATGATAAACTGTAGTAAGAGGTAAGGGATGCCTTGAGCCTTCCAAATTGACAACAACATAATCACCATGAGGTCGCCGTCCACCATCAACGAGAACAAAGGGAACCTAAAAGGGAACCATGATATTTTAGTGGCTATAAGATTCATAAAACTAGAGAGATAAAGGATGAAGAAATTTAAACCATAGAAGACAACAGAGTCCTTTCAGCTAACCATAAAAAAGCAAGATCAATATCAGTGATCAAAATAAGAGATTCTTGAGGACCATCATAAGCCCAAACAGGCAATGATCTACAAGAACTATATTAGCATGTTCTCTTGGCTTTTCAGAGCCATCAGTCAGTCTATTAGACTATAATAATACAACCTTATCTGGGGTGTTATTCATCTTCTAGCCATTAAATCTGCCGGCTAGTCCTTTTCTACAAGTTTGGCTGTTTCTACTAAATCATATTACGCTGGAAACCGGAGACCAAACAATGGTTGTTTCATCAACAGGATATTCCCCCTTGACATGTTATTAACTCCACAAACTGATTGTGGAATAAAAGCGAAAAAAGAATATCTGAAACACTAATATCTTTATCTGCAATTCTTAGAATGGAAACTCCATTATTGCTTACTATGGTTTCTTTCATCCTAACTAGGATACTAAATTGTACAAGTAATATATGGTTTCAAGAAACTCAAATAACCAGTCAACTATTACATCCAAGCTATGTGATACTTTTAAATTGAAGAATTAGTTACACTAAATAAGAACCATCAAAGGCAACGAAGTTATGCTTTACCGTTCTTAAAGATGTAGATTCTTGCTGCCTCAAATTTCGAGCAAATAAGGCTCGGAGATCAGAAGTCCAACCGAAGAAGCCCTTCCATTCAGTATATATACACTTTATGACATGGAAATAAAACAAAAAGAAAGAAGAAGAGTTAATTTATCGCTGAATTGCAGGAAAAGATTCATAGAAATCAAGTTTACGCTCGCATAGTTGATGAGGCAATATCATTCGTCAATGAAATCAGGACTGTTTATCCTTATTCATCCAAACAAGTAAACAAATAGTTGAAGTAACACAACCTAGGGAAACAAACAGGCAGGCACATAGTCTAAAAGTTGACGTTAATCAGCACCAGGTAGCCGGCAACACATGGTATCACGACAATTTGGAATTTAATCACAAAAAAGTAGATCATCAAAACATTAAATATCAAATAAATTATATTCATTTGAAAAAATCATTATTAAAGTTTCAAGTTTCAACTTTCAAGGATACTTTCGTGACCAACCCCTTTGTCGGTCATTGACACTGTTACGTATGTGAAGTTTGCCCTGGGATTTATGAGAACCAAAACGAAATTGCAACAGGCATTACGAGCCACCATAGCACTGAGAAAAACATGGTCAAAGCATCACAAACCAACCCATCCGTGTGACCAAAGGGTAAATTCCACATTGACCTCGGCCTCTGCCTCATCAGCGAGATAACAATCTATAGATCACCAATCAATTCAACCAGACATGTATCACAACGTGGTGTCCACTAAGAACACAATTCAAGAAATGAGGAAGAATTCAAGCTCTCGGTGAATTTACCCCGACAGTGAATAGATTCTACAATGTTTAAGGCAATCAGCAATCTCCACCAAGTTGCCAAAAAAAAAGTTTTTATCCAGTAAACAGTGTAGAAGAACATTACCGTTTGAGTTCTCTGAATAACCACAGCGTTATCGCCAGACTCGCGAGAAACTAACACACTAGATCTTAAGCTTTTCCAGCCGCTCTCAACGGCAGACTTGGCCTCGACAGTGCCACGGACAATAACGAGTTTGTCGCAACCTTGGGAATCGCCGTCAGCGTCGGAACTGTCCAGAAGTGACCGGAGGTCAGAAACGGAGACAGTAGGGGCGACGCTGAGCTTGTCGAGCGCGGCGGAGTTAGCAGTAAGTTTGAGGACGGACCGAACAGCGGCATAGGCCAAGGCGAGACCCAAAATGGCGCCGTCGAAGGACAAGGCTAGCTGGGAAAAAAGGGATACTAGGGCTTGCTCGTGAGAGGACATAGTCGGAAATCGGCGTGAGCATCCCGATTCCCCGAAATTAGTGAATCCGATGATATCCCACCATACAGCACGGTTCGCCGGAGATGGAGAAAATGCAGGTGGCCCTCGACGACGTCGTTTGCGGAAAAACTGATATGGCCGCAGCTCAACCTGCAAAGATGAAGAATGAAAAGTTCTAGAGAAAGGCAAAAGAGTGACGTCACTAATTCTAAAGAAATATTTTTACATTTTTAAATTTGAGATTTTTTTTTTAGAATTTCTTCGTAACTCTTTGCCTGCTATACCGCCTTTGATAAAATTACCGCAAATTTTAATTAAGGTTAAAGGCGTACTTAGTATTTTAAAATATTTTTTTAGGTACATTTAGTATTTAAAATATTTTGTGATGCATCTAACATCTTGAAATATCATTTTAGGTACATCTTGAAGTATTTTTTAATATATCCAATACCTCAAAATATTTTTTAGGTGTATCTAATACTCAAAAATATTGTTTGGTCTATCCAAAACCAAGCCAAAAAAAATTACTTCACGATACTAGATGCACTTAAAAAATATTTTGTGGTGTTAAATGCACCACAATATATTTCGAGGTATTGAATGCATTTGAGAAAATATTTCAGAATGATAGACGCACTTTAATCCTTTAATTAATTTAAATATAATATATTAAAATTTTTATAAATATATTTTGCAAGAAATAATTTCAATGAGTTTTTTTTTTGCCAAAAACTTTCAATAAGTTCATTGTTTATTTTTAAACTATAAAGAGTAAAATAAACTTTACTCATTTTTTATGTTTAAAATTTTCCATTCTCTTGATTTCAATTACCTTTTTGCTGTTTAATTTTGTACATAAATATATCATCATCAACCCAAAAAAAAAGAAAAAAAATTATGCAAATAGAAACAATGGTAAGGAAAAACAGAATAGAGCTGGGAAAAAATCTCTTTAGCCAATAATTAGTGTAATTTTCGAGATATTTTTTATTATTTTTAAAATTATTATTTTATAATAACAAAGGGTTAGATAAACAATGAAGGATAAATCAATCAACTCGCGTTCACTTCAGTCTAAAAAAAAAAAAACTCGCGTTCACATTTTTTCACGTCCGCATTCCATACTCATCTTCTTGATGGACACACAGTACTCAACACTCAAGACATGGATGTTTTGGGTGCTGAGCAGTGTGGGGAGATCTTTTTTTTAACTGTTTTTTGCTACAAAAAATTCATATATATTAAAAATATTTTTTTATTAAGGTTTACCTAGCACTATGAAATAGGTTTTTAGGTGTATTTAGTATTTTAAAATATTTTATAATTCATATAATATTTAAAATATTCTTTCATATGTATCTAGTGTCTTAAAATAATTTTTTTATTTTTTCCTTTTTTCACTACAAAAAAATTATACGTATTAAAATTATTTTTACTTAAAGTTCATCTAACACTCTAAAATATTTTTCAGGTATTTTGAATACTTTAAAATATTTTATGATTCATCTAGTAACCTAAAATATTTTTTCATATGTATCTAGTGTTTTAAAGTATTTTTTATTTTGTGATATTGCATCACAAAATATTTTCAAATAGTAAAAAAAATATTTCAATATACTAAATAAATCACAACAGACTTTAGAATACTAGATCCTTAAATATTTTTTAAAGTGCGTCCAGTCACAAAATATTTTAAAATAATAAATGCATATGAAAAAATATTTTAAAATAGTGAATGAACCATAAAATACTGTAAAATATTAGATCCTTAAATATTTTTCTAAATGCATCATCACAAAATATTTTAGAAAACTGGACATACATCAAAAAACATTTTGAAAATATTTCAAAATACCATAAAATATTTTAAAATATTGAATGTACTTGAAAAAATATTTCAGAATAGTTGATTAACCTTAATTAAAAATAATTCTAATACATATAATTTTATTTGTAGTTGAAAAAAATAAAAACAAAAAAATAAAGGTACAGTGCTACTCAGCGCTCAAAATGTCCACATTTTCAATGCTAACTGAGCACTCCACGCTCATGAAGATGATGAGCACAAAATAGGACGCCATTTTTTCCCACTCTGAAAAAATCAATCAATTGACCCAAATTCACAATTCTTATATTTTTAAAAAATATATAATACCAATAAATACAGTTTTATTATGTTTTAATTTATCTTATCCTTGCATATTTGTTGCTCCATTATTTCCTGAAAAGGAATTGCCACCGTTCTTTAACGAAAAAATCACAGCAACTGTGCGCTATGCTATTTTTTTGAAAAGAAAATTGTTGACTTTCAAAAATTACTACTCGATCCTATTTATAGAATATTTCTAATATATTTTATACAGTCCAAGAAAAATCTTAAAGTCTTAAAATACATTGACTCCGCCTTAAAAATATTCTAACTTTTCAACTTTACACATATTTAATATAATATATACACTTTTTTAAAAAAAAAATCTATACTATAATAAATAAAAGATAAAATAGTATATTCACATTAAAAATAAGATCAAGAAAAACTTCACTTGCTCTCCCGGTGCCCTCATATACTAGGAAGTAAAATGAAGATCACCAGGCAGTTTCGAATAGCTTTCTAGTTTAGTAACATAAAAATTCTCATATAAACAGGAGATTGTAAATTCAATCCTGTGGTTAACCAAAAGATTTAAAGAGGCAGATTTGCCTTCATTTGGGGAAAAAAACAATTAAAGAGGCGTAAATTAATGTTTCGGATTTAAGTGAGTTGGGTCGAGCTCACAAAAATCATGCATGCCTTTAGATTTACAAAAGTTACTTATAAATTACCTACCAATAAAGTCCTCACATTAGTAAAGAAGGATTTAATTTCATAAACTTATGAGTTATGAACCAACTTTTTACCAACTAGACCACCATTTAATGGCATCATATTTATCTCAAATTTCAATTTGTTCCGGTAACTTGCTGCGATTATAACATGTCATTTCCCACCATGTGTATAGTTAAAATCACGACAAGCGTTCTTGTATCAGTTATACGAGTATTTTGGGAGGACGATAGTTGAATCCCAAAGTATCAATTTAGTAACAATACCTGATGAGGTATCTGACAAATAAAATACTACCTTCGATCCTAATTATTAATTATATGACCTCGTTATAAATAAGATCTCATAATTAGAACTGGAGCTAATATTTTGTAGATATGGATTCAACTAGTTACAAATAAGATGAGGCCACAAAACTAGAATAGATGTGATTGATGACAGAATGAAACAGTAAAATTTATATATACTGGTTCTAAATATAAGACCTCTTATATAGTGTATTTTACATTATAAAAAGGATTTTATATTTAAGACCGGAGGAAATACTAAAATATAATGAATCCAATTAATCCAGATGTTACAGCCTTCTCTTCATGTGCGCGATATCTACACGCACTGTTGTGTTGATACGATATCACAGAGATGAGGTACGTGCGTAGGAGTTTAATTAGCTTCCTTGTGCCCCTCACCATAGTTCTGTATGCTTCTTTGATTTCTTCAACCCAAATCCAGTTATTTACACAGTACACTATGGTTAATAATTATTGGTTTTGGAGGAATGAAATGATGGAGTTGTTCATGGCAAGAGGGGAATCAAAGTTGAGGGCATGGCCTGCGTCCTTCATGACCTGTACCTTGGCTCTTCCTTCCAGATGTCTGCGATATATTTACCAGTCTATTCATTATCAAATTAATTAATTAATACTACTATTAAACACTTCTACATATTCTCATTCATCACCTCATCATCTTCAAATTAAAACACACAAACACTTACCTTTGCAATTCGTAGGCTTGTTTTATGGGAAACATTCTGTCCTTGTCGCCCCAGATTATCAATGTTTCCTTCATACATACGTACATTAACAACGAGTCAAATCTTAACATAATACTAAATGCAACACATTTCAATACCACAATATACTCCCTCTGATCCAAACAAAGAGCACATGTTAGAATAAATTTTCAGGGTACACATTGGAGATGGAGGAAGAGAAGATAGATAAACAAATTTGAATAGGAATAAATTAAAATTAAGAAGTTCCTTTCAATTTAAACACACATTTAATGAGTTAATCATTTTTCCTGACTCTGATGAGATAGTTGAAAGTGACTTATATTTAGGACGTAAAAGTACATTAGTAAAAGATTTGGACTAAAAAAAATACCTGAATTAAAATTCCAGGCTTTGAATCTGCTTCTCTATTTAATAAGTAGTCTAGAATCTCACATTTCTCCTTCCGATTTTCCTTTAGCACCGCCTTAATTATAACAATTAACGATAAACCCCAAAACAATCAATCTCACAAAATTATATTAAATATTCCAACGCGTAACCACAAAATAAATTATTACGAATCTAATTGAAGTTTGAATTTTACCTCGATGGCCTCTCGCAGGATAAAATCTGGCAACCTTTGAAGCAAATCAAATCTGTGCAAACACAAGTTTAACAAACAACGAAGATCTTCAGGATTCTCTGGCACAAGCAATTCCAATGGACTCCTTCCAATCTTATTCAAATGCTCCGTCTTCTGTTCTTCCGTATAGCAAATCCCACTGCTCACAATCACAACCTTTTCCACTTCCTTAGGGCACATCTCAGCAATTTTATAAGTCACGTACCCTCCATAACTAATTCCGGCCACACTGAACCTATTCACACCCAGTTTCTTCATCCCTTGGACGACGCATTTGGCTTGGAAGACGTCGGACCGGTCGGATCTGCCGGAGTAGGAGTCGCCGAAGAACAAGAGGTCAGGCACGAAGAGGTTTACTTTCCGAGACAGGTGCCAGATTTGGCAGAAGAATTGCCACCTGGACGATCCGCCGAAGCCGTGAATTAGGATTAGGTTTGGCTTGTGGGGATTTATTGTCGTGGGCACCCAGAATTGCATGACGGTTTTGTTGTCGTCGTCGTCCGGCGAGATCATGCATGGGGACAAATTGGACAACCTGAAGTTAAGTACTAAGAGAAATTCAAAACCAGCGATCAGAACACGTACTAGGTTTGATGCTAAGCGGAGAAACAAATGTAGGAATAGTAATCGCAGTGTTGTGTTGTAGAGAGAGAGTGCTAGGGTTAGTATGTTTTTGCTGATAAATTGAAGAGAAGAGAGAGGAAAACACAAAAGCTTAAACCAAATTCTGGTTCTGATCTTCATTTTATGAATGTGGTGGAAAACTCAAGTCTTTAACCTCGGCTGAATCAAATTTGAATTTGACGAGCAGTGAAAGAGAAGAGAAGATCAGATCTGCAGGCACACTCCATTGAAGGAGAATTATCAGACTGATAATGTTTGATTAAATTTTTGTGATTAATTTGATTTAAAGAATATGGGGTTGGATTAAATCAAAGGTACGTAAGCACTTTTTTTGGCGAGATAATTAATTTTGTACGGGTCTTCAGATCACTTACACCTGACAGTGTAACTGACGAATTAGCTATTTACGTCCAGTATTAATGCTTTCAACTAATCAACCAACATACACACAAATTCTGATTATTTATTTGCTGAGGCTAAGATTTGATTTTAAACGTGTTTATTTTTTTGGTAGTAGGATAAACATGTTCATTTTAACATTTCTTTGTTTTAAAATACATGTGTTTTGATTCTGAAATAATACGACAGATACATACATATGTATGAATTATTTTACAATTCAGCATTATATATGTATGTACGTATTTGGGGAAAGAATGAAATACATACATATGTATGAATTATTTTACAATTCAGCATTATATATGTATGTACGTATTTGGGGAAAGAATGAAAGATCATATACATGTGTTACTTATACATTCATACACACAAAATTATTAATAATCAATCAAATGAATTATAAATCGATCGGCAAGTAGTTATATATATAAATATATTTAGAGATTATATATATATTTTGATCAAATTAATTAAAACGCCGTCATAAGATTGACCCCAGAAAAAAGAGATTTTATAATAATACTCCTCATGTTCTTGATGTAAGGCATAATTAACTAATTTAAGTTCATTAATGATAATAGTTAATTTGGTTAATATAATTTTTTTTCAAAACATTTTAAACATATTTCTTAATTCTCTATCTCTCTTTCTTACTTAATTATTGTAGAAGAATATCAATAGAGTTAATTTAAGAAAAAAATAATAAACATATAAAATAGGTCTTACATATAGAACTAATATTAACTCTTTAATTAGATTGCTGAAAGAATAACTTTTTTTTTTAATTCTATGTGAATTAGTTCCTATATTTAGAATAAAAGGATGGTAACTAATTTTATATTTAAAAAAGAAAAGAAAAGTGTGTACTTAACCAAGAAGCAGCCAAGATGACTCCGTGACAATGTTGCTGTTTGGGTTTCTGATGACACCGTGCGCCAAAAGCCCAAAAGTTTTATATAATACGCGTGAGTCTTTTTTCGGTCTGTATAATACGCGTGAGCCTGCTCCAACACGTACCAATAAAAAAGCCACTAATATAGTAGTACTACCTATTACCTAATCTTTAATATAAAATTTACTTAATCAATTTGTATAGATTAAGAAAATAATTAAATTTGTTATTTGTTAAAAATATGTATAGGTTTTCTTTAAAATACCTTTTTTAAATTATTTGAATTGAAATTATCATTTAATGCAAATTCCGTTAATATATACAACCATTAAGGTTAATTTGGATAAGTAACGAGAACAAAATAAATTAAAGTCTGATATTTAGAACTAAATTCAACTCTATACTAACTCTTATATTAGGTATAGAACGTAGTATTAATCAAGAAAATTTGTTATGAAATACCTCTATTTAAATTAGATATGTTGAATTAATAATAGTTAACGATGTACTCTCAACAATTTTTTTTTTTTACCAGCATTCAACAAATTATTATTAGATCAATACATATTAAATATTCTGATGAACACTAAAGGTGATTGTTTGTTTGAAGTGATATAATCATGCCTTTTCCACAAACTAAGCAATTGATGAGTATGGTTATAGTTATTTTACAGGTGTTTTCCAACGTCTTTAAAAAAAAAAAAAGGAAGAAAGGAAGAAAAATTGATGGCCATGGCCCAATAGCAGAAGAAGGCACCAATAAATATACAAAATATACCTTACTTGCATGCCACTGAATCTCCTTTTTTCAACTTTATATCAATTTTGTCAATTCTTCAATCCCCTTTGATTCAGCTTTTAACTTTTTGGACGGCTGTTTGTCTATCACTTGCCACCCCAGCTCCAACTGGATTCCTTAGTCCATTCCCTACCATAATCCTTCAATTTTAAATCACCACCAAATAAATAAGTTTTTTTTAATTATTTAATTTAAAACATAATGGTTCCAAAACAAATTAATCCATTGTCATGTCACAATATTTTTGGGGGGGGGGGAAGCTACCTATTCTTACGATAATTAAAGCTAACTCTTTTAAAATATAATTCTAACTCCTTTTCTCCATTATAAATGTCTTGCAAGTTACAATTTTGATTATAGAACTTCCCTCTTCAGAGCGCATCAATGGCTAGTACCTCCTATCACACATACTCAGGCCAGGGCTCTTCTCAGAGATCGTTGGCTATGGTGTTGGCTCTTGCATCAGCCGTGGTTTTGTCTCCATTGTATAACATGAAGCCAAAGAGTAGCGATGGGAGCTACTTCGAATCAAGATGGAGCTCTGGTTTTGTTCTGCCTATGGTTCTTGCTGGCCTCATCATCGCCATCAGGACCAGCTCTTCTTCATCTTCTTCCTTGCTTCCATCTCCAGAACCTTCTTGGGTCCTCAGAATTGGAGCCTCTTCTTGGGGCCTTGCTGGGGTTTTGATCATGCTCATCCTTGTTCTTTACTGGCAAGCCTCAGTTCAGGAGTTCTTCTGGAGATAGACATCAGAGTCTGAGATCCATTGCTGCTACTGGTATACTATCTCTCAAGTAGAAGGATCTGAGTTTGAGAATTATATCAGAGAGATCTATGTATGGCTCTGCCTTTTTTCCACTTCTCGTGCCATAGCTAGTAAGTTTTTAGTTGTGATGACTTGTAAGTTTTATGTAATAATATGAGAATTTAAGAGGTATATAGTTAGCAATTGAGGCTCTTGTTCTAATAATTCGGTGACAGAAAATGGAAGTTGACGAAGCTACAGAGTGTAGCTTAGCTCTGTTTCAGGTTCTAACAGCGGAATGTAGCCTAAACTGCTGAGTTGAGATATGATGTTGAATGTGTGATTACAGTGGCAGAACCAGGTCACCAACAGATAGAAAATAATACTGAGAATATAGAAAACGTTAGCCTGTCTATGCGAGATAGGAAGCAATTCCAGAGAAGAATAATTCCAAAAAGAAAAGCATAAATTAAATGGAATAATGAGTTCAGTCTAAAATGAGGGAAAAGTATGGAGGTCCATGTTTGATGGAGAGCAATGGGGCATTCTGCATTTCTGCTCTTCACAGAAAGTGCATAGGAGAACGAGACTTCAGAAGTTTGTCAGTAATTGCACACTTGAAACTATGCTGAGGACTTCTTGAATAACAATATTCCGTTATTAAACGCAATTCCAAACTACAAAATGAAGTTACTGATCTAAACTCTCCTAGAAGGGCTGTTTGGATGCTTCTTAGAATCATGGTTTTCTTTTAAAAAAAAAAATCATAGTTTTGAAGAGAAAACTATAATTTTAAGGAAAACCATGCAAATCACTAATTGATTAGTCATGCCAAGACTATTGTTTCAACTTTCAAGGCTAAAATCATGATTTTCTATTAAACCAATTTTTTTCTACTTTCTGAATGAAATACCATGATTTCATCAATATATATGTACACATATTAATTACTAATTAGTTATATAAATAATAAATTGGTTTTACGCACATATATATCATTTATTTATTATTTATATTTTTTCTGTAATTTAAAAGAATGATTCTTACAATATCCATTCAAACACTCATTTTATTGGGAGAGGAGTGTCTGCTTCCCTCTCTCTGCTGCCTCCCCCCTTTTTCCATCGTCTTCCTTCCTTCCCAAATTTTTTTTTGGTTTCTTTTGATTGCTATCTTTTGAAAAATCATAAAAAAAAATTTTTAAAAAAGCTTTATTTTTCATCCATAAGATATCAAAATGTCACTTGTTAAATATAGAATCTGGTAATTAAAAGAAATAAGAAAAAAAATATTTGAGAAGGAAGGGAAAATGATTGGGAAGCAGGGAGAAAGCAGCAGACACCCCCTCTCCCATTTTATTAAGATCACTTTTTTTTTTTTTTTTGCAAAATCTATTTTAAAAATAATTTTTTTATTACTTTTCTACTAAAACCATTCACTAAAAGCTAATCTAAACACCACAATCCTCCCTCAATCACAACCGGCGTCTTTATTTGTGCCAGGAAGATCTTAAATTTCAAGATTATCGTTATTGTTATTTTTTCAAAGTACATACACAAGTCATTTCATATCATAATTCTTTTTTTTTTTTCTTTTTTCAGCATTCCTTTACCAAATAACTCCCGGATGTCTGCTCAATAGTTGGAGAGCGATGTGATTAAAATTACGAGGAATAATCATGGAACCACGCAAACCTTAAAACCATATGGGCTGTGACAAATTTAAGAGGAACAATACATATTATCAATCATTCAGCAGCACATAGTCGGATCAAGTCAGTGAGTCCCTACCAAAAGACATTTACATCCATATTCACATACAACAATTGTCACAACACAACATGATGTACTGGCATACATGCAAACACCAAAGGTCAGCTTGTTGAGCCAGCCGTGCCACTTGCAGCAGCAGCAGCAGGCACTAAGCTTGATATTGTTAAGCCTCTGTCATACATACGCTGGATTTCTTCCCGATACTCTGTTAGCGACTTATCGGGTATGGCCGGAGAAAGCTCCACCACGTCTCCCATCTTCAACTTGCATGCTGGATCACTTACAGGCTCATGGTTCAGCCTTAGCCTCAATTCCTTCTTCAGTGAAACTCCATGTGGGGTCCATCTAGAGCTTCCACGCCCAGCTCTTTCCAACAAATCCATTACTGTTGAGTTTGCAGGGAACTCTTGGACAGACATCTGCACATCCACTAGACACAATTAATATTTCAGGAGTAAAAAAAATATTAAAGTAGCATGTCATTGTCTAATCTCCCAAGTAACGGGAAGTTTACATAAAGAAAACGAGCATGAGGTTTGCAAAGAAAATCTTTACCCCTACATTATTTTATATTGACATGCTTCCCCATACATTCACAAAGACTGAAAAATTAGCGCCGCCATTTATAGCAGTGAAAGAAAGACGAAACTTGAAGTTGAGAAGTATAGATTAGGGTCACGAACCTCATCATTCTCAATCATGATTACAAAAACAGGACCATCCTGACCAGAATGAGGTTTATAGCAATATGGACAACCATCCGCATGAAAAGGAAACTTGCATGCTGGCTTGATTGAATCAGCATATCCAGCAGATGAAGGACCTTTACTCATCGTCTCACAATGCCAAGTCACAACATATCGAGCCCACTCAACCATCTGAAGTACAAATGAAGAATGCTGGCAATCACCTTCCTTATATCTCCAATGTGCAGCAAATCCAAATTCTGCTTGCAAATGCATCTCTCTCGTCCTAATTTGTACTTCAATTGGAACTTTGCCATCACCCATCACTACAGTATGCAGAGATTGATACCTATAAATTACAGAATCAAAGTTAGATGAAAAATAGATAACAATACGTATAGAGCATGGACCACCAACATTCCTGAGATGACATACCCATTGAACTTGGGGTGACTTATGTAATCTTTCAGCTTTCCAGGCACCTCAGACCATAGATGCTGAACAACTCTTAAGGCTCTATAGCAGTCTTCCTCGTTGTCAACAATCAAGCGCAGCCCATAAATATCATGGATTTTATCCATGGTTAGCTTCTTTCTGATAATAGATAAATCAACAAAACATTAAGGGTCTTAACTGCACAAACAATATATAGTTCAGCATTTCTGCTATTAAGGATGCAATGTTTGTTCATTAGCAAATAGTAGTTTTATACATTTCTATGTGATAAAATAAGAAATAGCTTAATCTCTAACGATCCAAACAGCAGTTTGAATCTGTAAATGAGCGTTCACGTCAACAGCAATTATCTCCCATCTCAACCAAATGTGTAAAATTTGAGCCCCAAAAAACAAAAAAATTGTGTAGTTTATTCCTGTTTAAACAATCTTTCTTCACCTTCCAAAAAAATAACTCGTACCATCTTTGCACAATTTTCTAACATGCCAAATAGAAGACAATAAGCACAACTTATGCAGCTAAATAGATCCAGGGAAAGAGAGATGACGTACTTCAACATTTTGCAATAAGTACTATACAAGCTCTTGTGCCGCCCGGAAAGGACATGATAAGAAATGCCTTCATCCTGCAATGCTTTCTCTAATTTCTCTTTGGCAGAAGTGATCATAACATCATCAATTGACTCCACAAGCTTTGATGACAGCTCCTTGTATTGGTCTGGGTTGAGGTACTTAAAACACAAATTTCCTAACTGTTCCTTCCAACTAGATATTCCCAAGCGATTAGCCAAAGGTGCAAAAATCTCCAAGGTCTCTTTTGCAAACCTTTGTTGCTTTTCTAATGGCAATGCGTCTAGTGTCATCATATTATGCAACCGATCTGCCAATTTAATAAGGACAGCTCTTGCATCAGCCATGGCAAGGAACATAGTATGCAGTCGGTCTGCCTCAGCTGATTTGCTAGCAGTATCATTATCCCGTGCAAGCTTGCTTAAGTGGCTCAACTTAGAAACCTGAAGTGCCATAAAGATTAGTGAGGATCTTCAAAGGATAAAACTATCACAAATCCAAAAGTTCTAAGTAAAGACATTTTGGGGTATAAATTCCAAATTTCAAGACGCAAGATCACAATTCAAATAAAGTCAGTACATTAGATAACAAAAGCGTTATAAACATCCCTAAATGCTAGAAAGAAAGATAAAGAAATTCATCCCTAAACATATTGAAAGTTCTATTGCTACTACAACCATATAGAATCATTAAGTAAGCGCTTGAATCCTGCCATGTACTCCAATTAAGCTGAATCCCAGCTACTTTGGACAACTTATGCCATTTAAATAAAGGAATCTATACCAACTGAACCAACCTAGTGGGAAAACCTAGCTCAATCTTCATTAAGGCCCATCCATATTAAATTTGACCAAATCCTACCTATCAACTTACACAATCCATAAATGCATAGAAATATTAATACTGCAATAGACTTGACATCGAGTACAAAGGAGAGGTTAATCTAAGTGCTAATTTAGAACATACGGATTAAAAATGCACAATTGCAGTACATCTAATGTTATGGATATGAATCAGTAGACATTTTCCTCACCCCTTCAACTAAATCGGCAACCCCAGTACCAAACGTCCTCAATAAATAATCGTATGTCACAAAGGAATCATCAAGGGTGTCATGCAGAAGCCCTGCAGCAACAACTGTGGAATCGGCACCAATCAAGGCGAGAAGAACTGCTGTTTCCACACAATGGTGCAAATATGGATCACCAGAAGCTCGCATCTATAGAAAAGGATTCAAATAGTTAAACTCGCATCATTAAGACCGTGAAACATAGCATATTTGAATTGTAAAACTTCCAATTTACCTGCCCTCTGTGGGCTTGCTCGGCTTCATAAAAAGCCTTGATTACGACGTCTTCACAAAAGATTTTGTGCCTCAATTGGGCATCCCGTAGCAACTCTTTAGCGTATGGCTCAGATCTATCCCCCACAAAAACATCTTCAAAATTGAAGGTCAATTCATCCTCTAACGCAGATGAAGCCAAATCTAAGCCACCACGAGAAACCTCAACACTTGGCGAATCATGATCTAAGCAGATTCCTACTGCATTTCTCACAAACCCATCGAACATTTTAGATGTCCCACCTCGAATTGAGGTCTGGTAACTCATATTCCCACTGACAGCGCTACTGCTACTAGAAATTGGTCCTTGGAAGACCGAAACTGGACTCGGTTCCCTTTTCCAAGAAGAACCAGCAAACTTACTCGGAGAATACGAAAAGGAGCTGCTCAATTCTTCCACTCGGTCGTGCCTCAAAGTGCCCAGTTCTTCTCCTCCGCCAGATAAGCTCGATAACGGAGCATGCTTAACCGTCGGTGAAGAGAACAAGCAGGAAAGGCCACCCATTAATGACTTCTGAGACGTGGATGCCGTATTCGAAGACGACGAAGAAGATCGAGACCCCAATTCTAAGTCAGACGCATGCCCATTGATCTGGCAGGAGTGCGGTGTCGAACAAACACTGCTTGGAGGGCTGCCGTATAAAGCTATAGTCGAAACCGCCATGCTCGATAACTTGCAGCGTCTGCTTCTTCTACAGTTGGATTAGAGATTCCCAGCTCAAGGAATAAGAAATTTTTTTCAGATATACTCGAATAACCCCAACCAATTCTGCAGAATAACCTAATTATTTATAAGCTCTTTCAGAAAACAGGAAGCAATTTCTGGACAGCCCAATGATTTTCAGATACCCAAATCACTTTCCCCTTTTTCACCGACCTAGTTACTATTCACCGATACCAAGTTTCAGAAAAGTGACACAACCAGAAGAAAAGTATCTAACTTGTCTGTCTGTACAGAGAGGAAACGGAGGGAATTCAAAGATTCAAAATCAAAATCTGATTGGAATTTATAGTAAAGGAGGAGGAACTGAACTAGTGTATTTACATAATAATGTCTACAAAGATGGGAATATATAACAAACAATGAAGAAAGAGCCCTAAATAGAGGAGAATTTACAAGATATTAACCCTAAAGCTTTCAAGGAAAGAGAGTATGAAACGATGGGCAATGGAGAAAGGGAGAAAAGCTGCATCTTGTATGTTATTTTCAGTGGCTCCGCGGAACTTGCTTTCTCCAGGGGCAGGGGCCATGGAAAGCAAATGTGCAATTACTGAGTTGCCCCTCGACCGCAAGCATATTTCTTTTTGGTCCGAATGCCATGGATGGGATCGGATCTGGGTTTCTGCTCGATAAATCTAGACAAAACTTAAGGGTTAAAAAACTCTGATAAAAGAAAAAGAGTTAGAAAACGTAGATATGAGGTTGGCCAAAAAAAAAAAAAAACAAAGGGTATGAGAAATGAGAATATAATACAAGGGAATAAAGCGGTGCTCTTTTTTTGTAAAAAGAAAAAAATTAGGTGAGATCTCGAATCAAGATTAATTAATAATTTTAATAATAGCAGATGCTCTGCCTGCCTGATAAAATCGTCCAGTAAACTTTTTTTTAAAGAAAATTTAAAAAAAACTGTTGAATTTTAAAATTCCAAATCAGTATTAGTTACTATAATAGTAAAGAAAATGACTAAACTTAAAAAGTAAATAATAACATATTTTTGTAATAATTTCTGATTTGTCATTTTGAAATTCAACAATTATTTTTTTGAGATTTTTTTTATTGAGATTTTGGGATTTGATGTAATAAGACAAATAAATTGCAATTGTTTTATCTTTAGTTTATTTTTTACTCTAACTTAATTATAAATATAATTTCCTTATCAAAATAAGAAACTTTCTTACGGTAATCTAAGATATTGAAATTTTTTGCCAGCCATTCTAAAATATTACACCTCCATCCTCCTTAATTATATGTATTAGATAATTAGAATTATTTCTCAGTGGGAACCTTTATAATAAATAGAGATATTTTGGGGAAAAAATGAAGACAAAGTGATATAATTTTTAATGATTTGAATTTTCTTTTTACTAATTTAGTACTACCTTCAGTTTAGTTATAAGATTTTGTTTGTAGTCTATAAATAAGGTTTTATAATTGAAACTAGAAGTTGTATGTTATTGTTGCTTGTTGCTTGTCACTTTCTTGTGTAAAATTAAAATTCCCACTTGAACTGTGTATGTTATATTATATTCAATTAATTATAAAGGAATTAAGACCAACCATATTATTTTTATGTAATTGTAACCTATGGGGCAAAAGGATAGTGACAACAAAGCAAAGTATAAATGCAAACCTTCTGTTTCCCCTTCCAAAAGGAAGTGACCATTTGAAAGCTCAAATCAAAGAAGACATGAAACCTCTACGTAATACCACCCACCACTCACTTATATATGTGGCTAGACATAAGAGAAGAGAAATCCAGAAATGGAGGTAGGAGGCAAGAACTGTGCAAAGCAGTGTTGGGACAAAAATGGGATGAAGCTGCAGAGTTTTACAGAAGTCATCCACAGATTCAGGCTATGAAGATCACCAAATCCGAAGACACTGCACTGCACGTGGCGATCAGTCTGGGAGCACCAGAAGACAAGGTTGTAAACCTGGTTCTTGAGATTGAACACACCAACGTTAACAACCTCGAAGTTGCCATCAAGACCTTGGAAGCTACGAATGACCAACAAGATACTCCTCTGCATTATGCTGCCACACGAGGTTGTCCCTCTATATGTAGGCGAATATTCCAGCTCCATGAAACCTTGGCTTGTAAACCTAACAAGCTAGGTGAGACGCCTCTGTTCTTGGCCGCTCTCAATGGCCGTAAACGTACCTTTCTCTATCGTCATTCAGTTTGCAGGAAGATGCAGAACAGGAGCACAGAATTATTATGGCGTCCATGGTGGAGAAGGGCTAATGGAGACACTATACTTCACTGCACAATTCAAAGAGAATGCTTTGGTATGTGAGTTTTAAATCAGATGATCCCATTATTTCAGCTTAACCACAGAGAGCAAAACTAGGCATATATATTAATGATTCGTGCATGATCTGGGACAGATCTTGCACTTGAGATCATTCATCTGTAGCAAGACCAGAATATTGCCAGTGTTAGGAATAATGATGGAGTTACACCTCTTCATGTCCTCGCCTCCATTCCTTCTGCTTTCGAAAGCGGTACTCCCATGTCTTTGTTGGACAAAGTTCGTCACAGTTGTGAGTATCATTTGCTCTCAATCACAGTATAAGTTTATTATATTATCTACTTTCAGTCCTAAATATAAAAGTTAGTTAGAAATTCAATTTGATCCTAAATATAAGACCCTAATTCACGTTATCTCTTGTATCTATTTCATTTTTTTCTAAAGTAGTTCTAATGGTGATTGCACATGATAAAAGATTTTCATTCTAATACATATGAAGAATATTTTAATAATGTCAATACCTATTTATTATAAATAATTAATTTAACTAATTTTTTTAATGTTCATTAATTTATTATCTAGCTCGTATACACATACAATCGCTTGAGTTTGTGTTATTCATTTTTATTTCCGCTTATGTTTTTAATGAAAAGTACTGAAGTGAAGGCTTTCTTTGTGTAAAGACGTTGGTGTAGAAAAGCTGAGAATTGAGGCAAACATGGAGGCCTACGTTCTGGAGGTTGGAAATCCTGTCTGGTTGAAAGCTGATGATGATCCAACAATACGCCACCAGAGTCAAGGTTGATGCTTTAGTTTTTGAAGGAATCAAATGAATGGTTAATACAATCACTTGGCTGACTAATACTATATCAATTAACGACTCTTTGGTTTCATGTCTGGAAATTGAAGGTTCAATAAGGAGAATGAAAGAGAAACATGTATGGAGCGGGCAGATCATGGAGGAACTTCTGCAACGAACTTGTGAGTATGATTACAGCCAAGATGAGAGTCTTGGGATAAACAGAACCAGCAAGGTATAATAAAAGGCAATTCTTCAACTTATTCTAGTTTTATTTGATTGATTAAGAATATAGGGAAAATTGGGGATAAATCCCTCATTGAAAATTTAATTAGCAAATAGGACCTAAGGATTTTGTGTAATTTAACTTCCATCATGTGCAACTTAACTTTCTTCGTGTGCAATTTATCTTCCCTTGTGTGTAATGATTTTCCTTTAATTTGTGCATGTGCAACACAATTTTTCTTTGTGCAAATAAAATTCTTTTATATCTTTTATGTGCAAACGAATTCCTTATATCCAATAATTTTTTGTCCAAACTATCTTTCTTTTGTGCAACTTACCTTCTTTTGTAAGCAACTAATATTTTCTTGTGCAATTAATCATCCTAGGTCCCATTTACCAAATAAATTTTTAATGAGGGGTTTATCCCAATTTTTCCAAGAATATATATGAACCATTTGTATTTGATTGGCAGAAGCGGCGACAAAGAAGCACAAAAAATCGACAGCGTTGTTAGTGGCAACAAAGAATGGTTTGACAGAAGTGGTGAAGAGAATCCTTGAAGTTTATCCAGTGGCTATTTATGACAAAACTGACCCAAAGAAAAGAAACATAGTCCTTTTGGCTGTCCTAAAAAGACAAACCCACGTTTTCAAGTCATTGATTAATGCTCTTTGGCATTCACTCGTAGAAGCTGTGGACATCGACAGAAATAATGTACTGCACATGGCTTCCTTTCTTCTCCAACACATGCCTCGTCAAATTCATAGCTCTCTCATGCAAATGCAATATGAAGCCCTCTGGTTTAAGGTACAAAAAACTATAGATACTCCTCTTATCCTAATAATGTAGTTTAGGGGATTATTTTGGTTTACGTGTTTTGTTCTAGTTGTGATGATCACTAGTTCATGTTATAAATTTTTTCTTGTTAAAGTATGTGAAAGAAAACATGCCAGCTCACCTGAGTTCTCAGGAGAACAAAGATGGAGACACCCCAGATGAGATCTTCGCAGAACAGCACAAGGACCTTCTCAAGGAAAGCAACGAATGGATTAAGGACACTTCTGGTTCTTACGCTATAGTTGCAGCACTTATTGTCAGTGTCACCTACGCCACATCGTACACTGTCCCGGGAGGCACTGATGACGATGGAAGCCCTCACTTACGAGGCCGTCTTACATTCGACATCTTCGTTTTCTCCGTTCTGGTTTCCTTCTGTTCCTCCATAACTTCCTTGGCCGCCTTTGTGGCTGTCTTTAGTTCTCGAAAGAAACCCGTTGATTATCTTCGAAGTTTGCATCTGAAGCTTTGTTTTGGCTTAACTACGTTCTGTCTATCTGTTGTCTCAATGCTGGTATCTTTCTGCGCTGCGCATTTCTTTGAACTTGATCACAGAATCAAGCAAAAGATTAGCCTTTATGCTTTGGTGTTGATTCCACTGTGTCTGTACACTTATGAACAGATTCCACTGTACTGGAATCTTCTCAGAACCACTCTTGCCAAAGAGCCTCGGCCAAGATACGTAGGAGACAATGTTACTATGTAGCCTGATCGAGCCATGCATGATGTTTCTTCTTCTTCTGGTTCTGCAATATTTGTTTTTTGTGCTGTGTTTGATGATCTCTCTTCTCTATTGTGAGTTCCTGTATGTGAAATCTTTGAAGTTTTTAATTTTTAATTTGTTATAAAGTTTACTTTTTGGAAATGAAGCATTAATTTATAACATTAATCACTAAAAGTAAGAGTTTACTTTTATTCATCAAGATGGGACAAGGAGAGAGACGTTGAAGAATCTTCTATCATTTCTCTTACACCAAGAAAAGAATAATAAAAAAAAAAAGTGAAACAAAAGGGTGGTTACTAAAGTCACACACACATATATATCAAAATCATTACAGTCATATAAAAATAATATCTAAAGTCACATATGGAACGCTCTGAAACAAAAATAAAGTGTGGCAACTTGTAACCACCACTAGTTAAAAACTGTACTCATGGTTAATATAGAACCTAATTTGAGAGTCGATGTTAATCTTACTTATAAAAATTATTTCACATATTTATCAATTTTTTTAAATTAAACTCATTAATATTTCATCAACAATAATCAAGTAAAAGAAGAAATGAGGAAATTAAGAAAAATAGTTAAGGTGTTTTAAAAATATATATATCATATTAACTAATATAACTAGCATCATTAATCTACCCAAATTTGTCAATTAAGTCTTATATTAAGGACTGGAAGAATATTATTTTAAGAAAACCCTATATATTAGAATTAATGGTGTCACAGTTTTTATGAAAATGTTCATTAGTTTATTAGATAATCATACTCGTTGGCAAAAAAGAAAAACAAGAAGATAATCATACTCAAGGGGTTGTTTATGAATAGAGCTCAACATTACTCGTTTTATGGACATTCAAACTCAGTGCTTTTATTTTTTAGGAAAAGCATAAAAGATAAAGTCAGATTATCATTTTAATTTATATGTAAAAACTTTTGTTGTATCATATATAATGCAAACCGTATTCAAATTTTTTTCAGAAAATTTGCAATCAACTCAGTTCTCAGAAACTTGGAATATATGGAGGTAGATCATACGTTTATGCACACTTTAACGAAATGGCATAACGTTTTAATTTCCTTGATCTCTTCGTCTTTTATATTTCAAAACAAAATATTCATATAAATTTCATGATTAATTAAATTTCAGAAAAATCTCTCTTGAGTTGATATTTCCAGTTGAATTCTCTTGGTGGGGTCCAATTTTAGGAAAATATATGTTTAAAATATATAGATGTGAGTGATTTTACCTCAAAAAGTGCAAACGTTTCGCACGAGAAGGAAAAGAAACGTATTGTTCAATTTTCCTTTTCTTTTCAAAAGAAAGAAAATTAATTAACTTTCCCTTTTTAATGGAGGAATGATATGATAAATAATACCAAGGATTAGATTACAAGAAAGGGGTTCAAAAAAAAAAATTACAACAATAGAGAAACCATGGGGAAAAAATTAACTAATGCATCTTGATCCTATATTTAAGATCAAGTAGAGCTTCAAAACTTTGCTGTATAATTATATATATATATATATATATATCAGCATTATTTTGCGATTAACGTAGACTTTGAAAGGTTTAATTAATATCTTACATTATGTTAATTGCTGTGCTCACTCAATTCTTCTGGTCTGTCACCCATTGTGTTTCTGTTCAACGAAATGTCACAAGAAACAACAGTTAACTCTGCTTTCTTCTTTCTCCAAAGTAACATTCTATATATGGCTTGTACTATAAGAAAGCCAAGTTACCCGATCAGGAAGTAAAGACAATAATGCATGGCTTGTATTATAAGAAAGCAACTGGTTAACTTTCCTCGCTTAATTAGTATAAATAGACAAAGATAATTGGAGATTTGTATTTCAAACTAGCAATCGTACTTATTTCTCTCTGCTTCTAGCTACACACCAAAACAATCACTTCAAGCTCCACATCAATAGCAGTATGAGGGGACCAATGGCTTCTTCTCATATGGAAGAAAAGCATAATCTTTACAGAGACGTGTTGGGACGAAATTGGGATGAAGTGGTGGAGATAATGAGGCAGCATCCAGATGTTCATGCCGCTAAGATCACCAAATCAGAAGACAATGTACTGCACTTGGCTATCACTCTTGAGGCACCAGAGGCCATTGTTATGGAGCTCATTGATGATATTCGGAAGAACAACCCAGAAGTTGCCATGGAGATTATCACAGCTCAGAATAAGCAACAGGATACTCCTTTGCACTGTGCTGCCGCCCGAGGCTCAACCTCTATATGTGAACGAATACTACTCTTTGATGAAAGGCTTGCTCTTAAAAGTAACAAACAGGGAGAGACGCCTCTCTTCCTAGCTGCTCTTAACGGTCACAGAGATACTTTCCAGTATCTTCATTCTGTTTGTAGTAAGATCCCCACAACCAAGTTTTCAGAACTCTGGAGAAGGGACAATGGGGACACTATTCTTCATTGTACCATTCAAAGAGAATACTTTGGTATGTTAAGTTCATGATATATATAGTAAGTCTGAAACGTTTATGAATTAACTTCTGACATATAGTGTGTTTGTAAACTTGCTCTGGTGGCTAGGACTGGCATATCATATAATTTGCCTCTATGGTGATGATGATGAAAAGATCATCGTTAGCTATGAGAACAAAGAAGGAGTTACGCCTCTTCAAGTCCTTGCTTCTGTTCCATCAGCTTTCAGTGGTGCACACCTAACATGGTTCCAAGGACTCTTGTACAGGCGTAAGAATATGACATTTCGTCAAGTATTATTATAATTCCCAGTGTGCTTGATAATTTAATTAGTTATGTGATTGCTATGACTTGTCTCAGTATATTGTTTGTCAACTGAAGACTTAGATGTAGAGCAGCTGAAAACTGATAATCAAACTCAGAATAAAGATTTGGAGGTAGGAAAATCTGACTCTTTGAGGAAGATCCATGATGCCGCACCAGAACTGTGCCTGAAGATGACGAAGCTAGGTTCATGTAAATCCCTTCCTCAATAATAATCTTGATGCTTTAACCATTTTTTTTCTTTTCTGTGTTGTTGATGAATTTCTTTTTCTTTGGCTTTCATGTGTTTGACTAAAGGGTCAATAAAGAAGATAAAAGAGAAACATCTATGGGGTAGGCTAATCATGGACAAACTTTTAGAGCTAAATTCTGAGTATAAGTACAACGAAAATCAGATTGCATTCGGCCCAAGCAATGTTACGGATCTTACTAATGGGCAAGGTAAACCAGCCTATATGTGAAAGGGGATATTAGAACCTTTCGTTCAGATTTGGACTCGAATTTTCTGATGAGTTTGTTAATGAAACATCATTGGCAGGAAAGTCGTCGTCATCCTCGAAAAAAGACAATAAATCGACAGCATTGTTGGTGGCAACAAAGTACGGTCTGCTGGAGCTGGTGAAAAAAATCCTTGACAGACTTCCGGTGGCAATACATGACAAAACAGAACCAAAGAGGAGAAACGTTGTACATACGGCAGTACAGAAAAGGCAAACCCACGTGTTGAGGGAATTAATGAACCACCCACTTTGGGATAGCCTCATAGAAGATGTGGATGCCGATGGAAATAACGTGTTGCACATGGCAGCATTTCTACCGAAACACATGCCTTGGGAAGTATATGGCTCTGCACTCCAAATGCAATATGAAGCCAAGTGGTTCCAGGTAGAAACACCTAAACTTTAGTTATGTGACTGTAGCTGTTTGGAACTTCTTAAAATAATCACTTTTGACACTTTATGATACAAAAATTCCTTCACATATTTATGTAATATGGTGCAGAATTGTCTTTTTAAGCTAATCCAAGCAAGCACTAAGTGCATCTAGGAGCATGTTTGGCATAGTTTTTATACAGTGAAAAATCATGTTTAATTTGGATTTTGAAGCTGAAAAGTACATTTACTGCCAAAATACTAGTTTGATCAATGTTTAGACAAGATGAATTTTTTACCTCAAGGCCTTTGATATTAGATTCTTCTTAAAATTTGAATATTTTAAAACTGATCTTTCAACATATCATTCAAACAAGTTTCTGTCAAATTGGCTTCTTTATAAAAACCTATCCAAATAAATTACACTGCACCAATTGACTTTTACCTCCTCTACTTTAGTTTGCAGAAGTTAATTGGGATAAAAAAAAATCACTTTTGCAAAAACATTAGTCCAAAGGAAATAAGATAGATCCAACATTGACATTATAATATATCTGAATTGGATTGCAGTATATGAAAGAACACGTACCACCATATCTATACGCCATGGAAAACAAAGACGGTGACACTCCGGAGGAAATCTTCGTGGCAGAGCACAAGAAATTATTAAAGGAAAGTAACGAGTGGATGAAGGACACTTCAAGTTCTTACTCCATTGTTGCCGCACTTACTGCTGGAGTCACCTACGCAACATCGTACACTGTCCCAGGAGGCACAAATGATACTACTGGAAGACCGCCGTTGGAAGGCCAAAGTGCACTAAATGTTTTTCTGATCGCCATTTTCGTCTCGTTTTGCTTCTCTACCACTTCCTTGGCAGCCTTCTTGGCGGTTTACAGTTCGCGGAAGCAACCAGATGATTTTCGTAGGAACTTGCCGCTGAAACTATGTTTTGCGTTAACGTCATTTTATGTCGCTATCGTCTCAATGATAGTGTCTTTTGTTGCGGCCCATTCACTTGAAATTGACCCCAAAATGAAAGCTAAGCTTATCCCAATGTACAGTTTGATTTTCCTACCATTGTTGTTTTACACATTAGCTCAGATTCCACTCTACTGGGATCTGGTCAGAGCCTCTTTCAAGAAGGTGCCACAGCCAAGATACATGGGAGAGAGCTTAACGATCACCATTCCCAAAAAAAGAAGCAGAATGTAGGATATTGTTTCTTTTATTGACCGTACAATTTTCTTTTTCCATATTGCCATTGGATTGAATCGGATTCGAATATTGTTGTGTCTTAGCTCTTCTTAAAGTGTTTTTTTTTTTTTTCCCATTCATTCAGATTCAAATTCAATTGGTCATACCTTACTTTATGTAGTTACGTGCCTTTCAGTTAGATGAATACCCAGATTCCTATAACTAAGTATCGGTTGTGTTCGTAGACACTATCACATGTTCTATGCATTAATATGCATGTGAAGGACAAATATTCAAATAATGTCTCTTAATTTCTTCTTCCAATTACGTAAAAAAGGCAATATCATGGGCCCATGGGAGGAATATTACTTTCGTCTCATACGTCGGAAAGAACATATATAAATATATATATGTATATGTATGTATACATAGTAACCTTGAAAATCTTAATGGGGGCCACTTTTCATATATCTCAACTTGTCTGCAATTGTTTTGCTCATCAATGCTGCTTGAATATTAACAGAAACAAGATGCACACCGGTGTGGCTTTAATAATACTTATCAAAATTTCGCATACTTATTGTCTTCTAATTATTTATAAAACTTAGATTTATCACAAAAACATCAAAAGAAATTATACATATGCAGTTAAATAATCGGGGATGCTTATTTTGGTCGTTTTCTTCTCGTTTGTGTGCGTGTGTAGAGAGGGAGTCCAATGGTATTGGGTTTGCTTTTTGCATACAAGTCTGTTTAGGGTCTATTTGGATTAGTGATTGAAAAAGTAGTTTGCTGTCAGTTTAATTCTTAAAAAAGTTAGATTAGGTAAAAGTTAAATTGAGTAGTATCAATTGTGTTTGGATTGGATTTTATAGAAGTTAGTTTGTGAAAGTAAGTGGTTTGACTTATGATTAAATAAGTAATTTTAATTTGTAAAAATATCAAAATGAGTAAGACTTTTATTAAACAATGAAAAATAAAAAATGATCAATTTACATAATATAATAATTTTAAATTATTTATCAGCTCATGTTGATCTCATATATATATATATATATATATATATTTATCATTGATTATAAGGACATATTTGAAAACAAAAGTATATTTCTAACTTATTTATTACTTTCAACTAATTTTAATTGATTTTTTGTTTTCTGTAATTAGTTATCTAAAGCTTATAATAAGAACCAGAAGAGGTAGTAAATTTCTTAACTTTTTCTCTCTTCATATTTCAAGAGTCCTGAGTCATGAGTCATAAGTAGCTAATTTTTACCTATAAGTTATTGTAACTTTTTATGCAAAAGTCAGATTGCTCCATCGCCAACTCAAACATCACAAATCTTTCAAACTTGCTTCTGCTTGAAAAAAAAAGTAACTTATTGCCCTCCAAACGGTGAGCCAAACAGGCACTTAGTGTTTTTGCTATTTGTGGTTTCAATGAAATTGGAATGTCGATGACTAGAATAAAAAAACAAAAACCTTCTGTGGTTTACATGATAATTTGTTTTAGTAAGAAATTTTTGTAGCAAATAAAATTCAAATACTATCTCTTGTCTTTAATATAAGACATAGTCGACTAATTTGGAGAAATTAAAAAAATTAGTTAAATTAGTTATTTATAGTAATATAAGATATGATCATGCATGTATGTATATATTCAAACCAAAAAGGATATGTGCATATTTAACCTAGGACTCCTCTAGTGTGCCGCCAATGATCCCTGATGTGAATGTTATAATACTAACATGATCTTTAATATAAAAGCTAGTTGACTAATTTGAATAAATTAAGAAATTTTGTTAAGTTAGTTATTTATAATAAATATGTGTTGTTTTTTCTAAAATACCCTTACTAGTCATCTGTATTAGCTAGAACTATTATTTGATGAAGTATTTAATATGAGCAACTACTACAAAAACTACTTTTAAAAAATAAATAAATATAAAAGACAAAGTGGATTGGAGTCTTATATTTAAGACCAAATTAAAAATCAAACTAGCTCTTATATTAAAGATCAGAGGTAATACTACCTCCAGTCCTTAATTTAAAAAAAACTAGCCAACTAATTTGATTATATTATAAAAACTAATTAAGTTAGTTATTTGTAATAAATAGATACTGTCTTTTCAAAAATATTCTCACTAATTAAGTGTATTGGCTATAACTATCATTATTATAAGGATTATTTTGAAAAAAATGGTTAAATATGAGTTGGAATCTTATATTTATAATCAAAATAAAAGTTAAATAAAATCTTATATATTAAGAACAGGAGGAAGTAATTTCTATGCAATCATAGTGTCATAAGATTTGCAATGATTAACATTTTGTGGAGGATAATTTCAGGAAAAATTATTTAAAAAAAGTACTTGTTGAATTTCAAAATAATAAATAAGTGATTTTGATAGATTTTAACTTATCAAGACTATTACGATACATTACAAAGCTGTTAGCATAACCTATTTATCTTTTTGAAATTTAATATACTCTTTTGGTCCTATTTATAGGACAGAGAGAGAAAGTTTTTTTGATCCTATTTATAAGTCATTTTATTAAATTTTTGTCATGAATGTACTATATCGTTCTTCATTTATTATAGTGTAGGTAGTTATTTTTCTTCAAGGTATATATATTAAATAGGGGCAGAGTTGAAAAGTTGCTATATTTTAATGAAGAGTTAATGTAATTTAAAGTTTTTTTTGGTCTGTGTGAAACATGTTAGAAGTGTCTTATAAATGAGAGTATACTTTTTTTGTGTGGTTATTTTCCCACTATGTTATCGTCTTGATTCTCTGCCAATTTATAGTTGAACATACATGTCTTATGTAAAAGGCTAATGTATTCATTTGATCCCTTAACTTTATGTAATGTTTCAGTTTAGTCCCTTAACTTTAAAAAATATACTTTTAGTCCTTTAACTTTAAAATTGTTCATCTTAAATGATGATTTTTTTATAACAATTATGATTGTTTTGAAAATTAAACTTAATATGTTAGCATTTAGTAATATTCTATCAATATTTAAGAGTTCAATATCATTGCTTTGTGTTAACAGTTTCGGGATTAAAGGATTAAAAGTTTACTTTTTAAAGTTAAGATATCAAAATGAAACCTTATATAAAGTTAAATGAATAAAAGTACACCTTACCCTAAGTAAAATTACAAACCGAGTCGAGTCCTATTGTTTAAATTTTTGTTTCTTTAATTTGCCGGACCCTCTTTCTTTCCTTTTGGACAATATGATTTCACAAATTCACGTTCAATGTCAAGTAATACTTCCTCTAATTTTTTTAATAAGAAAGAATCTCTCTTATGATGATTTTTAAGTAATAAATTTTTTGTCTGAAATTTTAAATTAATATTTTCATTTTACCCTCATTAAATATATACACACACTTTACTTATTATCCCTCTGCAATAAATTACTCTCATTTATGCTTATTATCTCTTTATAATAAATATTAACTCATGAGTATCTCTGATCTCCTTTACTCTCTTCATTAGTAAGGGGAAACTTACTGTACATATCTTGCATATTTATTGTTTTTTAATTAAATTTAATTAATATTTCGAATCATACGATTTTGATAATTATTTGTTATAAAAGGAAACGGAATGAGTAATAGGATAAGTAATCAATAAAGTCCAGGATATGACAGGTGGATGGTTAGGTCCTTTGACGCCCTTGTTTGCTTTATTTTGTCTTACACCACGAAAAGAATAATTTAGCCAGAAGTGCAGAAAGGCAGCAGGCTTGTTTATGGAGCAACAAGAAATAAGGAAGCTATATATATGTGTGTGTGTGTATGTATATGTATACACACGCATATTCTGTAACTATTTATAAGTCATCTGTAAAAAAAAATTATTTTATAAATATAAGTAACTTGTAGAGTAATTAATAATTTTTTTTAATTTTATCCCTGTCAACTTTACAAATGTAGAGAGAAACATAAAACATAAGAATAATTACAATAAGATTCCAAAAAAGAAAATAAATACCAAAAAATTCCAATGACAAGTTAAAAAGTTGTTATTCCTTACTATAGAACTTATCATTATAAAGTACTCGGTTGTCATTAGAATTTTTTAGTAATTATATTTCTTAATTAAGACTTTATTACAATTCTTCCTAAAACATTGTTAATACCCTTTCTTTAATAAGGGAAAATTTTTTAAAAAAATTACCAATTTAATTAAATGGGACGTTGTTCCATTCAAGTTAATTATTTAATACGTTTTATATAATTCACAGATAAATCTGTCTGTGAAACTAAAAAAAATAAAAAGAGAAGAAAATCAAATCCGAAACGTGAAACACGAAAAAAGAAATGAAGGGATGATGATCCATGAAGAAGAAACTAATTGTCTTTCCCTTTCTCTGTTTTTTTTTTCTTTTAGAGAGGAATTATTTTTTGCCCACTTGTTCACTTGTCTTCAATGGACGATGCGATATAAGTGAAGAACATGGATGGATTACATTCCAACCAAGCGAGACAGACAAAAAGAAAAGTAGGAAGCATCTGATTCGTTTGGAATTTCTGTTAATCAAAATGGCACAATTAAAATTCAAATACAAATTAGCTAATTCTGCTTTCCTTTGGCTTTCAATTCCCTCATATATACACGAAAGTTTATAAATAATATATAAAGATTATATATTTCTAATACATATTTTCATATGCAATTGTACATTGGCCATTAGAATAGAAGATCAGGAAATATCACCAAATTTTATGTAATTATCTTTTTGTTTTTATATAATTGATCATTTGATCAAAGTATAATAATAATATAGTATGTGTTATGCACACGCACTTTATTTTCATTTAATCATATGACAAATTTTCAACGAAAAATGATAAAAAAATATTTGTTAAATTTCAAATGACAAATAAATAATTTTGATAGATTTTAATTTTTCAAAACTATTAGAATAATAGTTAAAACTATTACAAAATTGGTCAGCGTAACTTATTTATTTCTTTGAAATTTAATAGATTTTTTTTGTTATTTTCCCATTATTTTGTCGTCTTAATTCTCTCGTTAATTTGTGGTTGAGCATACGTGTCTTGTGTAAAATTACAAACTGAGTCGAATCCTATTATTATTTA